TATAAAATACAGAGTAAATGAAATAATTGATATAATTATATTTTTCAAAATAAAACAGCAGAAACTAAAAAACTTTAAATTCAATGCTAAAATTAATTAATCATATTATTGTTATAATTAATACAAACTGATAATTAAAATATAGATAAGAAGTTGTATATGTCATGTTAACGCAGATCAGAAAAATTATATAGAACATAGTATATGTCTATTTGAAAGAGCAAAACAATTATTTAAGGCAATTAAGGAGAGAATATTATGTTTTTAAAATAATCATAAATATAATTTTTAACCTAGACAAATTTTTTATTTAATAAATTGTAAATTAAACTAATTCTTTGGACTAAGATTTCACAAAAATAAAAATTAAATCTAATATTAAATGTTTAAGATACTTACTTCTTTTTTATTTCTAAAAATGTTTTAATAATTTCTCTAAGTCATGAGATGGTTTTAGAATTAGTAAATCAAGAAGAAAATTGCTCCGTAATAAGGATTTTATTCAAAAAAGAAGGAGATGGATGTTTTTTAAAAGGAGAGACTGAAAAAGGTATAGATATTTCAAATATAAGTTTTATTAATGAACCATTACATCTTCAAAAGAAGTAATAATTATATTTTTTTTTGAGCTTTTCTTCCAAGAAAAGACCTACATCTGTTTTATCTTAGTTTTATGTTCCTAATGACTCTTAAAGTATCAAACTCTAGTACCTCTTGATGTCTTATTTTTCTCCAATATATGGAAATTTTTTAGGTCTTATTAATTGAAAGTTGATTTTTAAAGAATTAAAATAATTTATTTACTATCTTTTGTCATTTGAGTTTTTTAAATGTTAATTTCTTCATCTTATTGACTGTCTTCTAATACCAAGTTCTGTCATTGCTCTTTAATTTTATTAAATGCCGAATATTCAAAACATCTGAAAATTGATTTTAAAGAAGACTCATTTAATCTTTAATATTGGCAGGCAAGTATTTTTACTTTTTATAGTTTGTCACCAGTTCCGTCTTGATTATGCACATGATCTATTGTATCTTGTTTCTAATTACTTTACACTTCTGATTTTAGTGGATCTATTTTATTCTGAATTCTCTATAAAATACAAATATTTATTCTATTTTATTATTTTTTTATTCTCCTAAATAATTATATTTTATTTTATAGGCACTCTCTTACCGAAGAATTTATCTTTTATCTAGAAATTGCTTATTTAAATTCAACTTGTTAAGTTGTATGTTTTTACAATTATTTCTCCATACCCCTCTAATTATCAATTATCTTTTTCTTCCAATTTGTATATTGTTAAAGACTTTAATTCCTGATGAAAGAAAAAGTTTAGAAATTCAATCCGTTCATTCAAATTTTATTTCTTTAAGGTGAAATAATCACAATAAATTAATAAGTAATCTTAAAGTTTTCATTTATTTGCTTTACTATCTTTTTGAATGATTATCAGCAATTTCTAAGAAATCTTTTTGATAATATTTGTATAATACATACTTGATTTAAAAATTGAAAATAAAATGAATTATAAAAACTTTAATTTTTTACAGTTTATTCATATCAAAAAAAAAAAAGAGAGAAAACTTTTTCTAAAAATCTTATTTTGTTTGGATCATAAAGAAAACATTGATAAAGATATGAAATATTATTTAAGACAATAATAATTTAAAAATAACTCAGGCATTGATTAATAAGATATTTAATATCTAAGCCTCAGTCTTAATTTAATTATAAACTACATGAGCAATATTGATCTCAGAATCAGAAATCGTTATTTTGATTTCATTATGGGCTTGTTTAGTAGGAGTAAATTTAGCAAAATATGAAATTTAATTGATATTTGAATGACAAAAGTGGCTAAATAGATAGTTCTTATTTTCAGGGCAATTATTACATTTGCTAAACAAACTTTTAATTTTTTTTCCGTTAAAACATTTCATTTAAACATTCATTTAAACTGGTGTTTAAGATTGATCAAAAGTTGCAGTATAAACACCATTTGAACTATAGCTTTCATTAATTTAGGGCATTTATAATTAAATTGAAGGACTAGTGATGGAACTCTTATCAAATTTTTATGATATTCGGACTGTTAGTAGCAACATCTTAGTAAATTATTCATTTATTGCATAAGACATCCAAATTTTATTATGAGTATTGGGTGAATATGGATAACCCCCTAAAATAACAAAATAATATTTACAAGTTTCAATATTATATGAGATTGTAGTGGATGTGGTGGTGTATTTTATCCAAAGTCGAATACTATCGTTTGGTGGATTTGTAACAGCAACAATAGGAGTCAAAAGCCATTTATTTGCCTATAAATTATTATTACCACTATTATATAAAGCTGTTGTTTGAATGCTCAGGATATCAAATACCTCTTATATTCCTAAAATTATCTAGTATCCAATCTATTTGAGATTTTCAATTTTTCCAGCTTATCCAGATAAACCAACTGTGACAGTTGTTTTTGTTATTGATGTTATCTTAATAAGATTAAGAAATACTTAAAGGTTGCAGTCGATTAAACCATTTCCTCCAAAACTTATTGGTGATATAAAACCATATAAGGCATTAGGATTATGATGAGAAAAGGTTTAGGTGACTGGATTTGCAAAATTGAATTAGTTTATTACTTAGACTCGTTGATCATCAATGGCATACCAATTAAAATAAACATAAAAGACTTATGTATGTGGACAACTTATTTAGACTTAAAAATCTCAGTATAGAAATATTTTTTACTTGATGTGGTTGTGCTTGTAATTTAAAGCTTAAACTCAGTTGAACCGTAATATAGTGTCCATCTTGTCAAAATGATGATAACTTATGGGATATTCTCAAATTATTGGGAAAATGGAATAGTTAATGTAGTTGAATATGAGTTTTAACAGCTATTACCAGGTTCAATCCCTGATTTGGACCCAGAATCATTAGTTATAAACCCATTAGCAATTGAAAGTAGGATACATAAAATGTAAATTAGTTTATTCATATTAATATTCAAATTGTAATTTCTTTCAACAAGAATTTATATATAATGTTTTTAAGATAGAAGCTTATTTCCTAGATCTCTTCTTAATTACAAATTTTTTTCAATATCAAATATAAAGGAAATAAAAATTAACTTATGATTTTCGAGAACAAATAGCAAAACAAATTTAGAATAATAATAATTTCACAATTATGCCTGTGAATAATATTATCTCAGTTCTTAAATGAACAGAATTAATGGAGAAATCTCATCACTTAAAAGGTGTTTACTCTCTCAGCATTCATCTAAGTCTGTATCAAGAATAATCATAAATTTTTCTAGAAAGTGGAATTGATTATGGTAAATTAAAATTCATTCAACTTCGTAGTGTAAGCCAATAAAGAAAAATTTACTTAAATTTTCTACTAAACAGAATCATGAATAAAATTTATTTTAATTATTTTCTTCCATACTTTAAAAGATTGTAATTAGACCCTATTTAGCAATTGAAAAATATAACTCTTGTGCATGGTACAAATACCAAAATTTATAAATTAACTCTTTAATTTTACCTTATTTATTATTTAAAGGATAGCAATCAATTTCAAAATTCCCTTTTTTTAACAATGACAATGATTAAATTTTTGATTTCTTTTTTTTTTTTACTAGTATACAGTATACAGCTAATTCAGTATGTTTGTCTCATCTATGTTTCCAATTAAATCATATAATAAATAGATTAGAGTATATCAATCATAATAAATATGAATTTACTATTACTTCAAAATATTATGAGAATTATATTTACAAAAATACCCTGACCCTTTTTTTACTTTATAAGACTATCTTAAAATTCACAACGGTAAGTAAGATTATTGAAGGTAGACCACAACTTTCATAAATAACAGTTAATATATATCAAATTATAATATATGATAATAAAATGATGTAAAATTTTCTGATGATTAATATATATATTCAGCTATCAGCAATTTCAAAAATATATCTAACAAGTTGCTTCCTAGGGGGATTGGGTTTTCTAATTTTTTTCACGCATTTATACAATTATTTATAAAAATATATCCCAGATTTGAGAATAGGAGCTAATAAACCTAATATTAAAAAACCTATTTAAACAAATGAAATTATTGTTTATTAGTTATCATTAAAATAATATGTTAAATTTGGGCAAAAGGCTAAACTTAACAATGTAAATATTGTTACTGATGCTTCAATCCAAATTATCATCAAAGTTTCGAAAGATTAAATTCTTAAAAATATCAAAAATCCTAAATAAAAAATTAAGATAAAAGGAAGCAAAATGCATTAAAATTAAGAATGGTTCTACATACCAACAAGTACAATTAAGAATAACAGCTTTTTGCATAGAACCAATCCATCATGTTATTCCATTCTTAGTTTGGAGAGTACAATTTTCTAATTTTGCCTTTTAAAATGCGAACAAAGAAAAATAAATACTATTCCAAGGTAAATTATGCATATGCAATTTGACACTACAGCCCTAGAACCTGAATCTTCATTGGAAACTAAATACATTATTACTTTAAAGATTAAATCCCAACAGTTTGTATAAAATAGTTGAGATAATCCTTATTTTGTATAAAGGTTAGTTAATTCTAAAATTTTCTTCATTAATTTGTATATTTAAATAACGAAACACTAAATAATTTTATATTTGACTTAAAAATGTAAATTCTTTTTTAAGATTGCAAAGCAAATTTTAAAGAATAATGGTCTGAACAAAAGTAAAAAAAAGTAGAGGAGAAAAAATATTAATAATTAGGTTATTTATCCATAAATGTTTGTAATTAAATCTGCATTTATTTTGTATTCATAAAATTTTCCATAACTTTTCAAATAATCTTCTCCAAAAATATTTTAAAACTTTTCAAATATTGTCAGTTTTATTAAAATTGGTGTTATTGATACCAAATCAGCAAATTCAAAGTATATTTTAATGTTTTATGGAAATTAAACATTTAAAAACCTAAGGCAAGATTAATATTAGAGAATATCGAAAATTTCTAAGCTTAATAACAGATCACCAAAGATCAACATTATAATTCCACTGCATCCTAATCCAATCGTCATTAAATTACCTATGGTTTTTAATTTATAGGCTACATTTTTTTGTGTAGACTTTAAAATTTTAGGAGTTTTAATCTTCAATTTTTATGAAACATTTAATAATGAATTGTTATGTTCATCTAGAAGACCATTTAAAATAGAAACATGGAAAATTGGAATTTTAAAATAAGAACTTGAAAAAACAATCTCAAATTCATAAATCGGATTACCATAAATGTCTAATTCTAAAGGAATTATTGGAATAATAAATATTTATTTTTGATTTTTTTTTATTCCATATATTTAAGTGAGGATTGCTTAACTGAAGTTTGAAGGAGTTCCAACCCATTTAACCTTTTAACTAAAAGTCAATCTTACATATTGTTTATCATATGTTTGATTAAGAAATAAAAGTTAAATTTAAGTTTAAGGATAGCAAAAATTAGGAAATTTAGAATTGCATTGCCAATTATCTTCAATAATACATTAATCTGAACATCCATCAAAATTTAGTTTATTACCATCATCACACTCTTCATATTATTATAATATTTAATCGCCACAATTATTTGATATATGAGACACTTTTGAATAATGAATATTTTCTATATCTTCTTTATCCTCCAAATTAATTTCATTATTTTTAGTATCTTGTTATTACTCTTCATATTTTTCTTCTAAAAATAAACATTTTTAATTTTTATCCATAAAATATCCAAAATGACATTAAATGCACCTACCTTTTTCGCATATATCACAATTGATTTCACATTAAAATTAACATTAATAACATCCATCATATGGTGTTTAATTAAAATCATCGCATTCTTCCAATTCAGGTATTACAACACCATCTCCACAAATAGGTCTACATTTGCCATCTATTTACTCAAAATAATCATCACATCTAAAACATAAATCTGCATTATAACAATAGAAACAATTCTAATCACATTCAAACTTACAATTATAACATCCATCATTAGAAAAGGAATTGCCATCATCACATTCTTCATTTGAATATTTAGCAATTCTATTATCTCCACAAATTTGATGACATTTCCATTCTAAAAGTTCCCATCCTTCTTGGCACTCTAAACATTAACTTTCTATACACATTAAGCATTCTAATTAGCAGCTTTTCTAACATTTATAACAACCATCAAATTAGATGTTATTTTAATCATCACAAACTTCATCAAATAATCTTATTCCATCATGACAACTAGGGACACATTTTTATTTATTATAATTTAATTAATAGCCAATCTCGCAAATTAAACATTTCTCAAAAATTTATTCATTACAATTTTTAATTCTTATGATGTATTATAATTCAACAATTTTATACTCATTATTAAGATAATTATAACTGCATTAAAAAAAATTTATTAAATTTTCATCAAAAAGTCTTTCCTTATAAATTTTATTCTGGTTAATGTGTTTAAAATCATAAATACATTGAGTTTAAAATAATATTTAAGATTCCTACTAATTATAATTTTCAAATGAACAGCCATTTTAGAAATCATCTTAATAATTTATTTTAAAGCGTGCAAACAAAGGAACACATATATTGATTGCAGTTATGTATTCCCATCCATTCTAACAATTGTAGCAAATTCCCCTTATACAATTACTGCTTCCTTCAAAAATACGGTATTATTAATCAAAGCATGAATCAAAAGGTTAAATATCTAATTTAGAGTATTCATCTATTAGTGTGATCTGACATTTTGGTATAAATTATTGACTTGTTTTTTTAAATAATTAAAAATCTCTTATTCCAAATCTATTAAAAGAATCAGAAAAAGTTGATAAATCTACTCTAATTTTAACTGTTAAATTATCTTAAGTATGTCCTAATTATTAAATATTTATTTAAAATAAGATACAATTCCAATTATTATAATAACTAAATACTTATAGAGTATATGAAGTTGTTGTTATCAGAATATTGTCTATATACACATACATTTAAGGAGATATAACATTTATAACAAATACTTTTAAATATAAACTAATTGCAATATGAGACCCTAAAGTGAATGATTTTATAAGATGATCACCTGGTGAATATTGGTTAGAAAAATCTATTAATTAATTTATTATAATATACAACAACCATCCCAAATAGTTTTAATTAATATTCCATTGTGATACCATCCCTCCGAATCTAAAATAGCAACAAAAGATTTTTTATTAAATGATTATTAAACTAAAATTTGATCAAAACAACCCAATGAATTACATGAATCACATCCACAAGTACATGTCATTACATAAAGTTGAAATTCAGAAATACCCCACCATTAACCATTTTTGGATGTCATTATAATAAATGTTGATGTACTAAAATGATCTAATGTTATTTCAATTTAATATTTCTTATCATATTGAGTTAATCCACAATTATCTGTCGTACTATCTTAACTTAAATATGTATATTGATATGCCACTTAATTATCAATATAAATTGTAAATATATCATCTACATCCCAATCATCAATCCTATTTAATTAAATAAATATAACCTCCAAAAATTCAATTTTATGATTATTTGATAATGAGGTGGTAAATCAAAAGGCTTAGAAATGATAGTCTGATAATTAAAGCCTTGATAACCACCAAAATATAAGTTGAATCACATTATGTAATTTTATTTATAGACTAATATGTAGCCCAATCTCTTAATAATATATTGAATTTACCTTCTTATGAAGATATTACTCCAATAAAGTCTTGATCAATCAGTTATTATTCTGCTTAAATTTATAAAGACAACCAAATAAAAATAATCATCTTATAAATGTTAAATATTTCAGGTTTTCTTCCTCTTAACTTGAATAAATTAAATGCTAATGTTACCTTCATCCTATTTAAAAAAAAGGAAAATATAAAAATATATTTTATAAATCAATGTTGATTATGATCAATCAAAGATAAAATCAGAGTCAATAAATTATTAATTCCTCTATTAAGTTAGTTATAAAAAATATTTATTTTTTTGTTTAATATCATTTATACTTAGAAAAGCAATAAAATAAAATTTTATATATACTTTGGCGTAATTTAAAATATTGTATAAAAATAAGTTCATAATTATTCAAGTTCCTTTATATCAAAACTAAATAGCTCAGCCTTACTACTTAATCTTATTATTTTTAAATTAGACTTTAATCCAGAAAAAATGTAATTTGCTTTTTATTATCTAAATTGTTCTTCTTTACAAATCAATATTTATTTTGTATTTTACAAATTCCAAGTATGATAAATTAAATTTATTCTATCATTTCTCTCTTTTCGAACAATTTTTGCTATTCTCAATGCATTTAAAAATTTTCCCGATAATCATTAGCCTATTTTCTGAAAATTTACTCCATCAATTTATTGAAATTAAAATAATACTATAATTTAGAATGTTTTTGATGCATTCAAATCAATTTGTTTTTCAAAGTGATTAAGATATTTGTACATTTTTCTTGATATATGTAATTAATGGAATTAACAATTAAATACCAAAAATTAAAATTAAAATCTTTTAATATTATAATTAAATATAAATTTAAAATATATTGATTAATAATTTATATTTCATTCAAAGTCATTATACAGTACTTGTTTAAAGATGAAAAAAATAAATATAATCTAAAGATGCTTAAGCATTTTGTTTTTTAATATATCTATGCACGAAGCTTATCTTTTATTTATAAAAAACATACCAGCAAATATCTTGTTTCGACTTAATATTTAGTCTTTTGAATATCTCTAAAAATATTTAAAATTCTAAATTCTTAATTGTTAAGTATTCAAGTATGAATCATTGGGTTGAAAATATAATGCTGGATTAGGGATTTTAATTTTTGTCAATTAAGCATAATATCACAATTACTTTAAATTTTGTGTACATTATTGGTAATCAAATTTCTTATTTTTAATTATTGAAAAATAAATAATAATAAAAGCAGCAATTTGTAAGGAATGGATTAATTAAATTGTCTAAAATTTGTCTCCATCAACGGTTGGTTTATAGAGTGATTTTTATTGAATAGACTTTTATTATTACAATTTAACATTTATATGAAAAATAAATAAATTTGAAAAGTTTATTTGAGATTATGAATGGCTAGCTATATTTTGTACAAAAAGCAGCCAGATTAAATAAAAAACTATTTGATAAAAAATTGAAAACATTTATATATTACAATATATGTTACATCACATCATAAATCTCTCAATATCAATCCACATCCTCTCTTTGATCCAAAACTCAATCAATCAATAGAGAACAATTACTTGAAGCCAAAATAGATATTTTTTGAAGGTGATAGGTAAAGAAATTACAAATAAAACTTGATCCATCAGTAAGAAATTATTCAATACAAAAGTAAGGAAATGACATAAGTCACCATTTAATAGATGAAAACATCATGAAAATTGATTAAGGTTGATTTTTAAAGGGCACTTAGATAAAAAAAAAGAAATTTTAAGTTTTATAGAATGAAATATATGAGATAATAAATAAATATTGAATCCTCATTATATAGTTATATCATCATAACAATTGTCTTATTATACATGATTAAACAAAGTTAATTATTTAAGGAAGGTTTTCTTAGTTTTAAGTAATAATTTTTTCAAGTTTTCTTATTTAATATATAAAAAATACTTTTGATATTTTTTTATTACAGATTGCTATAGAAGCAAAGAAAAAATAGATTTCTTTGTAAAAAACAAACGAAAATAGTAAATTGAGGCTATAAAATTTAATTGGCACAATGCATTCAATAAAGTAATTAATTCATAATTTATTTAATTTGAAAATGAAATTTATTCTATATATCTAAAAATAAATGTAATTTGTTAAAATAATTTAGATTTATTATTAAATATAGAATGAAAATGAAAATTACATAATCATTGTTCTTTGCAATCCTCTTTGCAAATGTCTATGCAGATGTTTTAATAAAATTACCTTATTAATGTAGTTGTTCATAATTGATAACGAAATATGATTGCTACAATGGATAAGGATGTATTTGGAATGAGTATAATGGAACTTGTTAACCATAGCCTTGTGTTTCACTTAATTCATATGATTGTGCACATGACAAAAATTGCATGTGGTCATATACAAAAAATTAATGTGATACTTTTTAATTTTGCAATTAATTGTAAGCAAATGGTTCTAGTTCTTGTTTTGATTTATCGATTAACTGTCCCTATTAATCTACTTCTGGAGTTTGTGGAGGTATAGATAAATTAGAACCATGTTCAGCTTAAACAAACAGTAGTGATTGCTACAGCAAGATATCATAAACTAGATGTTTTTTTGATAATAAAGCTTCAAAGTGTATTCCAGTAGAATGCTCATAAATGCCTAATATGTATAACTGTACATATTTCGATTATTGCCATTGGAATTAAAATAATGGTACATGTGCTTAATTAAACTGTAATAATACATAACATGCCTCATCTTGTTAATATGTCTATATTTATTCTACAAACTAATTCTAAACTTGTGTATGGAATGTGACATCAGAAACATGCAATCCTGCAGATAATGCAAATCAACTCATTTAAAATAATTGTACTATTAATACAGTTGGATCCTATAGATGGAATCCAAATACAAATACATGTCAAAGCTGTTATGCCAAAATAATCACTATTATTTTGCTATAATTGATTTTGATATTTGTATGAACAATTATGATATTATCATTATTCAAATATTAAAATTCATTATTTAGTTCTATTTATCCTTTTGTAATCTTTCATCTATAAAACAATTAAATTAAATTATAAAAATCTAAAATTTTAGATTCCTTAAATTATCCTGAAACTAAATATTATTTATTTTTCTATGATATAATAATTTAGCTGTTACCAAAATTTTATGAAATGTTCTTAGTTTTTCTTTTTTTAAAACTGATAATCAAAAATATTCCTCATTAAACAACATCATTTTATAATTAATCAATTAATTTCCATTAATATTCCAGTAAACATTTTAGAATGAAAAATTTAAAGTTATTTAGATTATACATATCTCTGTTAATGAAATACAATGAGTATATTATTATACGAATTCAATTCTATATAAGATATTTTAAGTTTTAAAATCATATCAACTTAAATTTAGTCAAGAAATGATATTTTTTTTTAAATAACTGATAAAGATTTATAAAAAATAATTGATTATTCATTATAATATTTAAGAAGGAATTGTTCAATATCAAATAAATTCTAAAACTTTAATTATTTATGAATAAGGATTTGAGATTGCAAAATTAGTAAAAAATATTTTATCAAAATAGTTAGAAAAGAGACCTTAAGAAAAGCTTAAAAATTGAATATATTTGATGAAATGTTGGATGTTATTAATAAAAAAAATAATATTAATAATAAATTAAGTGGAAACCTAAAAATAAAATTAGATTTTTCATAGTTATTAATTAACAAAGAATTGATATTTAATTTGTTTATAAAAATGCAAAAATTATTGTACACCGAAGAAGGATTATAGATAATGAGGAGTAGGAACAGTGATCCGATAAAATAGAACAATGAAAATAAGGGAATATCAATAAGACCAAAATGTTTACGAATTCAATCATTATCAAGATAATGTAACCGTGTTAGAGTAGGAACATTGAAGAATACTTATAATTTATCGAGCCCTGAGAATCTATTATAAGTTTTACCTTTTACAAGATAGAAACATAAGGCAACTAGTATACCTTAAGTGCTTTCCGTTGATTAATTATAAGTAAGACATGAAGAAGATCTGTTGTAAATGGCAGCCAGTTAATTACATTTACCAAATTGTAATGGGAAGGATGGAATGGGAAGGCATCATTTATAATCAATAAGATTGAGAACTGGTGATTGGTTTTAATGGAAAAATATTCCAATGTTATCTAATGTAGTAGATGATTTTTAGAAGAAATTAAAGTATGGAAATTTAAACATAGAGATTATAGTAAACATCTGAAGAGGAAGAACATATGAAAGCAGAGAAACGATTAATATAGCATGAATTTGAAATGAAGAAGGTTGAATAGATATAAAGAAAAACAGCATAAAATTTAAATCATGTTTTAGAATAAAAATCATTAACTTATAATATTGATTTGGATGAGTTTTGGAAATAGATGAAAGAAAATGTATTTCAATTATATATAATTAAATAAGAGTAAATACTTTTAACATCATACAGAAGAGATGGCTAAGAGTAAAGCGAGTAAAAGAGAGAGATTAGAGAAATTCTAGAAGAAATTTGGTGGTGATAAGAAAGTCTGTATCCCACAAATATAAAAGCAAAATGTTAATAATAAGGAAACAGCATATTATGATATATGAAAATAATTAATTATGGAAAAATTAATACCTTTCATAAATGACCTTCACGTATAGAATTAATAATACCATTCTTATAGGATATTCTGAGTTAAGCAGGATTGAGTAGTGAATTGAATTTGCCTTCAATTGTAGTTATAGGATCTTAATCAGTTGGAAAATCATCTCTTCTTGAAAGTATAGTGGGAAGAGAGTTTTTACCTAGAGGAAAAGGGATAGTAACAAGAAGACCAATAGAGATTTAATTGCATTAGGTTTTGGATGCAGAATAGGGATGGTTTGAGTTTATGGATAAAAGAGGGGAAAAAATATTTGAATCTGAGGATATAAGGAAATTAATAGAGACTGAGACTGATAAAATAGCAGGAAAAAATAAAGGAATTTCTCCTGTTCCTATAAAAGTAAAATATTTTTCAAAAGACATTCTTGATCTTCAATTAATAGATTTACCAGGAATAACAAAGAATCCAGTTGGAGATCAACCTTAAGATATTGAATAGAAGGTATTAGATATTGTGATGCCATTTATTAAAAACCAAAATAGTTTAATATTGGCAGTATCAAAAGCATCAGATGATTTAGCTACATCAGATGGATTAAAATTAGCTAGAAGTGTTGATCCTAATGGATTAAGAACTATTGGAGTAATTACTTAATTAGATTTGATGGATGAAGGAGCAGATATTTTAAATGATTTACTTAATTAAACATATCCATTATAATTAGGATATGTTGGTGTTATTATGAGAGGTTAGAAAGATATTCAGAAGAATAAAACTATTATTGAATAAATCAAAGATGAAAAAACATTTTTTGAAAAACATAAAATTTATAAAAAATATTCTGAAAAAATGGGTGTTAATTTTTTAGTAAAAACTTTAAATATGAATTTTATTCAACATATCAAAAAAGCATTACCTATTATTAGAGAAACTATTATAAGCTTAGTTTAAGTTAAAGAATATGACTTAAAATAATATGGAGATTATGATAATTTGGAAACCAAAGAGAATAAAAATTTGTTAGTCTTAACTTTAATATCTAAATTTTCTAATTCTTATAAGGATATGTTAGAAGGAAGATGTTTAGATATTACAAGTAAAGAATTGATTGGAGGATCTAGAATTATTTATGTTTTTAATGATAATTTTAGAAAAACCATTTAAAAAATGAATCCATTTGATATCTTAAGTGATGATGAAATAAGAACAGCTATTAAAAATGCTAATGGAATCAGGCCATCTTTATTTGTTCCTGAAGGAGCTTTTGAATTGTTAGTTAGACAATAAATCTCTAGATTGAGAATGCCTTCAATTGAATGTTCTCATATAGTATTCGAAGAATTAAGGAGAGTAATAAATTAAATTTCAATTCCAGAGATAGAAAGATTTGATACTCTTGCTAATAGAATTTCAGAAGTGATTGAGAATCTATTAAACAAGTGTTTAAGATAAACTGAAGAGATAATATCAAATTTGATTGATATTGAGTTAGGATACATAAATACAAGTCATCCAGATTTTGTATCAGGAATGGATATGGTTAATAAGGATGAATAAAGATCATCATAATAATAAGTTCAATTATAAAAGGAGAAATCTCCTTTATAGAGTGAAAATGAATCTAATAAGTTTTTTAATTTTTGGCCTTTCAAAAATAATAAATAGACTGAATTATATGATAGTAAATTAGATAATTTGAATAAAAAGAGAAAATCAAATATCAATAATGAAAAATAACAAAAATTATAATAAATAGAGGAAAGCCAAATTCTATAATAATAAATAGTAATAAATAAGATAGTATCAGTGAATTAATAGTATTTTGTGAATGATCCTAAAAGATAATTACCTTAAGTTCCAAATACAATTAAGATCACTGATAGACCATCAAAGAGAGAGTAGACAGAAATGGATATGATTAAGGATTTATTAATTTCTTATTTCAATTTAGTTAAAAAGAATATTTGTGATTCAGTTCCAAAGACTATTATAACATTTTTAGTAAATTAATCAAGAAATTTTTGTGAAAGAGAATTGATAGGATTATTGTATAAATAAGAATTAGTGGATGAGTTATTATAGGAGAATCAATTTATATAAAAATCAAGAGCAGAGGCTAAGTAAACTTTGATTAGTTTGAGAACATGTTTAAATTTGTTAAATGATTTGGATTCTAAATTCTGAGATTATTTAATAATAAAAATTAATTGAAATTCGTTAAAAAACACATATTATAATTAATCTTTTATTTAATTTTTTTATTTGCTCAATGTTCAATTTAGACCTAATCTAAGAATTTGAAGTGAATGGATATAATTTACCGAAAATGGATAAAAAATAATGCATTAATCAAATTAAATAATTGTTGTAAACTCATCCATTAGATATTGACTTTATTGTTTCTAATACGAAACCAACAATAAATTAAATGAATATATTATAATAAAAGTCAGAGATTTCAAGAATCCTTAATTCTAAAAATGATTATAAGATTACAAGTCCAGTTTTTGATTTTAAACAATTGAATGAATTACTTCCAAATAAGAATAGAAATAAGATGAATGAGATTAAATGTAAAGTGGAGACTCTTTTGAATAGTAGTCATATAGATCCCCCATAAACAATAAAGAAAAGGTAAGTGATTAATATATATGATTAGATGGTGGACAGAAGATGAAGATTAATAACTTAAAGATTTGGTTTAATAATATGGTGCTAAAAATTGGAAGAAAATCGCTTCATTTTTTGAAGATAGAACAGATGTATAATGTTTACATCGTTGGCAAAAAGTTTTAAATCCTGATTTGGTGAAAGGTCCTTGGACTTAAGAAGAAGATGAACTTTTAGTAAGATTAGTAATTGGATATGGACCTAAGAATTGGAGTTAGATAGCAAAACATTTACCGGGTAGGATTGGAAAGTAATGTAGAGAGAGGTAATTATATAAAAATTAATATAAAGATTTCATAATCATTTAGATCCAAAGATAAATAAAGAGAGATGGACAGATGACGAGGATTAAACTATAATAGAGGCTCATAAAAAATTAGGAAATCGATGGTCTTTGATTGCTGGATTATTAAATGGTAGAACAGATAATTCAATTAAAAATCATTGGAATAGTACATTAAAAAGAAGATTGAAGATGTAAAATAGATGGGAAGATTTATAAGTATTATAAAATTAAGATGACACTTAAATTAAGGGCATTCCAAGAAGACATATGTAAAGAAAAATCATTTATTAAAAAACACCAGTGAAAATGATTAAACATGATCCTGTTTCAAGATAATTGAATTTTTAAACTCCATAGTAATAATCTCCATCAAGTAAACAGATTAATTATGATTTAATCTAGAACCTGAGTAAGTTTCAAAAAGTTTATTTATTGTATTTCCAAATTACAACTTAAAGTTAATGAAGTACTCTAGTGAAAATCTTATTAAATAGTTGGGTGAATTAGTAAATTTTGATCTTGATTTCAATAAACAATGTAGTTATGAATGAGTTTATTATTCAATTTAATAAATAATATCACAGAACACAATAGATTTTGTAATTTTAATTAATTAAACTTGTTTATCTTATCTAAATAATTAAAATAAATTAAGAAATGGAATATCGAAGATTGGGAGCAACAGGTCTAAAAGTATCTGCCATTAGTTATGGAAATTGGGTTAATTCAGATGATTAAGCAACATAAGATAGAAATACTAAAATTATTTAAAAAGCTTGGGAATTAGGAATCAATTTTTTTGATACAGCAGAAATCTATGGAGAAGGCAAAGCTGAAGTGCATTTAGGAAATGCTCTCAAAACTCTGAATGTTTAGAGATAAGATATAGTTATAAGTACTAAAATTTTTGGAGGAGATGGAAATGATTTTCCGAATTCCAAATATTTATCAAGAAAACATATCATAGAAGGTATTAGTAATTTATATAAATTTGTAGGTCTAAGAAATTCTTTAAAGAGATTGGATACTCCTTATGTTGATATTGTTTTTGCTCATAGATATGATTATTAAACACCTTTAGAAGAAACTTGTAGAGCATTTGATTGGGTTATTAGACATGGTTTATCTCATTATTGGGGAACAAGTGAATGGACAGCTTAATAAATTCATTAAGCTATTGGTATTTAATTAATTACTAATATATATAGGTATCTGTGAAAGATTATCATTACATAAACCAGTAGTTGAATAACCTTAATACAATATGATGGTTAGAGATAGATTTGAATGGGAATATGAAAGCGTTTTTGCTGCAGGTTATGGATCTACTATATGGTCACCTCTTTATTAAGGTTTATTAACTGGAAAATATAATGATGATATTTTAGCAGATGGAAGATTTAAAAACTCAGATAATGTTTATGTTAAAATGTTTTATTAATAAATTTTAGGTGATCCTGAAAGTAATTATTTATTATAAAATATTTTATAGAAAGAATTAAAATCTAAAATTAATTAAAGTAATTAGGTGAAATAGCCAAAGAATTAGGAGTAACATAAGCATAACTTTCACTTGCATGGGCACTTAAAAATAAAGATGTTAGTACTGCCATTACATCAGCTACAAAACCTGAGTAATTAGAAGAAACTGTAAAATCAGTTTAAGTTATTAAATTAATCACCAAAGAAGTTGAATTAAAAATAGAATCCATTCTTGCTAATAAACCTTAGACTTCACTAAACTTTAAACAAATGGCACCTTATCCAACAAGAAGAGATTTGTATGTTTGAAATATTCAGATATTATAAATAATCATAAAATATAAAATATATTATTCTTCTGATTTTTAGGTACTAATTTAAATAATTCATTTATTAATCAATATATAACAATTGATTTATATATTCTGAATTATTAAACTTAATTTTTATCAGATTTCTCTTTAACTTAAATTTTAAGATTATTTCTTACTATTTACAATTCAAACTTTATTATTATATTAATCATTTTCATTGTATACCTATATCAAAATGCATGCAGAATTTTTAATAATTTCAATTATTACATTTCATTATTAAAATAATCTTTGAAAAAAGCTATTTGTAATCAATTTTTCACTCAGAATATAGTCTTATAATTTACTTTGCCTTCAAAATAAAATCTCTAGACCTTATCTAACCAAAACTATTAGACTATAAACAAAATCAATAAAATTATTTTGGTTGTTAATAGAACTTCAAGATTCTTACAGTTATTTCTAAAAAATGTTGTAATATTTTAGATAATTCTAGTGTTCTTTATTTCATTGAAAATTTTACAACATATAGATTTATTATACATTAATATTGAAATTTATTTGCTTTTTATGTTTTTACGATTATTATTTCTGATAAATAGATTTTTAAATGCCAAGGATGATAAAATCGATTTATATTTAACTAAAAATGAAAATTATCCTTTAATGGGATAATCAATAATTATTCCAATAGATTATTTTCCATCTCAGAGTGAAGAAATACTTTAGTCAAACACTTTTCAACAATCGATACAATCTATATCTTAATCCTTAATTGAACTTAAATAGGTATATAATATTTAGGAGAATTTTTAAAATTTTTTCTAATTAGTGAGTGCCGATTAATAAGAAGTTAAAATTTGTTACACTTATTCATAAAATATTTTATGTGATTAAACATTTCAGAATTATCTTATAGATAATAGTATAATAAAGCTTAAGAGAAAGAATTTAAATTTTTATACAAATAGTTCATCTTGTTTATCAGTATTTGCTGTTAGTTTTAATACTTATTTACTAGAATGTGATGATTTGTAAGGAAAATTGTTAAAATTGATCGATGAAAATAGTAAAATTATACATCAAATACTCATTCCAACTTAATTAAATTAATCTATGCATATTTTATAATCAAATCAAACATATATAATTTATGAAATATTCAAAGATCTATGTTATTTTACATATGTTGAAATTAACTAAAATTTCTAATTAGAAGTAGTGAATTAAAAATTTTTAGATGGAAATCTAATGACTTAAGGTATAGGTGGTGATATTGTGGAAATTTCTTTATAAAAAGATAATATATTGAATATTTTTTTTAATTAATGTTTAGCATAATTGGACGTCAATAATCATATTTTAGTTTAATCTTTTAAGATTTTTGATAATTCAAGAAGATATTTTAAATATATATCAAAATAAAATACTTTGTAATTTATAATTGATAAATCTTCATAATAGCAAATTTAATAAGATTACAGAAAAATAATTATAAATCCAAAAAATGATAAATTAAGAAATGCCTTTATTATTAATTAGAATTATATAATTTACTTTGAAAGCAAGATTTTCATATCAAATAATAAAGTAATCAATTATACACTGTCTTAAGAGTTTTAAGAATTGCTTGAATTAGGGAATTTACCAATTATTATTGGAATAACAAAGGCTGGATAAGTCTAAATTTATTAAATTTTTGATTTACCATAACATATCAATCTTAATTCCTCAAAAATGGTTATTGTAATTAATTTTCACTTTTTTCACTTTTAAACTTAGAAAATTTATATTCTTGAAGAATATTCATTAGAAAAACCTTATTTGATAGCCTAGACTGAAGAAAACATAAAATTTATATTGATAGATGAAAATATATTGTGGAATACTGACTAATAATAAGCTTATTTACATGATATTAAATAAATTTAAATATCAAAATATCTTTATGGATAATTTTGGTAGATTGTAGGATTTAAATACTATGGTAAAATTATATAAACTTTAGATAGATACTAAAAAGTATAATTCAAAAAACGATTATAATAACCTTTATTATTAGTTTATTTAGCAAAGAGTTCTTTATTACTTGAGTTTTACCAGAATAAAACTCTGATTATATAAGATAATTTATAGGAAAAATTTTAATTTCAAAATTATAATTTTAATATTGAAACTTCTTAGGTTTTTACAAGCACTATTCATTCGAATGTTATTATAATAGATAAAAAAAATAAAAAAATCATTCTCTATTAATATTTGAATNCTAATGACTTAAGGTATAGGTGGTGATATTGTGGAAATTTCTTTATAAAAAGATAATATATTGAATATTTTTTTTAATTAATGTTTAGCATAATTGGACGTCAATAATCATATTTTAGTTTAATCTTTTAAGATTTTTGATAATTCAAGAAGATATTTTAAATATATATCAAAATAAAATACTTTGTAATTTATAATTGATAAATCTTCATAATAGCAAATTTAATAAGATTACAGAAAAATAATTATAAATCCAAAAAATGATAAATTAAGAAATGCCTTTATTATTAATTAGAATTATATAATTTACTTTGAAAGCAAGATTTTCATATCAAATAATAAAGTAATCAATTATACACTGTCTTAAGAGTTTTAAGAATTGCTTGAATTAGGGAATTTACCAATTATTATTGGAATAACAAAGGCTGGATAAGTCTAAATTTATTAAATTTTTGATTTACCATAACATATCAATCTTAATTCCTCAAAAATGGTTATTGTAATTAATTTTCACTTTTTTCACTTTTAAACTTAGAAAATTTATATTCTTGAAGAATATTCATTAGAAAAACCTTATTTGATAGCCTAGACTGAAGAAAACATAAAATTTATATTGATAGATGAAAATATATTGTGGAATACTGACTAATAATAAGCTTATTTACATGATATTAAATAAATTTAAATATCAAAATATCTTTATGGATAATTTTGGTAGATTGTAGGATTTAAATACTATGGTAAAATTATATAAACTTTAGATAGATACTAAAAAGTATAATTCAAAAAACGATTATAATAACCTTTATTATTAGTTTATTTAGCAAAGAGTTCTTTATTACTTGAGTTTTACCAGAATAAAACTCTGATTATATAAGATAATTTATAGGAAAAATTTTAATTTCAAAATTATAATTTTAATATTGAAACTTCTTAGGTTTTTACAAGCACTATTCATTCGAATGTTATTATAATAGATAAAAAAAATAAAAAAATCATTCTCTATTAATATTTGAATGAAGAAATAAAAGCTAGACAATTTAAATTAAAATAAACAATACATTCTATTTTGTAATAAGATAATCTTTTAAGTATATCTTTAGAGAATTGTACTTAAATTCATATTGAAATGGAATCTTTAGAAATTACTTCGGGTATGAAAATATTATAGTAAAATTGTACCCTATAATATTTAATATTTTAAAAGTCAATATTTTACTCAAAAAATCTATTAGAAATATTCTGGATTACCAAATATGTTTACTTTTTTTAAGATATTATTGAATTTTAGAAACTAACTTCATCATATTTTATATTGTTTCAATTAATTGAAAACAAAGTGCAATCTCATATCTACAGTTTATAAGAAAATAAATTATTCTATCTAAAAAAACTTATAACTCATGAATATTAAATACACTATCCTATTAAGTATAAAATCTATTTGAATTAGTATTTAACTATATTAGCATATAAATAAAATTAAGATCATTAAGATTATGTTGTGTTAATATATGATTTTTTAGAACCATAAAGTTTTATGCTTATAAAAATTATCTCTATAGATGATCCTCATTCTTAATTCAGTTTATTTGGACTTCATAGCTTTATAGCCATATATAAAAATGAAGTAGTTATAGAAAATTTGTTAGGCTTTTATGTTTCAATTCAATAAATTAGCCTTGGTTTAGATACTTACATCAAAATATTTCCTATAGAGTTGGAAATTGAATTTTCAATTTCTGATCAAAAGCTTAATTTACCAATTAAGTATGTGTATGTAAACAATAATTAAACTTTGAGGAAGAGATTAGAAAATTCAAAAAATTAATTTATTTATTCTGATGATAGAAAAACTAAGATAATTAATATATCAAATATTTTTGGAAGTATTGATTAGATATTTTATCATGATTCAGTCAAATTAATTCCTTTATAATCTACAGAAATAATGGATATGAAAGAATGTTTGTAATACATTGTGGATATATGTTTGGTGAATTCATAATCTTTTAGAATCAATCCTTTTTCTGATGAGGATCATGTTATAATTGGAAATTTCTCCATTTTTAAATTGATTTAATATTAAAAATTTGTTAATTGGTCATTTATATAATATAGAGATCAAAATAATTATATATAAGAATTAATACTAAATGAATAAAGGATAATTATCTCATAATAAATTATAAATTACAAGTAATTAGTATATATATTTTTTTATAGTTTTTCAATAGAATTTTATTAAAAAGTCTAAATTATTGAATAGATTTTCTTAACATAATATAACAATAAGTAATACTCAATATTTTAATATAAAAATTCAAACATAGAGATATTCATAATAAATAATGAGAGTTCTTTTGATCTTGTAAAAATATTGTTTAAGAATCAAAAATATTATATGATGACTTTTAATTACCATTTGAATAAGTCAACAATAATATTAACCATAGCTAATGAAAATCTAATTACAACTTTTTAACATATTTTTTGTTTTAATGATATTTTAGATAAAGAATGGAGAATTTTTAATATGGAATGGATTAAAGCAATAGAAATAATAGATTTTATAGATGAAGAGAAGGAATTGAAAAATGATTTTCTCCTTTGTTATGAGTCGTTATAATGCTATAGAATTTTACTTACTTTTAATAAAGAAGATTAATCATATTTTACAAACATTAAAAATGTTATTAGATATGGAAATAATAAATAATTGTTGTATATATAATTGTTAAATAATTAATATTTAATTTTGCTGCTACATAACATTAATCAGAATTATTGGAATATTTTTAATTTGAATTAGAATACTTTTATCATTGATAGTTATTCCTCTAATTATATAGATGATTCATATTCTGAATTTTATGGTTATAACTAAACACATTTTATTGAAAGCTCATTAAATACTAATTTACTTAATCTAAGAAAATTTGTTGATTATTAAATAAAATGCAAAGATATATGTGATACTGATGAGATTACTATAACTCTACAAAATGATGTATCATCAATAAATTTGACTTTTATCCTATCTGAATCAAACTCTCAATTCCAAATAAAATTTTAAATCATCATAATATTAATAAATGCCTTACTAATTATATTATTTAACACAAAAAAACACTGTATTAAATAATAATAAAATATATAGAGAAACAATTTATGAATTGAAAATATATGATCTATATATAAATAAAGTTTATTTTATAAAAAAGATTGCATTAGAGCAAAAATATTTTAATGATTGTTTATATTTAATTTTATAATAAATAGATTGTTTTAAAAAACTGAGATTTTTAATAACAATATTAAACTCTAAATTATCTATAATAATTTTTAGAAAAATATATAAATATGTAAATTAGGAAAATAATCATCATTGGTTTCTTTATTCAAACATTATTGAAAAACAATTTATGTATATCGTATGTCTATTGTTTTAATTGATCGAGAGATGCATTTAATAAGAAATGATGAACCTATGATGGACTTGTTAGTTAAGAAATATTCAAAGTTTTTTTGAGTTCAATAAAATTAATATCTCTATGTTATTTGTTTTTATCAAATTTCATATCAAATACTCTGTTGATTGTCATGCATATAATAAGTTACAATCTTAATCTTGCATAAAATTTTTGATCATCTTATTCTCTTTAATCTTCAACTTATTTTTATAATTCATAATAGCAATAGGATAAACATCTTCTATATGGAACTTTAAATTATTCGAATCTATTGAATTAGGAAGTCTTTAATAATATTATTATAAAAATAATTACATTTGTAAATCCACCTTCCATTTTTAATTGTAAAAGTAATTATTTTTCTTCTGTTTTCATATCAAATTATTAGCAATCAATTTCCAATGTTTAATTTTCCAATTTGACATTTTATTAGGAAATTTAAGCTTGTAATTCAAATATGTGTTTTTTAAGTTATTTTGAATTCTTAAGAAATGAGTTCCATTCATTTAAAGGTATTTTAAGAAAGTTTATTTGATCTTAGATTAACATAAGGAATTCACGTTTGAGGATAATCACCATATTTAAGATGCAAAATCTTGTCCATACAATATAAGGGAATTGAGCAATACATTATAAGAAATGCATTTCATTTTCCAAAATAAAGAATTTATAGTACAAGAAATGTAACTCTCTCCAAATTAAAGGAAATAGATGTTTTTCCTATAATATAAATATATAAAATACTTCATCAGATTTATTATATAAAGACATAAAATCAGGATCTGGATCTTCGTGTAAGAAATGTTCATTTTATTTTAAATGTCTAGTTGGAAAGATTTTAATTTTAGGTTTTTCATTGAATTCTTTAGGCTATGGTTTAAATTAATATTAATTACAACTGCCCATTCAGGATTGAAACTTTCTCTTTATTGAATTGATATAGCAATATGAACAAGACTTAATTGAGTACGATAAAATTCACGAATGTGATCATTTTGAGGAACACATTTGAAGAGAGAATGTAAATCTCCAAAAGTTATTCGTTTTTGTTCAGATGGATTTAACATTTTCACTAGAATTGAAGCTAATTCTTTTTATAACACTTTCTTATTCAATTAAGAATAAAAATTATTGTATTCTTCGAAGGTTTTAAAGTTTTGTAAAATATTTGATGTTAATAATTGATAAAGTAGACATCCCAATAACCACATATCAATTCCTAATGAATAAGTTTAATTCTATAGAAATTCAGGTGGTGTCAGTTGTAAATTAGGATAAAATCCAAAAGCTGAAAGTTCTATTTAGTTTTTATAAATATAAATATTTTAGAGAGTGAAACATCGACCTAAAAACCCTTATTGATGTAATACATATAATCCTATAAGTACTTACTTAAATATTTCTTTTATTTCATCTATTGATAGGTTTGTTTTTTAAATTATTAATTCTTCAAGAGTTATCCCTTTAGAACATGGAAAATGATAGAATTAGTTTTGTTCAAAATCGCATGGTTTTCTGAGATGTTGTCCTGTAATTTTTTTTTCTGCATCAAAGAATATAAATAGTTCTTCATAAATGACTTTAGCTACTAATTTTTAGACTGAATTAATCATTTTAGGAGTTAGAATTGCCTTAGTTCTAAAACTAAGTTCAATTTATTAAGACATTATAATAAATATAGAAAAAATAAATAAATTTAATGAGTTAATTTAAATAGGGGTATTTAAAATGAATTATTTAATAAATACATAATATTTATTATAGAATAATAATGTCAAATCCATACGTATAATCGAATAATCAATATCCTCAATAAAATTAGTAATAATACCCTTAATAATATCCACAACAATACCCTTAATAGTATCCATAATAATAATAATCATATTAATAACCACAATAATAATACCCACCTTAATAATAATAGTATTATTAATCATAATAACCTAATAACTAATATTAATAAGTTCCATTTTCAAAGGCATCTTTACATACTGCACATGATCCTGCAACTACAAAAGAAAAACTAATTGTAAATATAGTTAAAGCAATATAATTATTTGGAACCTTTGATAATATTATATATTGTGTATACTTTTCTTGCTACATTTTTAAAACAAAATATTGCTATTTCGGTCACAAATGAAACTGCAAACATACTCCAATAAAATGCAGTTGCATGATAACTTTAAGGATTAATCAAAAGATCTCTAAATCCCTATGAAAAACATGCTACAGTCACCATACCAAATGTGACTAATAATTAAATTGTTAATAAACTATAAACTTTAACTATAAAATTCTTTCTCTAATCAAATCCAACATTTGATAATAAACAATCTCCACCATCATAATCAACAAGAGGCATTTTTTCTAAAATCTTAAATTTTAAATTACATTCATCGTTCGAATATGTTCCATTATTTTAGGGAACTGTTTAATTGTAATAAGGCTATTATTGAATTGGCTGTTTAATATTAATAGCTGCACTTATGACATTTGCTGTTACTGCTGCATTGACTGTTTATGCATGCAAAACTAAAACTGATTTTACTCTAGCAGGTATTATTAATTATTCTATTTAGGTGGTGCATTATTTATTTTTGCTACTATTTTATTTATCCTCATCATATTTTCAATATTCTTCTTTAATATTATCCTTTGGCTACTCTTATGTGCATTATCAGTAATACTTTATGGTTTCTATTTAATTTATGATACTCAATTGATTGTGGGAGGAAAAGTATTAATTTATTATTTATTTAGTCTCATCAATTAAGTATAGATGATTATGTTATTGGAACAATGTTCATATATATTGATATAATTATTTTGTTCTTGAGAATATTGTAGATCTTGATGATATTGTTTGGAAAAAAATGAAATATAATCATTATTATTATCGTTAACATTACTTCTTCTTCTCTTTCCTTGTAAGTCTTCTATACTTTCTTATTATTTTCATATCAGCTATCAAACTTATTTTATCAGTTTTCTCTGCTAATCTATTAATTCCAATTAAATTATCGCCAACTTTATTGAATGTATATTTTGAATGACATACTTCAGGTCTATCCTCATAAATTAAATAATCTGCACCGAACTTATTAATTAATATCTCTATTTATTATTACCTTTCCACCTCCAATAATATAATAATTATTAATCACACATTTATTATCTTTATCCTAATATACTATTTAATCTATTTTGCAATTCTTTGCCAAAGGAATTTCAAAATTATATTCAATTCCTTTCTCTTTATATTAATACATATAATGTTATTAATTTCTCAATTATATAATATATATCTCTTTTTTTTAATGTTTATATTCGAGAATTCTATTGATATTATTTCATATTAAAGATTTTTTAAATGCTTGAATACTTTTCAATTTCATTTAATTCATAAATTCATATAATAGTACATTATTATAATTAACATAAATTCCTCTGAAGGAACCAAAAATACTCTAAAATACAATACTACATTAAATGCATTCAAAATTAATGGCATATTCTCGAATCAAGTATCACTAGAATCAAATTTCGAATTCCATATCATAAAAAAACATTTTTATTAACATTTCTAAATATTAATATATTTTTTATATTATTTTAAAAAATATGACATATGATATTTTTCTAAAGATTTTAAATAAATAAATAAAACTAGACATATATAAGTATTTGATTATTTATATTGTGAATAATTTTATAAATAAACGTAGACTCTTAGACTAAGTTTTCTAATTAATTTCATAGTAAACTGAGTCTTCACAACAATTTTCAATAGATGAAGATGAAATAAATCAAGAGATTAATAACATTTGAATGAAAATTGTTTGACATTAATAATCTTAGATATTCATGTTAATTGATTTAAAGAAATAATAACAAAGCAAAATGATATATTTAAATATTATTTAAAACACTCATTTCTTTCTTGTAATAAGTTTTAATATTTCAATAATAAAAGTTAATCCTTTGTCCAAATAACTTATATTATCCTTAAAGAACTTTTCAAAACCTCCCTCAGTTAGCATAAATTTCTTCATGCGACTAGATGATACATTTTCTAATTCTTCCTTTGATAAGATTTTATTTGAAGGAATATCTAAGTTAAATGGGAATTCTTAATCTCCTTTTTTAAATAAGAACTCCATTTATATCGTTTATTATTGATTATTGATAGTATCTTGATTAGTCTATGTTATATTTAAATCCTCTTATGCTTTGGATTAATAATTATCAAATTCCATTTTAAGAGAAGTGTCTGATAAGACCTATGATATTATCAACAAATTGAATTACTTAAAAAGCTTCTCGAACTTCTTAATATTTAATTTCATCCTTCATTTATGAATCTGGATGATACCTAGATGCCATCTTTAAATAAGCTATTCTAATATCAGCTTAATTTGCTGTTTTTGGAATGTTTAGTATTTTATAATAATCTTTAGTATATTTTGTAAGGCGTGAATATCGATTCAATGCACAAAAAAATCTCGAGGATTAAAACATTTTAATAAATGAATAATATATTAGAATATTTAGAAACTAGAGATTAAGAAATTGGAGTAATCTAAGTTATCTGTTTATAGCCATTAATCATTGAATACTTCAATGTAAATTATGATTTAACATGTGCAATTAGCAATATAATAAATTAGAATACTGACATCTGTATTTTTAAAATATAGAAGCAACAACAAAATAATAACCAGAATTAAGAAAAAACCTAATGGGATTACTATAGGGATAATAAAATAATAGCAACTATTTCAAACAAAGAAGAAATACTATAAAAGCATCTTTAGGGTTTTAAAGAATAACTATTTATTAAATTCTCCATTTTTGATGAAAATGATAAACCAAATTACTTAGATCGATGCCAAAAAACAATAAATTATATCTAAATGAAATAAAAAGACATTATGTTTAGCAAATAAGATACTTTATATTTAGCAGAAGAAGTTAAAGAACATTGTTAATAATGGCTAACATCAATTTGAATAAATTATTATATCTAAAATTTATAAAATATACCACCATCCATCTTCAAATCATCATTGTAATTAAATTCTTTAAGAATAAAGTTATATATATTATATTATTACTTATATATTGAGAAACAAAAATATATCAAAATATTTTTCCGAATAAAAAGAAAGTAATTTTTTATACTCACCGAGAAATTTAGAATTCTAAAAAATACTAAATCAATTCTTATTATAAAATAATATCTAAAATAATTATAGCTATTCAATTAATATGATCTTATTAAGTATCTTTTAAAGCAAATTTCATAGTTACAAAAAACAAAAAATTTATAAATATCTATCAAAATAGTTTAGAATATAAGTATAGGTAATAAAAAGAAATATACTAAGTTGAAAAAATAAATGGAAATATGATATTAAGAAATAGAAGAAAAAATTTTAAGTCACTATTCTAAGAAATACTCACATAATAAACAAAAGTTAAAATTTTATTAAGAAAAAAGAAAAGTCAAAAAAAATCAATAAACGATTTCATAATTAGCAATAATAATTGAATCAGAAATTACTATTATACTTCAGTTAGAAATCTCGAATAAAATTCTAAACTATTTCATCAATACTATTGGATGAATAAAAATAAATATTAATGGTGAGCAATTCATACTTGGATATGGTGATTATAGTAAAGTATTAAATAGTAAGGATGAAAATTATATACATTTCAAATATAAGGTAGAATTTTTATGCAAAAAAACAGTTAAAATTTTATGAGAAATTTATAATAATTAAATTCCAATTCGAAACATTAAAAATAAAAATAATTGTAAAACAGGATAATAAATTGATGAAATTTGAAAAAAAACTTGAAGAGGATGATTTTAGAGATTAAAGAATTTGGAAGGTAAAAGTTTTATTGATTAGAAAATGTAGAAGATGTAGGAATTAAAGAGACTTTAAATTTTAAAAACAAAAATAATAAATTAAAAAGTTAGTTGAAATAAATAGTGAATTTGATGCAAGTATTAGACTTAATTATAACATCTATAAAGAAAAAATTGTACTTATCTTGAATTGATTTGATTTGTTATGATTTAGTAATTAATTTTAATTTGAGATTTTGATTTTATTAGTGTTTTAACAAAATAAGAAACTTTTCAAAAATATGTTTTTTTCAATGGAATTTCCTCAATATGGAAATAAATTTCTTATATAGAAAAAAGATTAAATTAATATACAATAATTTAGGAAATCAATTGAGATAATAAAATATGAGATTAATCATATTTATCTTGACAATAAGTACAGTCACATTGATAAGTTCAACAAATTTGAATATAAGCAACAGTTGTAATTGTTCTGAATTGTTTAACTAAGATTGTTTATCTGTCTAGTCAAATTGTGATTGGAATAGTTAGACGAAATAATGTTAAGAAATAGAATGTTCAAAAATAGAATTGTCAAATCATTGTGTTTAATCTTCTAAGAGATGCTATTGGTTAAATAAGTAATGTAATGATTTTATATCTTGTGAAACAATTCCAGGTAAAAGTTAATAAGAATGTATTGATGCAAATATCTATTGTCCAGCATCAAATGGAATAAATTGTTTAGCAATAGAATATTAATAAAAATGTGAAAAAATAAAGGATCCTGAAACTTGTAATGATTATTATTCTCCAGATGGTAAGTGTATGTGGAATGGAATAAATTGTATCATTCTATAATCTTGTACACAATTATGGAGTAATAAAACAAAGTCATGTTTGTAAAGAGGTTGTTATTTTGATTAGCTTTCTTATTCATGCTTAGATATGAAATGTTCTAAGCATTAATTAGAATTTGAGTGTTAATTTGGAGTTCCAACAATTGGTCCATATTTAAATAATATTATTCCATGTAAATGGGATAGTATAAATAGAGTATGTTAAAATGGAAAACCTGATGAATATACTATAGATCAATGTTATAGTCATACTGCAAGAACTTATCATTGGAGTAGTAGTATATTTAACAAAGGATAATGTATAGCATGTTATGGTTATATATTATCAATAATAATAATAATTGGATTGTCAATAACAATTATTATATGATAAGTTGGACTAATAGAAATTAATATTTGAGATTTATTAATTAATATTTGTAGTTTCTAAATAGTAATATAATAATTCCAATTGAATATATTATTGATTTCAATTTGATTAATTGATTGATTGATATCTTATGGATAATAATTACATGAATAATGTGAATAGAAAGAAGATCTATGAAAAGAATTCGAAAGATGAAGAGATGAATTCTATGGAAACTGTATAATTGCGAGCATATTTATATAATTTTTAAATATAATATGTTAAACGAATTAATCCAGCTATTTTGTAGCAATAGTACTCATTCTAGTGAGTTATTTTACAATGCTACATTATAATTAAATGAGTTTTTAGACAAGAAAGAGATAGTGCGATGTTTTCCAAGAGTGTCAGAAAACCTTGGAGATCAATTAGTATAGGATATTGATTGATAATCTATAGCCAAATCTGAGGAAGGCCTCTCATTAGCTTTTCCAAGCATATATTCGTGTGAATGAAAGTTTTGATGCAGTACTTTCAGCTATGCTTAGTAGAGGCCTTGTACATCCAAACGTAAGCATTTTTATGTTATATAATATAAGTGGTTGGTGAGATAGAAGAATATTAATTCATTGCAATCACTGTTTTTATCAGAAGGCTAACATTTAGATACTGATAGTACTATTGTTAAGAATATGGTTGAGATGTTGTTAGGGAAGTTGTCTGATTCTAATATAGCTGTTTGTAAGGCTACTGAATAGGTATGACTATTAGAATATTTATTAGACATTGATATCTCTTATCACTTTGAATTCATATAAGTAATGTCATGCTTAATTGCCTTTTGGAATATAATCTCAAGTTGAACAATTTGTAGATTAAATGAAACTGGCTAATTAGATAAGACATGACTTGAAATTCAAAGACCCAACTTCTAATGGATTGCCATTTGAGAAATTGGAAGATTTGAAAGATACTTAGTGGTAAATGAGAGCAGAAGCTATTTAAAGAATTTATGAAGAACTTTAAGATGTGGTCTTGACCCCATTATAAGTAGAGGTCTTGTTTGAGCATATTGTTAATTTAGTTAATGATCATAACTTCAATATAGTGTTAACTACTTTATAGATAATGTAAAGATGCTTGTAGTTCAATATAGTGAAGAGTAGCAACATAGTTAATATATACACTAAGCTAGGGGATTCAAAATCAGCAATAAGAACAGCAGTGAGATAAGTGTTAGTGATGTATTTGTAGAAGATTGGTGATGCTGAATTGTTGATTCAAATATTGTAATAGCCAAATAAGAATTCATTTTACAAAGAAGAATTGTTAGATCTGTTAGTGGATTTGGTGCAAAGAAATAAGATGCTGGTAACCTGATTGTTCAATATGCAGCTTTCATAATACCTCGAATTGGCCATAAAGGAAGTGGCTCCTTTCCTTGAGGACCAGAAATAGAAACTGCGTTTTAAAGCCATTGAAACCCTTACATAGTTGACCACATTAAATCAAGCCTTGACCAAGCGAGTGTTCTCGTAATTAGGTATTACAGAAGATCTTTTTAACTAAATTGATGTAAGTACTGCTTCATCAAATAAATCTGATCTTCCCTAATTACGATTCAAGAAAGAGTAAAGAGCAGAATAGAGAGAATAAGTAGAATAAAAAGATTACTCCTAATCTTTACCAGAACCCAAAAATAAGTAATAATTTGATATACCAATATTTCAATCTCAATAATAAGGATATATACCAACAATTATATCGTAACCTTAAAAATAATAAAGGAGTGCCTAAAAACCAGAATCTCATCCTCAATCTTCGAGTGTAGAATTTAGAAATCTTCAATAATAATAAGAATATAATCAACCTCCTGCAACTTAATAAAGTAAACCATTCAGAATAGTTAAAAATCCATAATAAGATATTCCAGATTAAGAAACTGGTCTTACTTATACCAAACCTTTCTAAAGAAAACCTAAGGCTGAAGCTGATAAAACATTTTAACCAATTTATTTAGATTCAGTGACTCCATTAGATTAACCAGAATAAGTGCTAAAGAATTTATTGAATGATTTAAGATATGATGATTGGAATAGATAATTCGAAGCACTTAACAATCTTAGAAGATTAGCAAAACATAACACTGAATTACTTAGAAAATCAATTAATTTTACATAAATCTTATAAGAAATGGTTAAATAAATTGAAAATCTGAGAAGTGGAGTATCTAAAAATGCTTTAATATCTTTATAAGAACTTAGTGATATCTATAAAAAAGATTTAGATTGTGTAATGGATTAAGCATTATAAAAATTAATAAAAAAAGCTATTGATCTCAATACTTTTATTAGTGAAGAAGTTAGAAAAGCCTTAATCTCTTTATTATAAAATTGTACTGAATCTAAGTCAATTTCTCTAATATCTTAAGTGTATTAGAGTAAATCAATTGCTGTGAAAGTGAACATTTGTTATGCATTGAATAATTTATTAGATCCTAATAAATAATACTTTGAAAAAATGCTATAAATTTTGTGTCTCTATGCTTGTGATTAAGGTTAAGAAGTCAGATAAATTGCGAAAGAGGGATTATTAAGTTTAATAAATTAAATAGATAAAAGAGAATTAGAATAATTGGTTATAAAATTAGCTCCCGATGGAGAATGTAAACGTATTATGACAATTATTAATGGTGAATCTACCACAACTTCAGAATTTAGAAAGTTTGGTACTACATAAACTAAAGAAGCTAAGACACCAGAACTTAGAAATAGAACACCTAATGCTAAAAAATTATCAGCAGATTTTGAATAGATGCCAAATTATATGAATTAAGCAGAATTAGCTAAAGATTGGAAATAAAAGAAAGATGCTATTGATTGGTTGTGTAATTTTGCAAAAAAAGAAGCATAATCTTTAAATGGTCATAAATATTCAAATAAATTTTTGGATTTGTTATGCAAATTAATTGATGATGGTAATAAAAATATAGCTCTATACACATGTGAACAATTCATTTAATTAGTTGAGGCACTTAAAGTATATTATGTCTTTATATGAAAATTAGTTACCAATTTAAAATAATTATGTTAATATATGGAATGGTGTATTTAAAGTAGTATCGTCTACAAATAATTAAGTACGATAATCAGCTGAATCATTATTTCATGAACTTATGATACATATTGACATTCAATATTCATTACCTTAAATCTAACATCTTATTTTGTATGGTCCAGCCAAATCTAAAGGCATAGCCATAACAATGTTAGCAAGTATTATTTTAAAATTATAAATAGATTTTGTATAATAATTTTATGATGAGCGACCATAATTAGTAGTGAAGTATCTTGTACCTTTAGCTAAGAAATTACAAGAAGAACAGAAACCAGATATTAAAATAGCATCTTAGAAATTATTTTAATAATTGGTTTCTATATGTCCAAATGATGTTGCTCATTTGAAGTTATTAAAATGAATATTATTATTTATTATAATTTTTTAATTAATTTTACTCATCATTTTAATTCATTATCAAATAATTAAATTTCTATAATGTTTAAATAAGTGTGTTAATTAAATTTTTATTTAATTCCAAATCTTTTTTCATCCAAATTAATAAAGAATTCTGGCCATCCATTCATAAATTTAATAATTTCTCCTTCTAAATAAGCAATTCTTTAAGCTGAATCTAATTTATATTATTCTTAATTTTCTTTACTCATAAAAATATTTAATAATTCTCCTTAAAAATAATAATCTAATCTTTCTACAATTATTTTAGCAACTTAATAAATTTCATGTTCTTCTTTATCTTTTTATCCACTCTCTATTAAAGTCTATAAAACTTGAATCATTCCAGGTTCATTATTTAAAAAGTATTCTTCAGTTAAATATCTTATATGTGTATGACAATTTAATTAAATGAATCCTTTAGACACTAAACTATAAGAATCCATATAAATAACTCTAAATGATTATACAATGCAATCATATTTAATAATATCTCTATATTTCTTTTCTATTGTAAATTCTCTTGGTTATACTTCAATAACATTGCCCAATGCTATTCCTAAACATTATTCTTCTGCTTCTTTATTATCATTTTTAGTAATTTCTACAAACATTGAATCAATATTCTTATATTCTGTACTACCATTATTATTATTATTATAATAATATTTATTTTATTTCTGAAATGTTTCATAAATCTTTACAATTATTTCTCCAGGTCCTCCAGGATAATTACGAACATCATTTTAAACTAAATCCCATGGTGGTCTATATAAATTCCTTTTAAAAATATTTGTAGAATTTGGATCAGCTTTTGGTTTAGCAAATTTAAAACAATTAATATTTCCATCAGAATTAGGGAATCCCTATATTCTACATCTACCTTTAAATGTTTTTCTTCCTGGTAATGTATAACCATCTACAATTACTTAAATTCCCATTATTATATTTCTATCGTTATGTTCTATTAATAAATTAAAATGTTAATCTGCTTATCCAACAATGCAAACCCCTTCAGGAGTCATTATATGTTAATATTCAAATGGTTTGCCTCTTATTTTTCTATAAGGATCAACAAATCGTAATTAAAATGTTTAATCATTCGAATGAACCATTTTAAAAATATATATTGATTATGTTTACAAATGTTTGCATATATTTGTAAATAAATCAATCTTATATTTTGCTCATCTCAATTAAGTATTTATTTTCTATTTAAATCCAAATCTTATAACAAATCCATCCAAACGATAATCCAATAAATATAGAACTTTATTGCATATGAATTATATTAGATTAATTTATCATCTATATTGAGAAACGGATAATGAAAACATTTATCTTATTAGGATTGCTATCATTCACATTTGCTGTGAGTATTACTAATTAAGGCACTTTAACCAATCCAACATCAAGAGTAGAAAGAATAGTCACTAAATTTATGTAATTAAGTGAAATGAGTACTCAATTTAACTTTAACAAACTTTTTGATGCTATTGACTAATTAAGTGCACAATTAAAAGTAACATACATTACTTAACATTAAAGCAATCAGAAGTAGACGAGAATAATCTATTTGATGCTGACTTTGCTTAATATGTTGAAGATTAGGCTTTTTATACAGATCTAGTCACTTTCTATACTGCTGAAGTTGCTTAACATACTGAAGATTTAAGATCTTTAAATAATCATCTTGAATCATACTAATAATAATTAGCATAAAGATAAGAGGAATTAGATAGAACTTAAAAATAAAAAACTTAATTAGAAGAAACTATTAGATAAAATGAAATCACATATAACAAATAAATTACTGATTTCAATACAGCTATTGATGTCTTAGATTAAGCTATTTAATTACTCTCTGGCCTAAGAAGTAATATTCCATTAAATTATTATTACTAGATCCTGTCTTAATTTAAACTGAATCAGATTAATTGAAAACCTTAGCAAATAAATTAAGTGCCATCAATCTTAAAAATCATAGAGTTTTATACTAACCTATTATTGATATCTTTATGTAAATTGCATAAAATAAGTACTCATATTCAATCAAGTTAGTTTGGCTAATCAAGATCTCCTTAAAAAAGTACTTAATATGTTGAATGGTCTCAGAAACTCTTTAGATGGAGGTAGAAATGCATTAACAAGCAATTATAATAGTGAAAGAGCTTCCAATTTAGAATTATTAGAATCATATAATAAAAAAATTGATGCTCTTGTTAATGAAGTTATTCCAATGTTACAAGATTTAATTGCTAATACTATTGGTAACTAATATTTATTAATCAATCTAGAACAAATCAAAGTTAAGACTGAATTGTTGAATAACGCTTAAGCTAATCTTGATGAAGCCAAAGAAACTTTGTAATTCATTGAAGATAGATGGGTTAAAAGAAAGGCTTAACATGCAGCATTGTTAGCTGAATATGAGAAAGAATAAGCCCTTATAGCTTAGACTATAACTGTTTTGTAAAGAGGCGGTGTAAGAAGATAATGATTTAAATTTTATTTTATTTCACATCGGAGGCATATTCATTCCTGCAGGCATCATAGTTTATTACCCAGGTAAACCCATTCCCTTAGGTTATGATATTAAACCAATATTTGGTGCTCCTGTCACTCCTTGTCTTGTTATTGGTTGTGCTTTTCCTGGTCCTGGTTATAATTCTTATTTCTTTGGAGGTTGATGAGGAGGGGCTTCTGCTGATAAGGATATTATATTATCGCCTCTTACAATAATCATTCCCAAAGTTCTTTTAGTTTCGATTTCATGAATTCCTTTCATAAAAATAACTTCTACCTTGCTTTCTTATTCTGTATTCTTCACATTCACTCAGAATCACATTCAAATGTTTGTCAAAAGCTAAAAAGGTTCCAACCAACATACGTCCATCACCTAAAGTAATTCTGACTCTGTAATCAATCCACTAAAAAAACTTGCTTTTCTAAGACATATTTTAATATTTTAATATATATTTAATTGTATACTATAATAAATATGCACACCTTTAATTAGACTTAAATCAACGCTTAAAACAAAAGTTTCTAATCTCTTGAAATGCATATCTATCTGGTTCTTAAAACATTTATTATACAGTTTATTAGGCTGTTTTTTTAACATTTGGAGTAGATTAATTTTAAGAATTCTCCTTTTATGTAATTGTCTAAACTCCAATTGAATTTGTTTATTTAGGTTTTGGAATCTAACTAATTAAAAACATCAATCCTGCATTAATCTATTCTAACATCTCTTAATCTTTTTCTCTTTAATTTAGTAAATAATCCATCTTTTATTTTAATTCAGACTAAAATTAATTTTATTCAATTACCAATTCATTTGTATCTTGGACTTAATTTTATTAAGACTTTAATTAAGATTCTTTAACAGGTTTATCTGTTCTAACAATAAAATCACTTAAATTTTCTGATATACTAGAATGTTTTGATTATTCTCTTTGTAAACTGAATTCATTTGAATTAACAAAATGATTTAACTATGGTTTTTCTTTTTAAGTTTCTTTGAATTCATTCCAATTATCAGAATCAGTAGTTCTATTAGTTTTGATTAAACCATTATTAGTACGATTAGTCTTAACTATAATGATATAAGAATATGAATTACTTTTCTATTGTAATGCAGAAATCAAATTGATTATCTAATCTTCATTATAATTATCTTATTCTTCATCAGAACTCATTTGATTGTCGTTAAAAATATAAATTAAATTATAAATAATATATTAAAAAATTCATTCCCAATAATCTTGAGATTTGTAGAATATAGTTTCTCCTCCAAAACAACCAACAATTAATTAAATATTATTATTACTAATTGAAATTGAACTTATCATAGAATTATATTAAAATTCTCTATGAATAACCCATCTATTTGAAATATTTTACCTCCAAAATTTAATAGTACAATCTTTGCTTCCACTAATTAAAATAGATGAATCTGAATTAAAAATAACTTAAGTAATAGTCGCTTTATGACCATCAAGAGTTTATACTTTTTTATATAGTTGATTTTATTCCATTTCCCATATTTTAATAAAATTATCTTAACTACCAGAAATTAAAAGATCTTTTAATTTACTAAAACACAAAGTAGTAATACTTCCTTTATGTCCTTTAAGAATTTAATATTAATTCCATTCTTAATTTTTAAGATTCCACAAAATAATAGTTTTATCAAAACTACCACTTCCAATAAGAGTAGAATTTCTATTAAAAAAAACAGTTTGAATTCCAGATTAATGTCCTTATAATGTATATTTAACTTCCCAATTAATTTAATCTACTTTTATTTACCACACTTTAAGTTTGCAATCATCACTACCTGAAATCATTAAACCATTCTTCGAACATCCTTAAATACTATTTACTCCTCTTTAATGAGTTTATCTTAATTCATTTAAACTCCATTTTTAATTATCTCTAAACCAATACACAATCTAACCATCTTCTAATCCTGTAAAAAATGATCCTTTTTCATCATAAAAATATAAACATTTTATTTAATTTATTTACATTAATTAACTTTAATATTACCATTCATTTTTATCTTCATCTATCTTCCATAATATTAATTATTCTTAATTTACATTTGTTAATGCTAACTTACCTTCATGAGACATTATCACACTTTAACCTTAATCCTTTCTAAAATGTTTATAATGTATACCTGTTTATTTATATTCATATAATTTTAATAATCTAGGAGTAAACTTTCGATATAAATCTTAGCAGAATAAATTCAAATTATAATTTAATACATTCACTTATTCCTATTACTTTCTCTATTTATCTAACATATTTTATTCACTCTATCTCCATTTCTCATTATTACTTTTTTCATTCATTATCTATATTTATAATAAATTCTTTTATTCTTCATATGTTCCCTCTTCTTTCTTTATTTTTAATAACTCTTAATCAAGTTTTAATAATTTCAAATCCTTCTTATCTATTGCTACTTCATGTTTCTCTATCATACATTCATATTTCACTATCGTCTCTATTATATTTTTATCAATCCCTTTTGTCTAAATTACCTTATTTATTGCACTACGTATTATCTTTCTTATCTTTGATTTCTTATCTAATTTCCCTTAATAGAATACTGAACTTTTTATTATTCCACTTTTAAATTCATTCATTTCTTTCTAATAATCATCATGTACCCTTCTTAATTCCATTAATTCCTCTCTATTTCTTAATTATCTACCATATTATTATAACTCTTCTAAATATTAATCATATTTCTTTATTATTACATCCTTACAATGTTTTTAACAATTCAATAATTCATTTTATTACTCCTAATTTTTATCCATCATTTAATTTATAAAAGATTATTTCTGTTACATTACTCTACCTATTAATTCACTTTACTCTTTTATTTTATCACTACTAAATTTTATATATTCCTATGTTACCATATCAAGTGTATTTGCCTGATTCTTACCATCATTCTATGTTAACCATAAAAATTAAATTTATTATTAAAATTTATCAATCCATTTTGAATAGTTTCCTTAATTATACTCCCCTGTTGTTGAGCTTTCCATTTATTTATTATATCAAAAAAAACTAATTATTATTATTAATATATTAATATCTTTATTATTTATTAAAAATCACATCATTCTTTATTTTACTTTCACTTTTTCAAAATCAAATATTATTTTTAAATAATAAAGACAAATTTTCAATTTTTATCAACCATATCACAACTGAACAAAGAATTATTTAAGTATATATATCATTTTAATATTAAAAATTTAATTTATAACAAAAATATGTCTTATATATATAATTTAAAATAATTACAATTTATTAAAATTGTAAATTTAAATGTCAAGAATATAAAAAAAAGAATCTAATTAAAATTAATCTCCATATATACACATTTATTAATTTATATCAATTATAATTATTTTCAATATTAAAAAATTCTTTTCTCCTTTTTTTTTACTCTTTTTTAGATAATAATAATTTAATGAATATACAAATAAAAGTAAAAACAACCATTATGAATTAAACAAAGTTTTTATGAATCTCTTTTTCATTTTCAAAATTTAATTCAATCAAAATTTATGATACTTGATTACTTAATTTTAGATATGAAGGTTAAGTGCATTATCCTTAACATTCAATTCTAAATTTATCAAGCGTAATTAGATGAACTTTCAAATCTAAACTACTGAATTTTTCAACTAATATAAAATGAGATTCATTGTATCTTTCAATAAAAGTATAATTATTATCCTCCACTTTTTAAATACTATCAATATTTCTATTTTTTCTTAAATTGCTAATATCAAATACATTAATAAAACTAACTTAATTTTATTAAAAACACAAGATCGCAAAATTGATATCAATAAAAAGTAACTTTTTGAAATTTGCTTTATATTCATATCGAATTATTCCTAATTACTCAAATATGATCTTATTTAAATCATTCAAGTCTAATACAATTTACATTAGCACTGCTATTTAGTCTTTTGATACCATAATAAATTTAATTTGATATTGATTACCTATGTTTTCAATATGATAGATCTAAATTTTAATAAAGCTATCATAAAAAAATTCAACTTTAAAATTTTCAAGCATTCTATCAGATTTATATTTATTATCAACTAAAATATCATAAATAACTCTGTCATCAATGTCAGTAAGCTTAAAAACTTTTAATTCAAAATATTGCAAACCAATATTCAATAATGTGTATGTTGAGTTCTTAATTTTAATTACATCAAATGTATTAAAATTGAATCTTTCAAAAATATTGGAAATATCTTAATCTAAAAAGGGCTTATATTAGTAATGAAATAAAAGTGAACCATTTGATAAACCTACAATCTGTAAATCATTTGTTATCTTTAAATTTGAAAATTCTAAAATATATTTAAGACTTTACCACTAGAATAATTAAGAATTCTTTTATCATGTCTTAAAATGTTGTTGCAAAAATTAAATTCATAAATTACTAAAGATGTGCTATCGATTATAAAAAATTCATGGTTACAGTTCTCATTGTTAAAGTTAATATACTAAATTATAAAACCAAGATTGTAGGAACATTATAAAGATGTGTTCGAATCAAAAATATTTCTAAAGATAGATTATCCATTTACACAAATACCAAATCTATAATAACTACATATTGCTGATTAATTTTTAAATATTAGAGGTTAATATATAGAAATATTTTCTGATCCAATAATTTCAACATTTTCAATATTACCAAAAATGTTTTCAAAATTAAAAATAGTTCCTGTCAGAATACGTTAATTTATATTTAATAATTATAAAGTATAATTGGTATTAAATCTTACAAAATGAAAATTTAAATCTATATTCTCATTACTAATAAAAGAGTTAGTATTGATTATTAGTTTTTTTTCCTCAATAAAATCTTAACTTTCTTTAGATATTTAAAAAGAAAAGCATGGTTAATTTAAATTTTAAATATGAATTTGTTTTTCATATATGAAAAAATATTCTTCATCATTTATAAAATCAAAAGAAAATTTTTCCACTTCATCAATTTGATTAATTTAAATTAATGATTAAATTGCAGTATTTATTAAATCGTAAATCAATAAAAAGGAACCTAAATCATCCTTTTTAGCTTTGATTATTAAATTTGATTCTTAAATTTTGTATTAAAGTGGAAATTAAACCGTATAATTGTAAGTAGGAAGTGTGTAAAGAAAAAATAGTTCTTCTTAATAGAATTAAAACAATTTTATATTTATTTCATTATTGTAACTAGTAAATATTAGAAGCTAATCAGTAAGTACATTATGTATCTAGATAATTTGCTCTTTAAATGTTATTTTTTAAGGAATCTAATAAGGATGATAGTAATAAATATATTTAGTATCAATATAAATTCCTTCTTTAGAAAATTAAAAGGAACTTTTACAATCAAATTAATATTCAGCTTCTACAAAAATAAATTTTTCAAATGATAATTAAATTTACACTTTAGTACAATCTTCAAGTAAATATAATACAAAAAAGTTAAATTTAATTGCCTTCAGTATCTTTTTTTCGGTTTAGTGAATACTCTTTCTTATTTCATCTTATTTTATTCGATAAATTTCTATTGAATTTTAATAGATTATTATTAAAAGCATATTCTTTCTAAGAAAAAATATTTCAATTATATTTTCGTGCAATTAAATTATATATGATTTTATTTGTTCGCCATTTACATAAAATATCAATTTGAAAATGTTATTACCTTATATTAAGCCTATAAGCACTTTTTCATAGCTAATCTTATATAGAATAAGAACTTTGCTAAAAAGGAGGATTCCATTTAAGTAAGAGAGAGTCTAATTATTGTAATCATTAAAAAATTTTAAATTTATTCCATTTTCCATAATCTTATTTATCTTAATTGGAAGATTTCTAGTATATTAACTATATGGTAAACATATTTAATCATTAAAAGTTGTTATTTCATAAAAAAATTTCTTTTTATAAAAGTTTTAAATTGGTTTATTTGGATCAAATAGTTTTAAATTAATCCAAAAAGTTGAAAATTAATATGGATCAACTACCACAGCTAAAAAAGAATCAGAATTTTTATATGAGATAATTGATTTCGGTTATATTAATTTAATTAATATAATCTACTAATTTGATATGGCTACAAATAAAGGTAATTTACCAACTTAAATTAAGTTATTTGTATTGATTTATTAAACTTTTTAATATTAGGAAATCGTAACAACTAACTTATCTGTGAAATGAAATAAGTATATAAATTTTCTAATATTAAAAACATTTTTAAAATTTACACTACTAAAATTTAATTACTTTTGTTCCAAATATAATTAACTTTTTTCCAAATTTTCTAAAACTATAAATTTTAAAGTGGAACTTTTATGAGGATAAACCTTTAAAATATTTGCTTAATCATTTTAGTAGACAGATAATATTTAATTATTTTTCTCAAATAAAACGCTAACTTAATTGGTTTGAATTATAAATATATCACCTGGAGAACTAAATTCTAATTAAATAATTTATTAATTATTTTCAGAAAATCCTTCTATCTATGATAAATTATATCTTTTTATATCTGAAAATGATAGATTAAATATTTAAATTGAATAAAAAATACTTGTTACACAATTTTTATTAAATATTATTATAGTATTTTTCTAGAATATTGAATCTGACTAGCACTACTATTCAATTGGAATGACAATTTGATCAAATATTTGTGATTAATTTAAAATTTAAATTATTGTATTATTTTAATTAAAATAACATTAAACAATATAGATTTCTTAATCTAATTTGTATAATTAAAAACAATCTGAATTGTTTAACTTGATTTAACAATATTTTTTCTTCATTATTATATCATCGTCTTAGATATAGTTCTTAAATTGATATAAACATTCAATAATGCTTCTATTTCTTAATAAAATAATATCTATATCATCACTTTTATCCAAATGAAAACTAAATAGTCTTTCATTCCCATTTAATTCATCAATCTATTCGTTTTCTAATTTAATTTCTTTAAGTAATTCAATATTTAAATCATTTATATTTTGTTCATCAAATTTCTCATTATTAACATTAATTTCATAAATCATTTGCTGTAAAAATATATTTTCATTTGGAAAAATATTGAAGGTGGTCTAAATTATTTGAAAATAATACAAGGGAACTTATTGTTACTTTTACAAATAACCATATGCTTAAGTAAATGTTCATGTAAAAATTAAAAAAATTAATTTCTTTATAATAATTTATTAGCATATTAAATTAAATTCAACTCAATATTAATTGGGATCTTTAAAATTATTATAAATGATAACAGCATAATAATTTAAAATTTTCCATAAAATTTACATTCATATTCTCCTTATCAATTGGGCTATTTTTTTGATTAATGAATTCTTATATGTTGCGAATCTAATTATAAATATTTGATTTTAACAATATCTTGCATTTAAATCCGAATTTCAGTTATTTTCGAAATAATTAAAAATAATAATTACTGTCGATATAAAACAATCTAAAAATTCTGATTCTAAATTTGATTGAAATAAATCAATAATGCAAGAAATAATAAATGGATTAACATTGTCAATTAAAATTTAAAATTATATAAAACTCCTTACTAATTAATAAATTTAAGTGCTAATTCCTTTAAAACTATTTATTATGGAAAAAATCTAAGAATTTAAAAAGAAGAACTAAAATATTTTAAATAAAATTTAATAATTAATTTATAAAAATTCTTAAATATTAGATGAATTTGAAAGAATATTATAATAAAGCTCGATAGATTGCTAAAAATGCTTATTTAATATAAAATTCGATTCATAAAAATAATTTATGATGATAAAAGAATTAGAAGGAATTTGAAAATAAATTAATACATTAAAATGTAAGTAAGTTTAATTTAATTTATTTGAATTTAATTAATAAAAAGATAATCTTAAATATATTTAAATTAATTCTATTAATTATGGCTTATCTTTTTAACATAAACTAATACTAAGTTATTTGTGAAATAAATATTTCTGTTATTTGAAAAAACCTTTTAGAACTATTAAGATGATTTTAATGTATTGCTTTAAGTTTTAATGAGGGTTACAAATTATAAAATAGAATTTATAAAATTGTGATAACATTAAAAAATTTTGATGAATCAAGGAAAACTTTCATTTGGGAATGGAACTATTAGTAGAAGATCTGATCTACATAAAATAATACATAATTTAGAATTTTTGAGAAAGAAGCAGTATAAAGATTTTAAATGTTAACTTTAAAGTTTAAGACTGATTATGAAATTACAAAAAATAACTATGAGTAAAATATTATTATTCATTCATTTGTAAAAGTCTTAGAAAAAGAATTTCATAATCATAAATTTTAGCTAAACTAACTTTTATAAATAAAGTGTTTAGAATTCGATGTATTAGAATAGTTTTTACTAAATCTTAACGAAATAGTCATCTAATATATTATGAAATTAGATGTCTGAATTTTCAAATTTCATTATTACTATAGATTTGAATTGAATATTACTTTTAATTAAAATATTTCAAAAGGCAAATAAAGAAATTATTTTTAATTATTGTGAAGCATTTTCCCACACAATTAACCATAACCCATCATCACTAATAGTTCCCCAAATCTAAGTTGTATCAAATAGAAGCTTTTTGTAGATTTACAACTCTTAGTTTTTATTTACAAGATATAAAATCAACTAGAATTTATCTTATTTTATAAATAATTGTCTTTATTTTATATATGATGAATTAAAAGTTTAACTTTATACACCTTCACTTTCCATTAGAAATTAATTTGATTTTATAAATTAACCGTCAACTTAATTTAATTCATAAATTAACATTATTTTAAGCAAATATAAATGAATTACAAAAGAATTTTCCCCAAAAAAAGTTGCTTAAACTGCAAAATTATCTAAATATATGATTTAGATAATTTTCCACAATTTCTCTTAATTACTTTCTAATTCAATCACAGTAATTTTACCACCTCCTGTACATGAAATTAATTTAGTTTCAGATTCATTAAAGCTTAAATTATAAATCCAATCTTATTCATCATTTACTTATAAATCTTATTTAAAATACCATTCACAATTTACCTCCCAAAAATAAATATGTTCTTAAAGTCCTGCAACAAGTAAATTATTTTTATCACTTATCGCAAAACAGCTAAATTAATTGGAATTAGGAATTATTTTCATTAATATTTTATGATTATTTACTCCAAATAAAGGTTTGATCTTTATCATTAAATCACAACCTGATATCAATTAATTTTGGTAATTTGTACAATTTAAGTATTTAACTTCTAAATTGCTATGTTTTACTTCACAAATAAATTGCATATAACCATTGCGAAATTAAAATAATTTTATGTTTCTTTCACAACCAGCAAAAAAAAAAGAATTTTTCTTATTAAATTTCATCGTTCTACATGTCTAATTAAATAGGATCGTTTATTTGAATCCTTTAAATTATTTAGAATTGTCTTTTTATTGCTACATATTATTTGAGTTTCCCATTTTATATCAATAAATATTCTTTATATAAATATTATGAAATTCTCATTAATTTTATACATTAATCTAAAATAGATATTAATATGAAAATCATCAGAACTATTTTAAGTTATATAAATTATTGTAATGCTTCATATTTTTAATAAATTAAGATCAAAAGGTACCTCTGAACTAATGATTCTTAAATTTTACTCTTAAAATAGTTTGAAGTTAAAACTAATGATATTGAATTAAACTTTTTCTTCAAAATTGTATCCTTATTTTTTACAAAGAAATAAAACATATTGAATTCAAATGATTATAAATTTTAATTCTTTAGGTAGAAAGTTTTATAATGTTTTAAATATTTTAGATTTTAAAATATTTAAATAAAAGTTAAACTCATCAAACTTTTCTAAAAGATTTTAAGCTTATTAAAAAGAAGCTTTAAGTGTAACTTATTATTTAAATGAGAATTTATTTGAGTATATACTATAAATATTTTTGAAAAAATATAAACAAAAATTATATATTTTTTTTTAATATAAAGAAGAATTTAAATTTTAGGATTATTTTGAATAAATAATGTGATTAAAATAATTTTCCTGTTCTAGTTTATTAGTTATTTATAATAATTTGTAGCTATAAAGTTAACTATAGTTATTGAAGTAAAGTAATTGCTTAAAATGATAGATGTTTTTTGATTTGAATTTTGAAAGTTACAGTTTTGAGATGAAATAAATTTTGTAGAGATAAGTATAATAGAATAGGAAAAGTTTAGTAATAAAATAAAATAAAAAGAAAAGGATGAAAAAAGAATAAATAACTTACAATGTATCAATCTAATAATTCAATATTCTTAACAGCATTAATTATGACTTACTTGGAGGTTTCAATGATTTCTCCACCTACAATCATTTCATCAAAAATTGAATATGCCTATAAAATATGAAGGTTATTATTACTTTATTGAAATTGAAAACGATATCTAATTCACAGACATTTCCAAAGTATTTATCTAAGACTTCAACATAAAGATGAATAAATTCAAGCATAGTGAGTTCATTGTCTGATACATCAACACACAATGCAAAAAATAATCCTGCATATCGTTTATAAATGATTTTATAATTCCTAAACTATATTTATAAAAAAGTAGAAGTATACTTCTAAGAAATTAGTATGTTTAGTGTCCCTGCAGACAATTAATCGATGGACTTCATTTTATAATTTAATTTTTTCAGCATCATCATAATAGACATACCATTTTGAAAGTCTAGTTTTGCCTTATCTATTTTAAAGTAGAATAAATCTGATCTAATAATACACAGAACAATAGTACCATTAGATTAATAAATATAAATAATAAAAAATATATTAATTAAAATATAATAAAGTTTCATTTTGTAATCCAAGGATGATTCAATATTTAAGTGATTGAAGGTCTCTTATTGCAATCATGCTAGAGAATTCCTTTAACAAAATTCTGAAAGTCTTTACTAGCCCAATTAGGAAACTAGAAGATTAAATTCATAATTTTTTTTTTAGTATCTATTTCATTAGTTGATTCAAATGGTGGTCTGCCTAATGAAATATATTGAATAAATATACCTACTACTAATTCATAAGCTAAGACACCAATTGTCCATACGTCTACTCTATTATCATGAGATTAATAATTAATCATTTCAGGACATAAATAATCTAAAGTACCACATAAAGTCTTTCTTCTATTAGATGGAGTATGAACACTCCAACCAAAATCAGATATCTTAAATATATCATTATTAAAACAAAGAATATTTTCTGGTTTTAAATCTCTATGAATAACATTCATTGAATGCATATATCCAATGGCCATAGTTATTTACTTTATGATTTTTGATGCCATTTCTTCAGTGAATCTTCTATTTGGTTATTTTTTCATTAAACCATATAGATCCCCTAAAGGAGCCCATTCTAACATTAAATAAACTCTTTTTTCTGTCTAAAAGAAACCATAAAATCCAATAATATTTGGATGTTTTAAATGGCTAAGAATTTCTACTTCTCTTGTTAAAGAACCCATTAATTAACATAAATTTAGTTATCTCTTACTGATTACCTTCAATGCTAATATAAATTTGTTTTCACGCTCCCTAATTGGATATAAAATATATTCTTTACCTCGCCAAATATACATGTCCAAATTTACCATTACCTAAATAACGACCCATCTCAAATCTTCCTAAACTCCATTAACTTGGATCAAATTCTTTTGTCTACTCTTCATTCATATCTTCTTCCTCACTATAATTATTTTGTGTCTCTTCATCTATTTGTTCTTCTACTCTCTTTTTCTCTACTAAACAATCTAAACCTCTTGTGTTTTCGTAACTATTTGTTATATTTGACAGCACAGAATTAGCATTTTACCACATTAAATTAATTTAACAGCAAAATTATAAATATATATTAATTAAGTATCAAAATCTCAAGCTACCTGATATTAACCTAACCATTTCATTCGTTTTCCATTCAACCATTCTCCTTCCCTATATAATCCACTTTTTGAATAAAATGTTCCATTTCCATGTTCTCTCCCTTCAAACCAATTCCCTTTATACATAGATCCATCTTAATAAGTAAAATCGCCAAATCCCTGTTTCTTATCCTTTACATACTAAAATATAAATACATATTTTTTACATATCCATCATATTATCTACCATCAGGCCATGTGAATGTACCATAACCATCCATTTAATTATTTTTCCATTATCCTTCATATTTTCGACCATCAGTAAATTTAAATACTCCTTTACCATTAAACTTATTTTCTAAAATTTGTCCTACATAACTAGGAATATATATTAAAATTAAACCTTGATCCATCTTAAAAATGTAATTCTCCAAAACCGCTTTTTTTACCCTCAACAAACTTTCCTTTAAAATTAGTCCCATCTGGATATCTCTCAATTCCTTCTCCTTATTATTTATCATTAACCCATTCCCCTTCATATACATATCCCATAATTGTAACTTATTTTCCTTTTCCATTTGCCATATTCCTTAAAAATTCACCTTCATAATAGTCTCCAGTTGCTAAAATAAGTCTGCCAAATCCCCACATTTAATCATCCTTCCAAAATCCTTCATATATGCTCTTATCAGAAAAGATTGCCCTGCCTTTACAATGACGTAATCCCATTCTCCATTATCCTACATATATAGTACCATCTTATAATTGAAAAGGTTCAAGATGAGGTAAAGCAAGTTCCTCTTCTGTATAAGTCAATTATTTAGTATATTCCTTGTAATTAAAATTACCAATTTTGTAAATGAGTGTATTTACTATTGTTGAATATTCAGTCAATTTACGATCTACCTTGATTGCCTTTTATGGAGTGTGATCAATCTAATATGATTAATGAAAATACTATTTATTCTACTGCTTCAATAGGTTCATCAATTGCAATAGCCATTTAAGCAGGAGGTTCATTACTACGTTGACTATCATTTGTATTGATTAAACGATTCTATTGTTCTTCTTTTTTATTTTTCCAGTCTAAAAGATTTAATACTTTCAAAGTGATACTTCGATATGCTCTCTAAATTATAATCGCCTTACGAGAGTAATATGTTAAAGTAGAGAATTCAAAAAGGCTCACCATTTGTGGACCCTAAGCACCACAACAAGTTCCCATATTTTATTAATATAAATAATTGCATATGAAATTATAATTACAATAAGAATAATATTGTTATTAATAATATTTGAGAATTTGGAATTGAGGAAACAGAGCTTTGAATCAAGTATAATAAGTTAATAAATTAAAATATATAAAAATAAAAATTGTTTATGTAGAATAATTAAGGTAGTTAGAGTATGCGTATTCGTATTGGCAATGATGGTAAGAGATTTGATTAATTAGAAAGTAAGTAATTTATTGTTGAATAGGTAGTCAAACCAATTTCAAATATAGCTAAATTTAATTAAATGTTATAGGTATGGAAAGAATATGATATACCTGATTGTCATTAAAAGTATTACTATAATCTTTTATTGGAACATAAGGAATAAGGTGATGATGAATTAATTAGAATTGAAATTGAGAGCATTACGAATAATAAAAGTGTAGTTAGGACTTTACATCAATTGACCATAGGTAGAGAGAGATGTCTTAAGGAAATATCAAGATTTAACAAAGGAAACTTTTCAGATTTTTTGAAAAAAATTTCAAAATTTATCTACGATTTACGTAAACTGACCTTAAATTTAATTGAATTCCATAGGAAATGGAGAAATAGTTTAAAATAGAGGTTTGAATAAAACTATGTTTGGGAAATAAAAGATCGTGATTATTTATATTAGATAAAAGAGGATCATAAAATTATACAAAATCATCATCCTAAGACAAAGGATTATTTTTAATTAAAAGATGATGATATATTCTATTTAGGTGTAGTATTATAAGCAGAAAAGGATTCGGAATAACATGAGTATTTGATTTAACATAAGATGGATAAGAAATATATAGAAAAGATGAAAGATCTTTAAGAATATTTTAATAAATAGATAAGGGATTATAAACCTGTAAATGTTGATAGACAATATGATTAGAATTCAGATGCATATCATACAGGTTCACCAGGTTTTTCAAATAGAAATAATATAAATAGTATTAATATGACAGATTTTGTAAGTGAAGTGATATATAAGACAGAAGAAGTGTAGTTTAATTTAGTTTAATATCCATTTAAAGATTTATAAGGAATATTGTAAAATTGGTCATCATAGAATGTATAAGAATTGAATGAAAGTTTTAAATATCCTATAAGTCATATAAAAGATTTATTAAAATATTGGTAAGAAGCAGTTATATTAAGAATTGATAACAATGGATTGCTAATATGTTCAATAGATTAGGAATTTAATGAAAGAAGATGGATTCTACATTAAATATATTTGAATAAAGTACCAATGTGGTAATAAAGATTGAATTGTGTAATACAAAATTTTATAAAGTTATTAATATAGAAAGGAGATCCATTTACATCATTGGCAGTATGTTGTAGTAATGATTAATCTATTAAGAAATTATTGAGTGATTTAAAATTTACACTCTCTAAAAAAATAACTTATAATGAATTTAATGTTGTATTATATGAATAGAAAGTTTAAAATTTACAAGTAAATTTGAACAGATAATATTTTACTCCTTTGACTTTAAGGATGCTTAGAATATATGCAAAATAATTAGAGAGTACTCTTATAACGAATGAAGAATTGTTAATTGCTTAATATTGTGCAAATTTAGGAAAAAACACAATAATAAAATTTGAAAAGAATATATTAGATTTGTCTTCATAATTGAATGTAATAAAATAATTAAAAATTAGAAATAAAAATTATATGGATAAGATTATATGTTGATTCAGAAGCCAAATGATGTTAAAGTAAAATATCAAATAGAATTTAACACACCAATAAAATCGGCAGTTTATTTTTAATAATTTAATGTGAGATTGAATTTTAGATTTTTTAGTAGTGAAATATATCAAAATAATAATTGGTCTTATCTTAGACTTATTTCGGTAATAAAACATATTTATTAATAATTTAGCATCCAACTTTGAATGAATAAGAAGCATCCATTCTATAATTGAGTTCGTCAGAAATTATGAATAGTACAATTTATTTAATTTCAACAATTGACCCTTTTATAAAGATGTATTGATTGTTAGATCGATCTTAGATTTATTTAGGAGGTATAACCAAATTAGATTTCCAAATAGAACATCCAATCTGTTATTAATCAATCCTTTGATAAATTTGATAAGAAATAAGAATGCTAAAATCATCTTTGGTTGCCTTAATTTCAATGTTGTGGAAAACAAATGAAATTAAGTGATACCAATATTGAAGCATACTTTCAAAATGATACTTATTTATCTGTCCAATATCCTAGAAATGCATCCTTACATACAAACCAATATTTGAACAATACCGATAAAATTATATAAACTCCTTTTCTTTTTGGAATTGTTTAAACTGACCTTGAAAAAATCAATAAACCTCTATTCTCTATTCTTATAAATAAAGAACATCTAATTAAAACATCTGAGAAAATTACAAATAATAAAAACTCTTTACCAAATTCAATATAATTGAAGCCTCAAGAAATTGAATCTACTTTAAAAGAATTATTTTAAAATACACCTTAAGAAATTTTAAAATCATTTTGTTCAAATCCTACTGTTCTTTCCTATAAATTAAAATATTCCCTAGAATGCTCTATAATTAAATTTAATGTTGGTTATGCTCTTGTTTATGTAGATGAAAATCATATCTTGGAAAAGAGATGGATTATTGAATCTATTATGATCAATGATTTAAATAATTTATCTCAATTGCTTTCTGATTTAATATCATATCTATTTACTATTGATAATTATGCTAATGAAATATAAATTAGTTAGGTAAGACATCTTTCTATTGTTTCTAGACTCATTATCAAGAATAAGGAGATCTTGTAGCTAACACATTTATTATGAATTCAATTAAAAAAACTAAGTTTAGATGGAGACTCGTTGATAATGATGCTAAAACTTAAATCAGAAAAACTATTTATTTTCTTAAACGATCCATTTCTGAATAGTATCTTATTTATAATAACTTAGTCCTAACAAAATACCAAATTAAGTCTCTATTTAATTTAGATCTTATTATGCTACTTAATAAAGTGAAGAGAGGAATCATATCATAAATCATTTACAATATATTCATTCACCTAATCAGTATTAATTTTTTGAAGATTCTTTCTAATGTCATATTAATGGTCAAGTTCCTGATTCCAATTAATTCCTATTTAAAAAATTATAATCTATTAAAGGGAAACTTCCAAATTCAGAATTCACTTGTGTTAATTCTCTAGAAGAACTTAAATCATAAATCAAATTATAAATTGATCTACCAAATTTTGATAATAAATATGAACAAGTATTTAAATTTATTATAATTTAGTATGATATACTTTATATGAATACATAATTGAAAATTAAAAAATAGAGGTAGGTTATTCACTAAAATTAAAAATATTTAGAAATACCAAACAATGATACATGTAAATAGATTTTTTAATCGGAAAACTATGAATTAAATTAAAAAATATATTTTGTCGCAACTTAAGATCCTCTTTATTTTGCATATTTTATAGAATTGGGAAATCCTATATTAAAATAACAAATTCAGTAGGATTAAGTCAGAATAGCTAGTCAGGTTTCATAAGTACATATAATCTTTTCATAAGGCATTCCTTAATAAAAACTTAAGTAGTTATCAATTAATATGGATTGAATAATTTTAGAAAAATATTCCAATAAAATAGGATCAAAATTACCTATATATTGATTTTGCTTTGAATTCACAATTTTCTATAGAACAATCTGTAATAATGGAAGATGAAACAAAAAATTAATAAGAAGTCTATAAGATTAAATTACCTATGTTTTGTGGATTGTTAAATACGAATATACGAACATAATTTGAACGTCCTTTAATAGGAATGATAATTGAATGATGATTAATGAATTTTTACTTAGAAATAAATAAACATAAGAGTTACAATATGTAATTCTAATTTTGTTTGTTACATCTATACAAACTTCTATATATATCGAAATTAGATCCTTTTTTGTTTATATGTTAAATAAATCGTTAAATTAAAATTCAAAAAAATGAATGCACCTAAAGCCATTCCTTTCATAAAATATCTCAACAATCAATTTCAAATTGATCCTTAAGCTGAATAGTTTCTAACCTCTTTAGGCTCAGAAAAATTAGGAGTTGTTTCGATTGTAGGAAAATATAGAACCGGCAAAAGTTTCTTTGTTAATCGAGTTCTTCTGAATTAATAAGCAGGAGGTTTTTCAGTAGGTCCTACAATAAATCCATGTACCAAAGGTTTATGGATATGGAGTCAAACAATCAAAGCATAAAATGCTGAATATCCAGACATGAAGGCCATTATAATAGATACAGAAGGTTTTGGAGGTATGGATGAGAATGTTAATCATGATACAAGAATATTCTTATTCAGTCTTCTATTGAGTAGTTACTTTATTTACAATTCTGTTGGTAATATAGATGAAAATGCTTTAAACACTTTGAATTTGATAGTAAATCTTGCAAAGGTAATTATAATATAATAAGAATTAGGATATTTAATAAAATAATGAGAATACTTTTCCTTAATTTTTATGGATAGTAAGAGATTTTGCTCTTTAAATGGTAGATTAATAGGGGAATTCAATAAATCCAAAATAATATCTTGAAAATGCTTTAGAATTACAGAAAGGATTATCTGATTCAGTGGAGTAGAAGAATCGAATAAGAAGGATGATAAAGCATTTTTTTAGAGAACGTGATTGTATGACAATGGTAAGGCCAGTGGAGAGAGAGGAAGATTTATAGAAATTGGATTCTTTACATGAGAATAATTTTAGAGGGGAATTTGTATAGTAATTGAAAGAAGCGAGATCTAAAATATTTAAAAGAGTTAGACCTAAATCTGTTTAAGGAAGTATGGTGAATGGAATATAATTATTATAATTGGCAAAGGCATATGTTGATTTGATAAATGGAGGTAAGGTTCCAAATGTTGAATCTGCATGGGGTTATGTATGTAAGGCAGAAGGAGAGAGAGCACTTAGAGAATGTTTAAACTTGGCTGAATAATAAATTGATAAACTTAAAACTTAGGTTATATAAGATTTACCTAATGTAAAATAGTAATTACTTGAATAGCTTAAAAAGTAATTCAAATTAAAAGCTATTGGATCTGATGATGATCTTAAAATATTTACAGAAAAGTTATCAGAATAATTTGAAGAAAAATTTAAAGAACTTAAATAAAGTAATAAAAGAAATCTCAAAGTAATTAATATTTTCATTTTATTATTTAGACTCATTAATCCAAAGTGTTATAACCTCATATTGAAAATATTTTAGAAAAATTAAAAAATGATCAATTCTAAAACTATTATGAATTATAATCAGAAATGTTTAAAATTAGAGATTAATTTTAAAAAGATGTTGGTAGAAATCAATAAGTTTCATAATTATTTGACGAAATGAGTTTATAAATATATTAGTAAGCAGCTGAAAAACTAACCAGAAAGGCATCTTAATAAACTAATTAAGAGAATAAATAATTGCAATATAAATTACAGAATTTAGAAAAAGAATTAAAGGTTTTATAAGATGAAAAAAATCAATTAGAATTATAAGCTAGTAGTAAATTAGAAAAACTTAGTAAAGAAAATGAATTGTTATCAAAGAGTGAATTACAACTTAAAACTTAATTCTAATAAATTCAATAATAAACACAACAAGTTTAATAATAAAGTTAAAATCAAATACAATAGCATGACAAATAATTAGCTTTAATTAGTTAAGAAAATGCATTTCTTTAAAAAGAAATCTAAACTTTAAATGAACGTACTTCTCAATTAGATAATGAAAATAAAAAGCTAAGATAAGAATTGATTACCTAAAAAGCTACTAATGAATAGTTATAATAAAAGTGTCATTCTTTAGATTATGGTAGGGCACAAGAAATATAAAAGTTATAATTGGAATTCGAAAAAAAAATATAAGAATTGAATAATGATATTGATTAAAAGAAATAAACAGCTAGATAATAAAGTGAGTGGATGGTAGAAAAATCTTATTTGGAAAATTAAGTTACATTTTTAAAAAGTTAATTAGATGAAAATAAAAGATTACATGATGCTCTTTTGATTGCCTTATAATGTATATATTTTTATCTTATTTCAAGCTTAAAATAATCCATCTAATGATTATTAAGAGTCTACTCTTGAACTTTTAGAAACCAATAGAAATCTCTCAGCTGCTATGGATAAAATGGAAATGAGATGCAAATAGTTAGAAGAGAAAGTTACTAAACTTAAAAAGTTTAAAAAGATATTCAAAAATAGTTCTAGCATTGTTTGTTTACATTGTAATAGATAATATTAAAGTAATGGATTTAGTTAACATTTATCAACATGTATTGATAATAATTCTTGTAATCCAATAGTTTAAGGTTAATCATAACAATAATAATAACAATAATAATAATAACAATAATAATAATAATAATAATAATAATAATAATAATAATAATAATAATAAAATTAACCAAACTTACAAACACACAATTAATCTCTTAGTCATCCACTTCCACCTCCAATTGATTTAAGTCAATTATAAATATCAATTAATTAAACTATGGTAAGAGAAACCCCTGATAATAAACCTTATACTGAATATATGATTAGAGTTCAATATAATTTAAAGAAATGGACCATTTCTAGAAGATACAAGAATTTCTGTGAATTACATTAAGCAATTATCCAATAGTATCCTAATATGAAAATGCCAGAATCAAGTTCAGCTATAATCAATACTGCTGATATAGGCAGCGTATTTAATGCTAAGAGACCAACAGTAATTGAAGATAGAAGAAGAGCTTTATAATCCTATATTAGAGATCTAGCAAAATTAGATCCAGTAAGAAATTGTGCTGCTTATCGTAAATTCTTAGAATTAGATACTATTGATTAAGTTGAATAACCAAGTAGAAGTATGTCTTAAAGTAATTAATTAAATTCATTTTAGTGGGATCACCTAAGAATGAAGGACTATAATCTTCAAGAGATTATGGAAGAGATTCTTTATCAGTAATGCCTAAACCTTTCTGGAAGTAGTCAACATAATAAATTGCTATTGGTGCCTCTACTTCAAGAGAGTAGAAATATGAAGAACTTCCATCCTAGAACAATTATCTTAGATAGAAAGAAAATTAACCGACATCCTCTACTTCTAATTTAAATACTAAAATTGATAGAAAATTGTTACCCTAATCACCTCAATCATTCCTCAAGGCATTTTAGAAACAATAAGAAAGTATATAATTCATATTATAATTACAAGCTTCTAAAGTATATAGAATGCATCATTAACATTCATTATTAGAAATATCAGGAGACATATAATGATTTTATTTTTAATAAATTATTATTATTGTTATTTTTATAGTAGATTATCTGATTTTGTTAATCCAACAGGTTTTGATATCTAACATCATTGAAATTTAAATGTATTTTTTATGATCTTTATTCTCCTTTAATATTTTCAATCAAATTCATCAACATAGATATTTTTAATTATTTTTATAATTCATTAATTTAATCAAATATAATTGATTTATATCATATATTAAAGTTTATATTTAATTGATATATATTTAGTGTATATAAATATTACATACATAAATTCACATAAAACTTCTCAGGATATCACCAATTTCTTTGAATTCCATTTAAAGCATTTTGAATTCTTGGATAGTTAGATTAATAATTTGCTTTTAAAGATTTCCCTTCTCATCTTGAATATGGAATTCTAATAAAATATACAATTTCTTTAAATTTGGATATTTAACATCTCCATTGTATTAGTTTACTGTCCATTTCAACTCTTTCAACTTTCCTAGACTCAATACTTTTTTTACTGCTTCAGGATCAAAACCTTATAATACTTTAGTTATATATTCTCTATGTTCATCTTATACAAGTGTATTTTCCTTAAGCCATTTATTTAAATGGTCTGCTGATATATTATTCTTTTAAACAAAACGTATCAAATAAACATAACTATTAATGCAAAATTCAGCTTCAAGAATTTCCATCTATACAGATTCACGTTAAAATATCTACATCATTCCTTAAAGTGAAAAGGCACTTTAATATGAAAGAGTAAATTTATAAATTTCATCAACCATATATGCAAACAGACTCAAAGGAATCTTTAAAGATAGATTTAATCCTCTAATTGAATCTATGTCATAAACATAATTCTGCATTAATATTAAATTTATATAAAATAACAATTATTAAATATGTTTATATATATACTCATTCTATTGCATGTTTTAATCCTCCTAAAATATCTAGATTAATTAAAATAGGAGCTACGAATTGTTCATCTAATTTCACTTCATTCTTCTTTCCAATCTATATAAATTTAGTATCCGCTTTATGAGCTACAATCATCAACCAAATCATCATTATCAAATATAATAATGGAAATACAAAGAATATTACACCAAATCCTTATAAAATTGCCAATTTTAATAATCTTTAACCATTATTCTATTTTTTAATCTCTTCCATTGTAATCTATTCTCCTTCATTTGGAATTATTCCGACATCAAATTTCTATGTTCCTTAATCTAAAAAATTCATCACTTAATCTAATTTTGTCTATTCTTATTGTATATTCAACGATAAATCATTCACTGGCTTTATAATATTATTTTATTAATTTTTACATATTATATTTAAACATTTATGAATATTAAGTATAATCCATATAAATATCCTACAATATCTCCAATCAAGTACCCAAAATGAATATATCCTCCATCTAAAACAGATAGGAATAAATTTAAAAAGAAGATCATCGCAACAAATATTACTGTGTATTCTATATTAATAATCAATTATCTTTTTTACATTTTGCATTTATACACACACTTCCTGATGATATATGTATAATCATTCCAATTGTAATTATTGGAAATAAAAAAGATATTGTTAAAAATGGTAAATAAAAGAACCAACCCAAATATAATACATTCAACAAACTTGAAAATAGAGTTAATGCAAATGAATAACTTATAACCCAACCTAACCATTATAATTTCATCACTCTCTCCTATTATTCATTCATTATATTATATATACTTCCTTCCTTAATCCCCTCCCCTTATATGTTGCTATAAACAAATGTAAACTTAAAGTTAAGAAAAGGAATAAAAAAAAATTACTACAAAATCCCCACTCATCTACAAATGCAAAACCTAAAGCCAACGATAATTAGAATATTTGCTGAACAAATAAGGCTCTTAAACTTTAAATTAAAAATTATTTTCTCTCTTCACTTGATGCCTCTCCGATGGTTCTTGGTGGAACATTATTATCTAAAACTATATTTTATTGAATGACTGGAATTGCCTAATTTGCTGTAGGTTCTTCAATCTAGTGATTCTATTCCTATTATTCATCAAATTAAGGATATGGATTAACATCTTATAGATCGCTCATTATTTTAATTTTAAATTTATTATTAATTATAGTAATTTGCTTTTACTTTAAATTTCTATGCAAGATGCTATAAAATGAAAATAATAAATTGATAACTGTTAAATTCAGTAAGTTATTTTTGATCAAATAGAAACTACAATATTATGACCATTATAATATCACTATTTTTTAATATTTACTATATTTTAATAATTTATACCATTTGATTTTAAATTATGCAAGTCTAAGAGTCAGAAGTTTATAAAAGAATCAAACTATTAGGATCAGGAGCTTATGGAAAGGCATATCTGGCTGAAAGCATTAGAGATGAATAATTATGTGTCATTAAATAGATTGACGTGTCTTTCATGAAGTAGGATGAAATTACAGTAAGTTTATACCCTTTATTCTTATAGCAAGCATATAGAGAGGCTAAAATAATGTCGACATTAAAACATCCAAATATAATAAATTTTAGAGAGGTATATAAAACTAAGAAGGGAAAACTGTGTATAGTAATGGATTATGCTGATGGTGGAGATTTGTCTTAAAAGATTAAATAAACTCAAGGTTCTTTGTCAGAATGTTAAGTGCTTGATTGGTTCACTTAATTAAGTTTGGCTGTGAAGTATTGTCATGATCGAAAGATTCTTCATAGAGATATAAAGACTTCCAATGTGTTTTTAACAAAAGAAGGAATGGTTAAACTTGGAGATTTTGGAATTGCTAAGATTTTATCAACAACTAGTCCATGTGCAAAATCAGTTATTGGTACTCCATATTATATGGCACCAGAGATGTTTGAGAATTAACCATATGGATTTAAATAAGATATTTGGTGTTTAGGAGTAGTACTTTATGAAATGTGTAATAAAAGACCACCATTTGAAGGCGAAAATATAGCATAATTAGCATTAAAAGTTGTTAGATGTGAAATAACACCAACCTTAGAATGTTATTCAATCAAATTAAGAAAGTATTATAATTAAATCACATCTAGTACAGTCTACTAGGAAAACTTCTCTCATGTAAAGAACATCGAAGACCAGCTATTAATGAAATATTAAGAGAATAATTAATAAGAGATAGAATTAAATCATTTCTTAGTGAAACTCTATAAAAAGAATAGTAATAAAAAATTGAACAAGAAACTAAAGCTAAAAAATCTATACAATAATTACCTTAATTAAAAAAAAGAGTTATTTCTCCAAAATAAAGAGCCAGTCCAAGCGTTCATAAATTACCTGAAATTAAACGAACTATTGATACTCCTGATTTTAGTAGAAGAGTTAAATTAAAATAAAATCAATCAGTTTTTCCTATTTAATCACCTAAAAAAAAGAATTTATTGTCAGAAGGTCCCGAAACTCCTAATAAAATGATGAAATCACCATCATTAAATTTAAGAATTTAAAGTGGTAAAATATTAACAGATAAGAATCTTTAATTAAAGAAATAAATTAAATCATTTAATCGGTAATAGAGTGGCAGATAAATTGTTAATCATTAAAGTAATATATTTTTTAGTCCCAAAAAAAAATATTAAGAAGAAGAGGAAAAAGTATTAGATCCTATAGAAGAAGCTGATAGTACTCCTTTAACTTTAACAAAATCTAATATTGAATTTCAAGATTTTAATAATTCTATTGAAGAGAGACGCAAAAAAAATAAAATAATTTATAAAGATCCTTTTAAAAAAGATGATGAAATGAGTTAAATGATATCTCAATTATAAGAAATTGTAGAAGATGATATTGATAATCCACCAATTAATGATTAAATCAAAGTATATATTTAATATTTATTAATTTTAGAATCTCAAAGCAAGGTTAATTTAAAAATTAGGCAAACATTTTGATGAAGTCTTTAAGTAATGTTTGTTAGCATTTAAAAAGAATGGTGATCTAGGTTAAAGTGAAATGATTACCATTTTATAACAAAGATTCTCAGGTGTCTCTACAAAAAAGGTTTCTGGTATTGCCACTCTTATTATCACACTTATTATTTAAACACAAGGAGAAACTATTAATAATGAATTTTGACTATAATTTATTTCATATATTATTATTTATATGTATAAAATAATTAATTCTATTGAAATTCATTCATGCAAGGATGCTAGAAACTTTCTTTATTCCTCTGATAACCTTCCTTATGAAGTTAACATTTCCTTTAATTAATCTGTAGGTATAAAACTAAATGATACTGTTTTGTTCTAACCATTTGATCGTACATACTCTAAATCATTTTTATTTTTTAAAATGCCTTTGCAGGTTTTAGCTGGGCTCTAATTTTTCTAAAAAAAACTTATTTCCTCTAAACTATTATTATTTTCATCGATTGAATTATTAGTCATTTCAATCTATTCATCAGGGTATTATGATGATGATTCATTCTATTTTTATTAGAATCTCAATTAAGCATATTTTTCTACTTACCTCCCAGTAATTTGTTCCAATACAAATAAGTTATTTTCATTTATTGGGATTTAAAGACAAGTTGACCCCATTTTCTTTTTTATTAAATACTTTAAAATATCTTTATTTATAAGTTATTTTTCTTTTTCTCAATTAAATGAATTATGCCATCAATTAAGAATTAATAGTGAATATTCTATTTTTTATAAGAATAAAGGTCTTTTCTCACATTGAAAAATTTTTCTTAACTTTAGTTGTGCTATTTGATTCATTTATTAAAATTTTTTATTATTAATTTTCAAAAATCAACGAAAGAAGAGAAATACTAAAAATGATATCATTTGTTTGCAGTATTGATTTATTATAGATGCATTACATTTTTTAATAAATAATTGTTGGTTATTTATACAAATTACTGCTTGAATTAAAAATAATTTCATAAGAAATAGTTTACTAGTCAAACTCTTCGCTTATAAAAATATTTCTAAGAAGTTGTCAAAGTATAAAAATAATATTAAATTTTGGTTATATATTTATAATTGATCAAATTTTAATTTCAATGCTTCTTAAAAGGTTTTTGAGTGGACTTAATATATCTATATAAACCATACTGGCTGCTATATATTTATCTTCAAATCCCTAAGACTAAAATTATGTAAGTCAAATGATTACTTTTGAAGCTACTTAAGTTTCAAATAAGAAACTAAATAATGATATAATGGAAATTAAAAGAAGAATCCCAAATATTGTGTCTCCAATCATGCATATTAAACATATTAAACAAATTAATATAATTTAAACAACAAGAATACCTATTAATGATAAACTCCTTCTCTCTATGTTTATTGATTATTAGATAGTTTATAAACCTTCTTAAGGTTGAGGCATATTATTGGTAGTTGCAGGATCAAGAAGAATTTCTTTAATTTTTTTTATAAAATCTTTATGAGCTGGAAGATCTTCTGGATTAATTAATAAGGAATGATTGAGTTGATTAAAATAGTAGAAACCATATATTACAAAAGTTTAATAAAGCAATACTTAGCCTGAAAACTCACCAAACTATAAAATCAAAAAAAAATTAAGGGGAATCTACAAATATATTAGATTAGTTGCAAATATGTTATAGTAGTTAAGCTTACGAATTTTAATAAGTAACAAGTTCACGAAACTATTAAGTAATAGAATTGAATTAGTAATGATTATTACTTTACATAACTCTTTATGAACATAATAGTTATCTTTATTTTTTCCTGTATAACCTACAAGACTGAGTCCAATGAGCACAGCTTAAGAGTAGAAAAGCGATTTTTAATATCTAACCTAAAAGTTATAGAATATAGAATACAATGTTCTGATTAAATCTACCAATCACAATTGCTAATGTGTTTAAGATCAATAACCCAAGAATTACATATAATGTCCATCTGACTTGAGTAATAATATATTATTGATCTTATCTCCAGGTTTCATATTGATCATATGTAGAACCTGGAGAAAAAATTTTAAATTGTTCATACCTTTAATAATATCCCATTAATTTAACTTCAGTGAATCTAGTAGATATTTACATGAACCATTTTTCTAAACCTAAAATCTGAATTACTAGAACAATCAAAAAGGATTTCGCCTAAAGTTTATAGAAATTATATAAGAACTGAAATCTCATTTATGAAATTTCAACTTCTTTATTCTCACAAAAGATTAAAGTATTATATGATGGAGGTGGAATATAAGTGCTTAAATCAGGATATTTTACTTCTTGAATTTGATTCTGTTCCAAAAAGATAAAAGAAGAAGTTTAATTATTTTCTTAAGACATTTAATAAAATATATTTATATAGATGTAATATTTATTCATTTATATTACAAAATTTATAAATCAATTCATTCAATTCTGGTTTATACTTTTACGGACATTCATTTTAATATTGATTGATTATAAACAAAATTTAACAAACTTTATTTTGATAAAACATAAACTGATATAGATTGATAATTAGATCAATCATTCATGAAATTCTTTTAAAATTGTATATACATTAATTACAATTTTCTCTCTAATTTTGGATGATGCAGAAAAATAGAAATATTATTCAAACTATTTTTGGTCTCTTTATTTCTAAAAGATTTTTTTTAACGAGGTTTCTTAATTCTAATGAAATAATGCGATAAAAATTGATTAAAATTAATTAATGAATATTTTATACAAAAACAATAATAATTAATGTAGAAAAATGGAATAAACATTAGCTAATTAATTATTTGATGTATTCTATTTGAGTATTTTCTATTCAGTTAAAAAATAAATAATTGATTATAAATTTGTTTTATGGAGAATTGGAAGATAAAATAATTAAAAATTTAATAAATTATGATATTTATAAACTTATTACTTTTGATAGTTTTTCATAGGTGTATAGCAACAATTCCAACAGATATATTTAATTTTAAGAACATTGTTTTTCAATAACATTATACTTTAGCGAATATAATTGGTGGAGTTACAAAAAATCAACTTGTGAGAAAGAAGATTGTCTAAAATAACTATACAATACTTATTGGAATGGATAATCTTGTGCAGAATTGAAATATAGAATTATATATCAATCCATATAAATCCAAACTTATTAGAGTTGTACCATAATGTTCCAAAAGAATGGAATGAACTTAAAAATTTAGTTGTTTCTATAAAAATGCAACAGGCTACTACATATTAATAAGGTATTTAGAAAAATGGAAATTTATTATCAGCTACATCATAGCAGGTATACAAATACTGATAAAATGATTGTTTTGTAGATACATTCGAATTTACAAATTTAACTCAAATGACGTGATGAATAATTAAGGAAATTTTACAGGTTTTAGTATGAACAACTTTGATCTAATTTTATAATTATATATTGGGTGTAATAATCAAATGATTTATTAATAATTGAATTATAATAAATTTATAGAACTCTTCATTGAATATCTACAACAAATTCTACTTCTTTTTGTCTTCTTATAGTACCTAAGGCATTATGTTTATTTTTGCGAGCAGCGATCATTCTTTATCTTAACTATTATATAATAAACTAATTATCTATACATCTTAATCTTCTTTGGTTTGGAAATCATCATCTGGATAATGACCTAATCTATATCCAATAAAATCTAATTCAATAAATTTATATAATTACCTCCTTCTCCTAAATTGATTGGACTTTTTCTTAAATTTTCACAAACGTTTTATTATTATTATTATTATTACTAATTTTGTTTACTTTGTTAATTTGATTTATTATTTTAATTGCCTTTTTTATTTTATTTTCCTTTCCCTTACTATTATTACATCTATATCATCTTTGGATCTATATGCAACCATAAAAATTCATAAAAAACAAATTTAGCTAATTCTAATTGTATTTCTTATGAAATTCCAATAAATGCTTATATCTATTATTTCAATTCTTATAGAGTAGGGGTCTTTGAAACCTTAAAGATAAATTCTTATTGTTATTTATAAACTTTATTAATTGGATCTCTTTGCTTAATTAATAACAACATTTCATCATCTTAAAGATTTTCTGGTTTATTTAATACTTAATATACAATATCATGAGTAGAGAATTAAAACTTTTGTAAAGGTAAGTCTAATTTTCTAAATACTTAACCAAAGAATCTATTTTTATTGATATCTCTAACTCTTAAGTTATCAATATCTATATTTAAATTAAAAGTAGAAATAATCATTTATTTTAAATCTTTAAGTGTTGCATCTTTTCTCATTGTTTCATGTTTTTAAAATACACAATCATCAGGATAACCAGTAGTGGTAGAGAATATTTAAAATCTTATCAATTCACAATCAATTTAAGCTGTCTTATCACAAAGTATAAGTAAATCTCTATCTCTTAGATAACATTGTGAAATAGTTTTAGTTTCATCACTTAATGCTTCTGATGGTACTTATAACCAATCTACTTTATATAATTTATGTTAAATAGGTTCAACATTAAATTATTTACATGATTCTAATTTTATTAATTCAATTTTATCTTATTTTGGATCAACATGTATTTCAAATGTCTATTCTTAATATTTCACTAAAATTGATATTTTTCCGTTTTCTGGAATCTCTCCTTTCTCAATTTATAATCTTGCTCCTCTAAAATAATTCAAATTTTAATATATACCCTTCTTTAAAATCTTAAAGTTCTTTCAATTAAATAGAAAGGTCACTTTTACAAAATAATTAAGATCCATTAAGATTTCTTAATCTACGAGCATCAATCATTCCAAATTATTCTTTTATGAATTCTATTAATTCTTATATTGTTTAATTAATATTAACATCTAAATATAAATTGAAATTTATTACAAAATTTTGAAACTCCAATTTAATCATCTTTTTCAACAAGAATTGATACTATATCATCTCCAACTTATTATTATTATTATTCATTCTTATTCACATTTTTATTTATATTTTAAATTTAAACCTTCTTCTTAACTAAGATCTAAGTCTCAAGAGTAAATTACAATTCTCCTAATTAAGTTTCATCAGATAAATCCGATATCATTTTTTAATTTTATACATTTTTTAATTCTTATTCCTCTTAAGGAATTCCAGTTAATTAACATACCAATTATTTCAATTCTAAAACAGTTGTTGAAATGTATAAAAGGAATGCCTAAGGTTTTTTATCAATTAATAAATTAACTCTAATAGGTATTTTTAATAATCCAACTTAAGGAATATCTTAGTCTTTCTTTACTAAAATCCAAGTAGATTCATGAGCAACTTTCTCTTCTTCTAGTGTATTTTCAAAATTTTATAAATATCTTGGGAAATGTAATAAATTAGTTTAATAATTTTCTTAAAACTCTAATAGCCAATATTCATCCTTATTAATCTATTAATATAATTATTAAACAGTTGAAGACAATTTTAATTTGTATGTAATTTTATCATATTTTTCATCAAGTAATTTATGATTTAATAAATCAATTTTTGATACATCTGTTACAGATATTACAATATGTTATTTAGCTTCTTCATATATCTATCTATCATTTTCAATCTTTTGATTTAATTAATTCACATAATCATAAAGATATTTTGGTATTTCTTAACTAGATAATTTAGATGGTATTAAATTTCTATCTCTATAAATTAAAATATATGCACTCTCTGATCCTTAAAACTATTATTATATTTTATTAACAGGTATAGGAATTACTGAACTGTCATTAAAATCATACCATCCTTATGCTACTTTTGGATTAGTAATCTCAAATGGCAATTTAATTTCATCATAATCTACTTCGTCTGTATTTTATCTTTTTTATTATTAAATTTCTTCTTTCTCTTTCCAATATTCTGCTATATGTGATTCCCAATCTCCTTCATCCAAAAGATCTCTAAAATAAGCCAAATAATGTCCTCCATGAGCATTTCCTCTATGAATTATTATTCCTTATAATTCATAAACCAAATTATCTACTGAATTTTCTAAATATACTCCCATATCAATCTCTAATGGAAATTCAAATCTATCATTCAATTTTACTCTTTGCATCTTCTTTTAATCAAAAGTATATCTATTTAATGTTAGTGTCAATATTGGTGGTAATTTACGTATCTTATCGCCTTTCAATGCATCTACCTATTATATATATTTCATTTCTATACCTTAAAACCACAAATCTCACAAAAATATTAGTTGTTTCCATCCAATAAAAATGGATTTATATAACTAAATAACCCTTCAGATAAATTTTTATTTCCTTCCACTTAAATATTCAAATCATATATGATTTCCTCATTACCATGAGAATTGTTGCAATTTAAACAAGTTATATGATGAAATACTACTCCTTTATAAAATGGTGCTATTACATAAGGAGTACCATATAATGATCGATCAAGTGTCTCAAATAATACTCTTTTATTAATTATGTCATTTTTACTTATTTGCATCTGATACATCCTATTACCACATTTACTAACCATCATTCCAACCAAAACTAGAAGTTAATGCTTCTGTTGATGTTGCTTTAGATTGTAAATTTTATAATTAAATAAACAATTTCTAAAACTCTAATAAGAATCTATTTCTGCTCTCATTCTAAGCCAAATTGGCTGAATTCTCTATTGTCTCCTTGCATAAAGGTAGTTACAAAATCACCTTTCTAAATTCTGGACTCATATAATAAGATTATATCAAGCTGTTCAAATAACATGTAGCACCTTAATTTTTTAAACCTGCAAAATGTTTTATTCTTGGAAGCTCTGGTATTTCCATCTAATCTGCACAATTTCTAGCCTTTCTCGTTTAATACGTTGTTATTGTTGGATTTAATTCCTCCTACCACGTCTCAAATGTATCACCAAACATTTTAATATATATTATGTGATTTTTTCCAATAATATTATTTTGATTAATTAAAGAATTTTTATTTAATTTTCTTTTCCTTTTATTATTACATTTAAATCCTTAATCTGTTCAATTCATTTAAATTCTTTTTACTTTCAAAAATTTTATATTAATATACCCGTATAATAAATGCACATTTTAAAGTGATTCTTTTTTAAGTTTAATAACATATCATTTATTTGTTTTAAGTTATAAATACTTCAATTTTTTACATTAATTACATAACGCAGAACCTTATATTTTAAAATTATATAATCCTTTTTTGATTCTATTCTCATTATGTTTTCCAAATACTCTTTTATTTTCAATTCCTTATTTGATGTCATTAATTTTTGATAAATTATTAGAATTGTTATCGAAAATAATTCTAATAAATTGTTTTAATTTTAGAAACTAAGATATATTTAACATATCATAATCCCTGAATCATTTAATATTTATTCTTAATTATTAAATATCACCTTCAATCATAAATTGATATTTGACATTACTATTAAGTTGTAATTTAATTTGAAATTACTTATAAATAATTGTTGATTAAAAAAAAGTTTAAATTAGGTTTAAGCAAACTAAGTACGAATTTTCTATGAATATTATTAAATTATTATTTTCTAGAGTTACTTGCTAAAAATAAATAATAGGTTGATCCTTAAATTAAAAATATTTTGCATTCGATTTAGAATTAATTTTCTTTTTAATGGAGTGAATTTTGGTTCTATTGATATAAAATATCTTGATAAAAGTGCAAATATTAATTCAACCGGATAATAATATGTGTTGAAAAATAAGTTTTTGTATTGAAGAAGAATATAATTAAATATGATAATAAAAGTTTTGAAAAAATATAACTTGATAGATGATAAATTTAGTTGATAATAGTAATTTTGTGAAGATTAGATATATCAAATTTGGTATTATTTATTTAAATTACAAGATTATAGTATTTAATAATTTTTAACGAATAGTTATGATTGAGTTTGCAAAATTATCGAAACAAGAGAAAGAGAAATATATAAAATTTTTGGTTGATAACAAGATTGAATTTTAGCAAAGTGATTAAGGATTTACAGCAAGTTTTAAAGTATAAAATAAAGAAAATGTGGATCCGAGTCGAAAGTCAATAGAATAGATAAAGCGAGCATCTCCTCATTAGAAAACACCAACAAGATGTGTATCACCTTTACGAAGAAAATTTACAAGAGAGGATGCAATAAATTTGATATAAGAGATATATTCAAAGAAATTTGATGATGCTTCAAAGTAATTAAAGATGAAAAATGTTGTTAATGAAGATTTTGGTGTATATGTAATGAGATTTGCATAGAACAAATAAATTGATATAAAGGATTGTATGTAAATTTAGGATGAAAATGTATTTCTTTTTAAAAAGTTTTTACAAAAGGAATATGAGGAAGAAGATTTAATGTATTATTTGTTTTTAAGAGCAATAGTAGAAAAGGAAATAGGTTAATAGATTTATTAATCTAAAAGAAGTTTGGATCTTTAAAAATAATACTTAAGTATAAGTTAAGTATAAAGTATAATATCTACAGTATATGAAAATGAAGTAGATGAGGTTTAGGAGTTATTGGAATATTTTAGTAAGTATTTTGAGAACAATAGGATAAGTGTATTTGATTTTATGGGATTAGCACTTGATAAATATAGTATTGATCGCAAACCATAAGACAAGAAGGTATTAATAAGTGAAGAGGTGATAAATGAGTTAAGGGGATTCTTTTATTAAGAAGTTGAGGAATGCAATGAGTAGTTATTTGAGAAAGTGAAATAGATAATGAATGATTTATTATAAAGTGTATTTAGATAAGACAAGAGAATTTGGATAAATAGAGTATAGAATGCAAAACCAGAGGATGTTTTATATTTAGAGGGATTATAGAAATAATTCAGAAATATGTAAGGAAGTAAATGTGAGATAAGAAATTTGAGTAGAAAGATATTGTAAACACCTTAATTGAGTAAATGCTTTGTTAGATTATTGGAATGATGATACTATGATATATATACTAATATATATTTAAATAATTAATATGCAACAAAGTGATTCATAATAGCCACAAGGAACATAAACAATAGATGAACAACCAAAGCCGAAGGATACACGTTTTAAGACGAGTGTAAGGTCTTTGCCTAACTTGTAAGGATGTCACAAAGACAAAAGGTGTAGAGTTTGAAGAGTTCGATTTAAAATAAGAATTAATGTAAGGTCTTGCAGCAGCTAATTATGAGAAGCCATCTCCTATATAAGAAGAGTCAATACCATTTGCTTTGGCAGGATCTAATATTATAGCAAGAGCAAAAAATGGGACAGGTAAAACAGGAGCCTATATAATTCCAATTCTAGAAATGTTGGAAATGGAAGGATAAATTTAAAGTCTTATTTTAGTACCTACAAGAGAGTTAGCTCTTTAAGTATCAAGTTTAGTAAAGGAAATTGGTAAGTATATGAAAGTAGAATGTATGGTTTCAACTGGAGGTACTGATTTTAAAGAAGATATCTATAGATTAAAATAAGTAATTGTTTTTCTATTATTGCAGGTAGTTCATGTATTGGTTGGAACACCAGGCAGAATTTTAGATTTGGCATAAAGAAAATTAGCTGATTTATCTAAATTAAAACATTTTGTTTTAGATGAAGCTGATAAACTTCTTTCTGTTGATTTCCAACCACTTATTGTTAAAATACTTTAATTTGCACCTCCAGAAGTCTAAATCATGATGTTTTCTGCTACTTTCCCAGTTGATGTTAAAGGTTTTATTAATGAACATGTCCCATAAATCTAAGAAATTAATTTAATGGAAGAATTAACACTTAAAGGTGTAACTTAATATTATCTATACATTGATGAAAAATAAAAAGTCAATTGTCTCAATTTTATATTTAGTAAACTTGAAATTAATCAGGCAATCATATTTTGCAATTCAGCAAGAAGAGTAGAATTATTAACTCAAAAAATTACAGAGTTTGGGTATTCATGTTTGTATACAATTTCTCTCATTCTATTAGCTATATTCATGCTAAAATGAATTAGAAGGATAGAAATAAAGTATTCCATAGTTTTAGAAAAGCTGTTGGTAGATGTCTTGTCTCTACAGATCTCTTTACTAGAGGAATTGATATTTAATCTGTCAATGTTGTCATAAATTTCGACTTCCCAAGAACTGCTGAAACTTATTTACATCGTATTGGCAGATCAGGAAGGTATCTATTATAAATTTATAAATATATTTCAGATTTGGTCATTTAGGTCTGGCTGTTAACTTTATAACCGAAACAGATAAAGACACTTTGGTTTAAATTGAATAGGAGTTAGACACTGATATTAAACCATTTCCTAAAGAAGTTGATAAGAGTTTATATTGATCAATTAATAACAAAAATTTATTAATCATCCCATTCTCACTAACTTATTTTTATCAAATTTTTATCGAATTTTCTCAAGCAATTAATTAAAGTAATAATTATATATAAATTTATTATTAACAAAAACTAATAAATTTAATAATTTTCTACTTTTCTTTCATTTCATTCTCCCTTTTTATTTTTATTCCCATATGCAACCTACTCTCCTCTTCATCTAACAAATATTTGTAGTATTTTTAGAAAATTTTCAAATTTTATATTTCTTCCTTTCAATTTAAGCCACATTGATAACACCTACTCATATAAATGTTCTTTTCATTTTGACAATTTATTTCCCAAGCTAATTTTATCATCTTATAAGAAAATCACAAAATAGACTATTCGATGGAATTTTTTAATGTAAATTTCTTATTTTTCTAACAAGAAAAAAACAAACCTAATTGTAAATGTTATAAAGACTATCTAAATTTAATGAATGCTAACAATTATATGTTTTAAATTTCTTATTTATAAAATATCCAATATTTAAGAAATACCAATACATTTCTTAATATCATAAATTTTCCAATATATTATGGAAATCAAATTCTCATTTATACTTGAAAATATAGGCCTTTAAAGATAATCATATTTTCATTTTGTCTGGGTTTATAAATAAATTTTTGATATAGTAATCCAAATCCTATTCTTGAATATTGAACTAATCGTTATGCTACTTTAATTTAATTTTTCTAATACGTTTATTCGCTCATCTTTCAATTCAATATATAAAATTTGAGTTATCAGAACAAAAGAGATTTTTAAAACTTTCTTAAATACTATATAATTGAATGTTTGGTATATGATTAAACAGACAAGAAAATATTATCAATTAAATTGGGCATAAACTCTTTGGACGAATTAAGACAATAAGTTTGTAATTTCAGGAAAAAAATTCATTTCTTCAATTATTTTTGTAATGTCTTAGCTCTATTCTTAATCATCTCTTCTTTAATTAAGATGCGAGTAATCACTAATAAAATTTAGAATATTCTTATTACCTTCCTAATATTTAATCCCACCTGAATCGAAGGTATTTGTAATACCTGTTTTTAATAGCATTTTGATTTCTATCATTAAAATATTTTGAAACTACAGAGAACTTTGGTCCATGCTCAAGTACTAAGGACAATATTTTTTGATCTTCACTAAAATTAAATGGTGTATTGTTATTCAATTCTGTATTTTTATTGTTTCTTCTTCTTCTTTTATAGTGAAAATCAACTCGTTTCTTCTTCTTTATCTTTTTGGCTTAATGACTTTAAGGCAAAAGATCATCTTCTGCTGCTATTTAAGTTACAGAAGGATTCTCATTATTCGAAAAATTGAAATGAGAAGATGAATATTCTTCTTACTAACCTCCATCTTTTTCCAGTTGTAAGAAATTTATGACATTATACACGGCTGCATAATCTTACATTAAATTTAATATGAAATTTAGCTTTTTACTGCATTTGAGATATATACAAAGTGAATTCAATAATATCTTTTGAAATAAATATATATTAATACAGTCCTTAGTATTATTTATATATTTATAATTAATTTTGTTCAGTTAGTAAAGGTAATTATTACTACATATTACTAGTGTCAGGGTAAGTTATTTTTATTTAATAATTTTATTCAAATACGATTTAAGAGAAAAGAATTATTTTTACATACTCAATTATAGAGCAAGTAAATATATCAGATGATTTAAATATTAAAGTTTTCAAGCCTTTATATCAAAAAGGAGTTTATTTGTCCTTCCTATAAAAATTAAATAATTAATTAATTATAATAACAATATGATTAATTGATAAACGTTGTTGAAAATCAATGCATGCATTTATTCAATTAATAAATCATGTTTGGTTAATTATAAATAATAAAGGCTTAAAAAACAATATCAATGGAAAATTTTCCACAGATGAATCAGGTCTTAAAAATTAATTTTTTTTTTTTCATACTTTCAGAGTTAACTCTAAATAGAAAAAAATTTATTATCAATAAAACTATTCGTTTGATCTATCATCTGAAGTTTTTTATTTTTCTTGTGTTTAGAACATTTATTTTCAATATCTTGTGTTTTAATCTTAGAGGTTATGAAAAACTTATTTAAAGCATATATTAAAAAATGCTTATTGCTTTCTTTTAGGCATTTTAAGGCTTTAAATTTTCAAATTATTCTCAACACATTAACACATTAGCTTTGAGATTGGTTTAAAAATTTATTTATAAATAAATATTATTATTTATAGTTAATAAAAACATTTCTCTATTTCTTATCAGATAATTATTGATATAAAGTTGACTAAGAAATTAGCAATAACAAGGAATTAAGTCTTTTGTTCTGATAAAAATTTTGAAAAAAAAATCTGTATTAAAAAAATCAAACTAACAAATAACGTATATTTCAATATTTAAAATAGTAACTCGATTCCTAATAATTTGAATAAAATTAATTTAGAAACTTATGTTTCTTTTTTTTTTGTACTGTTAAAGCCTATAAATTGAGAAGACATTTTTCTTCAAAAAGAATTTTTATTAAAATAACTTTAATAATTTGGATATAATTTATATAAAATAAATAAATAAATCTATAATTAAAAAAAAATGAAAATAAATGTTAATCAAAGTTTTGGTTATTTTGGCTGCATTTCATTAAGAAAATCACTATAAGTAATGTATTGTTATTGATTCCTATCAAATCTTCTCATTAATAATTCTCTATTTTTGTCATCCAGATAAACTCCATGATTTTCTAGAAAAGTTCTTAATTCTTTTTCAATAATAATTTGATTTGAAGTAATAACAGTAAATAAGGATTTGAGATTAAAATTAGGTCTTTGAGATAGTTTTTTTTTAACACATTCAATGGCAACTTCATTCTCAATTTCAGTTTTGATAACATTCTTTACTGCATTAAGTATTTCTTTATCAAGCTATCTAATATTAATTTTCTAATAATTGATTGGTTTGAATGCAGCTAAGAATTCTCTGATATTCCATTTACCATCTCTATCAATATCATATCGTTTCATCCATAAATACAACTATGATTGAGTTGGATATATTTCCAACTCTTCTAAGGCTGCTTTAACATCTCCAGGAGCTAACTTACCAGTTTTATCTTAATCAAAAAAGGAAAATAGTTCTAAAAAATCATATTAAAGATAACCCAACTCTTCTTTTCTAAATTCATTTTCAAATTCTAATTCTGAAATTATTTTTAGGGCTTCAGCTAAATAATCCATATCATAACATTAAACTTTTTTTTATTATACTATCTTTTTATTTCTATCAATATGTTTAGCTACACTTTATTTAGCTCTCCTATTTGGGAATTGATTTTAAACTTCTATCTATTTAATTGAAGTCACAGTAGATGTTGTTGTTGATTTTGAAGAGTGAACATTTCCATATTGAGCTTCTAGAGCTATTCTGAAATCTTCAAGATCTATTTAACTATCTCTATTTTAATCTAATCTTCTCATCAAGGCATTACAGTCTCTATTAACAAAGTGTTCTAATAGATCCATTTAAATGAATCCAGAATTGAATTGATCAATAGTTTGAAAAGCCATCCTAATATCAAAATCTGGAGTTTAAATTAGATCCTATTTATAAGGTTGAATTTCATCAGCAATTTGAACTTCTTTGTAAAATATTCTACACACTCCATACTCTATTTCATAAGATATTTCTTTAGAGAAAGTTGGCTTTTGTGATACTAATTATCTTAACTCGAGATTATTGGCTGGAAGGACTATTTATAAAAAATCACCATATGTAAGTCGATTATCACATTTCTATGAATACCATTTTATTATTGGAGTCACCTATTCTAGCTGTACTATCAATCCATTTTATTGTAATAGATGATAAATCTCTTAGCAGCTTATATATCCATTATTGGAAATTTTCTTAAAAACTGAATAGGGTTCAAACTCTTCTTATGAACAGAGAATTTATCTAAGTGATTCAGAATGAATTTCAGACTCTTCTAATTTATTGAAGAGTTTAAGCAATTTTTTTTTGGTTTGGGAATTGAGCATTTGAAAATAATATTCGTTAAATGTATATATTAAATATTGGATAATTTGAAAAACAAAGTAAATCAAATTAAAACTATACTAAATAGTTTGTTTAAAAAACCATTTGAAGAGCCATCTTTTTGGAAATGTTATCTTAGTATTTTATTATAATACATTTATCTCATTTATTAAAACTTATGTATTAACAAAACTAAGTAATGTACCAATAGAATCCAAATTAACAAATTCCAGTTTAATAACATCGAGATTACAACATTCCTCCACCAGGTATTATGAAAATTGAATTGAATTTAAGGATATAAGGCTCCAAGATATCCGAGAGAAGAGTTACCTGAAAATTAAGAGCAAAATTTAGATTTAGGTGGTTCATATTAAAGTTATCTATATAATTGTGGAGAATGTTGTGGTAATTGTAAAGCAGTTTGTCCATGCAACCCATTTGTTGAATATCCTTATGTTCAAGTAGAATAGAGCTTTGTTGGTGTCTATTTACGCTTTGGAAAGTATATAAAGACAGGTATGAATATGAAATAAGCAAGTTCAACCTGGATTAATATACATAAATCCATGTACTGACACAATTTAGAAAGTTGATTGTAAAGTTCAAATGATAGATTGTCCAAGATAATAAGTGATGACAAAAGATAATATATTAGTTAGTATTGATGCAACAGTTTACTATCGAATAGTAATTCCTAGAAGATCAATTTTTTACATAAATGATTTGCATTAGGCAGTCACTCAGTTGACATTAGCAACAATAAAAAGTATTGCAGGATCACATACTTTACAGGATCTTTTAGAGAAAAGAGCAGAGGTTTAATAGTAAATAGAAGCTTTTGTTGATGAACATGTGTGGGAATGGGGAATAGACATCGAGAATATGTTAATTAAAGATATTTAATTGAATGCAGATCTTTAGAATACCTTGTCAATGGCAGCAAAAGAATAAAGGGCTGCATAAGCAAAGGTGATTTCAGCATAGGGAGATGTACAATCAGCAAAATTGATGAGGTAAGCAGCTGAATTATTGGATTCGAAAGCAGCTATGCAAATTAGATATTTAGATACCATAACCACTTTAGGATAGTAAGGATCAACAAAGGTTGTATTGCTTCCTACAGATTCTAAATGATAATTATATATATTTGGTAATAATAGAAAATATTATTCCATAAAATATTGATCAAATATAAGGAAGTGCCATAGATGACGAAATATCGGATTGAGGAAGAGTCTTTAGGAAAGGAGAGAAATCAATAAGCAAGACAAAATTTGATGGATAATAGGATGGAGACAGACAATTTGCAGAATATAGAGAATCTTGTTTATAAAGAAATTATTATGGATTATGGAGGTGAGCAAATAGAGAAAATTAGATTTCAAATAGATGATATGAATTTGGATTTATCAATATTAAAATTAATGAAATCATACCTCTTAATAGCTATTTTCATCAGCTTAGGCATCTATTAAATTGTAGCTACATCACAGACTACCTGTGGTTGTACGTAATTAACAAATCCAACTGATTGCTCTACATTACCAGGTTGTTCATGGAATACGACTAGTAGCTAATGCTTATTAGGAAATTGCGGATCATTCTCAAATAGGAACACCTGCTTACAGGCTTCTAATTATTGTGAATGGAACTTGGATTAGTTGATTTGTTAGAATTTTCAAACTTGTCAAGATTTAAATGTGACAGGTATGGCTAATATCACTAATACGACTACTTGGACAAATTAGTGTGTTCTATAGAATTCATAATGTTTAGGATACAACCCATAGAATACTACTTGTGAAAGATTGAATTCAATTACATTATCATGTAATCAATTAGAGATTACTTATTGTAATGGCAATGTAGGATCTGATGGTGTTTGCTATTGGAATTAAGCCACCACAAACTGTACTGCAGTAAATTCATGCTCATAAGTGAATACTTTATCATAAGTGAATGCTTAAAAATATTGTGAATTATTGAACTAAAATAATTAAGCAATATGTTAATGGAATTCAAATTCTTCAACTTGTTAATCAATTACTAATTGCAACTAATTGACAGAAGATTAATGTAAATACTTCTTCACAAATACGAACTTTTCTTAAATGACTTCATGTATCTGGAATAATGGTGTATGCAGCAATACTACCATATCAAGTTTACCTGCACAAAATTGTATGAGTAGTACTGCTTACACCTACAGATGGTTTTCACCAGTCAATAATCCTAAAGTAGGAATCTGTACATCATGTAAACCTATACCAGTACCTATGGTGACTCTATTTTCAAAAAGTTAATGTTCATGTTCATAGTATTAGAATCCATAGGATTGTAATTCATAGAGTTCAAGTTTAACATCATAGAATGGTCCATGTATTTGGACTAATAATGCTTGTGTTTCGAATTCTTGTTCAAACATCAAGAATCAAAATGATTGTATAGTTGTTTAAAGTTGTTTTTGGAACTTTGGAGGTGGAGGAAGCTGTTAATAATAAAATAGTTGTTAAGACTTAACATATAAATATGATGGGGTTGGATGTGCAGCATAAAGTGTATATTGTCCAAATTTCTCAGGTGGATTCTGTGCTCCTTCAACAAATTTATAGTAATGTAACACTTAAGCTACATCTTAAACATGTAAAGCATATATTGGAAGTGATGGACTTTGCATATGGAGTAAAGACTCATGTGTTCCATTGAAATTTTGTAATCAAATTTTTGATTAAGCTTATTGTTCTGGCTAATCGAATATTTGTTATTGGAATGGTTTAGCTTGTGCATAATTATCATGTTCAAACTTGTCTTAATAGAATTGCAAATATGTCATAACATCCTTCTAAGAGAGTTAATACTAATATTGTAAATGGAATGGTCAAGCTTGTGTAGATTCTTACTCAGGATTAGCATTAACCTCTTAAAATTGCGTTAGTAATACAGGTAATACTTTCAGATGGAGTACCAATAACACTGCTGTAGGAATGTGTGTTTCATGTGGCATAAATTAATTGGCAGTATAAACAGCTTCATCATGTTAATGTTCTTAATTATATTCCTAAGCTAATTGTAATAACACAGGATTTTGTACATACAACACTGATAATAATACTTGTACACCTGCAGAATGTAAATAATACACAAATTAGGTTACTTGCGCATCATTAAGTGGTTGTTATTGGAGTGGTTCTAGTTGTAAAACATTCACTGCCTGTAGTTAATTAACAAATGCAACCAATCAATTGGAATGCATCAGTATGAATAATTCATGCAAAGGATTTAGCAGTGGTTCATGTTAAACCAATCCTACTGGACTTTGTTCAGCCAATACTGTTTGTAATAATACAATTGGTACTGATGGACTTTGTTTCTTAAACTCAACTAATCAATGTGTTGGATTTTCATAATGTTCTTTAGCATCATCAATAACAACTGGAGCATCAATTTGTCAAAAATATTCATTTTCTTGTTCATGGAATGCTACAAACAATACATGCTCTTAAATTACTTGTAACGATTTCAAAACATAACTCAATTGTAAATTCTATATACCAAATCCAATTTCTAATGAAATTATTCCATGTTCCTGGAATGCAACACAAGGTTGTGTAACAGCTAATGATATTTTAACATAATTGAATCCAACTACATGCGCAGCAAGTACTCATAATACTTATACTTGGATAAGTACTTAAGCTTCAGCTTCAGCAAATAAAGGATTATGTATCAGATGTTAAGAATAGGTAGCTCTACCTAATTCATGTGGTTGTTCACATTTGGGTTTAACTGATTGTTCTTAAGCTTCAGATTGTTAGTGGACAAATAATTAATGCATAACCCTTGCATGTTCATAGATAGTTTAATAAACATTTTGTGCATCTCAACTCGGATGTGCTTGGATAAAGAATGCATGTTCTAGCTTTAATGGTTGCAACACTTTACTAGGTTCAACTTAAGCTGCTTGTATGTAATAAAATGCATTTTGTGTTGGTAGTAATGGAACCACTTGTACCAATACATACAATCCATGCGCTAGTAATTCATCAGAAACCTCATGCGTTACTGCTTTAGGTAGTGATGGAGCTTGCTATTGGAATTCTGCTTAATGTGTTGCTGTCTCCTCATGCACTCAACTTCCAGAATCAGCATGTAAATTAAGAACTAAATCTTGCTATTGGGCTGATAATAGTTGTTAAACTTAAACTTGTAGCACTCTTTATTCATAATATCATTAATGTACTTACGTTGTTAGCTTATTATCTAACAAAAATGTATAATTTTGTTCTTTGGTAAATAATTTATGTATCTAAACAAAAGATCCATAAAATTTAAATAAATCAAATTGCTTCACTAGCTCCAATAGAACAGCTAGATGGGTTTCAAATAAGTCTGGTTCTTTAGGTGTTTGTCTTTCATGTAATGTATAAGCTGCAAACCTCATTCCAATTTAGAGTTCTCAACTATGCTAATGCTATTAATACATGACATAAACTGAATGTAATGCAGCTTCAGTCCAATCATGTATATGGTAAAATACCTCAACTGGAACAACTAATCCTAAATATGCATGTGTCTAATAGGCTTGTAATTTAATTACTTCATAATCACTTTGCGCTTTAAATACTAGTTGTTATTGGGATTACAATACTACAGCTTGTGCATCATTCACTACATGTAGTTCAATCACTGGCTCAGATTTGACTGCTGCACTTTGTCTTAGCTATTCAGTTTAATGTAGAGGTTCAACCGGCAAAGCTTGTTCACCTAATCCTTAAGCTCTCTGCAGTTCATTAACAACCTAAGAATAATGCAACACTACTCCAGGATCTGATGGCGTTTGTCATTGGAACTCTACTGGTACAGGATCATGTAGTGTAATTACATCATGTACTCAAATCACTAATCAAAAAAATTGCTAATATTTCAGCAATATTTGCCAATATGTTACATCAGGAACTACTTCTACATGCGAAGCACTTACTTGCTCTAGTTTCACAACTCCATCATTATGCAAATATGTAGTTAAATCATTTGCCACAGGTGAAATATAATAATGTCAATGGTCTGCCTAAACTTGCATTAATATGTAAACATCACAATCGTTAACTTCTTCTAATTGTTAATCCAATACAGGATTCACTTACAGATGGTATCCAACACTTAGCAACAGTGGTGATGGTTATTGTACAAAATGCGCTATAAATACCTTATATGTCCCAGGATAATGTGCTTGCAGTTAACTAATTTAGCAACAAGATTGTTTATCAAATCTTTAATGTTCTTGGTCTACATCTCCAACTACTCCAAGTTGTTATAATAAACCTTGTAGTTAAATTCTTTAACAATCTGTTTGTAGTACCAATCCAAGATGTGCTTGGTCTGTTGCTACATCAACATGTTAACCATTTTCTTAATGTGATGATCTATCAGGAATAAACTCTGGAGAATGTGCCAGTTATTCAATCTTTTGTGCAGCAACATCAACTACCTTATCCAATTACGATTAGAAATTCAAATGTGCACCAACAGCAAACCAAAAATGTAGTAATGTTACACCTGCACCTACTGGAGCATCAACAAATTAATAATTAAATTGTGAGAATACTTTTGTTTCTTCTAGTATTTGTTTATATAATTCTACTACTAAGTAATGTACATAGATAACAAGTTGCTCATAAATATTATCATAATCAAAATGTTAACGACTTATTCATTCATGTTATTGGTAACCAGCATCAGGAACAACAGCAGCATAATGTACGAATGCTACTTGTCCAAATATTACAAATCAATTAGATTGTACTTATGTTTCAAGTACTCTTTCAACTCCTTCAAAATCAAGCATTACTTAATGTTTTTGGTAACAAAATACAGGTTGTGTATCAGCTCAATAAGCTTCAATACCTTTAACAAACACTACTTGTTATTCTAATTCATTTATGATGTCAAGATGGATAACTACACAAGCAGGTGGTAAATGTGTGTAATGCAACTAATATAGTGCAGGTAATGTTTTTAAACCAATATGTTCATGTTCTTCTTTGTCATAATCTGAATGTACTTATGCATCACCATAATGTACAGTAAATGGAACTTCATGTGTAGAGTAACCATGTACAGGGTTATCTTAAAACTAATGTGCTATAAATTAAAAATGTATCTATCTTGGAGGTGCTTGTCAAAACTATACTTCTACCAATACTTGTGGTAATATTACCTCTCCAAAATCAAATTATGATTGCGCACAATATTCAACTAATTGTCTATAATATAATGGCACAACTAGTACATGTTCTAACCTTGATTGCAGCAAATTATCTACTAATGTTAGTTGCGCTTCCGTTGAATTTTGTTCTTGGACCAATGATAAATGCTAAACTATAAATAATTGCAAATAGATTACTGATGTTGCTCTATGCAGTTTGTAAACCAACAGATGTTAATGGAGTGTTGTTTTCAATTCTTGCGTTACATAATCATGCAGCTCTTATACCTCTTAAGCTGATTGTACCTATGTCTACACCTCCTATTCCTAAGCAGATGTAGCTCTATGTTATTGGGATACCTTCTATAATGACTGTAGAAGTGCTTCACTATCATTATTATCAAACTTCACTTAGAATAACACAGCAACATGCTACGTGAATACAGGACATCTTTATCATTTAGATGAAGGTGAATGTACAAGATGCTTCTAAAACATTTTGAGTATTCTTCTTATCACAGTGCTCCTTTTATTCATTTGAGAGTGATAACATTTAAATATCAAGTCATATTATTAAAATAATTTAATTCTTCTATTCGTCTCTTTATCTTATACTTTTTTATTCCTCTTCTCTAAATTATTTTATTTAAATATTTTCATCAAATTTTTAAGTTTTATATTAAATTTGCTATTCCATTTTATATTAAATTTGCTATTCTATTTTATCTTCAATTATTTGCTTCCTCTTTAAAAATGAAAAACCTTCATCAAAATACAACTTAAACCAACACCTTAATAGATCAACCTACCAATCCCTAAATATTCATTTAAAATACCCTCTCTAATGCACCCAATCAATTTACATTTTCAACTAATTAAAGTCAATCACATCAAATCTTTCTTAAAAAACAACCATAAATACTCTACTCATCAAAACCAATCAATAGAAAAACTAAAATTTTCAATCTCAATGAAGATTAAAAAATTTTAAGACTTGTTCTTCTTATTGGACCAAAATTTAAGAAAATTGCAAAATAAATACCTGGAAAATCCATAAATAATATCAAAAATAGATATTATAGAAATCTCAGATACAGATGGGATGAAATCTTAGGAAAGTAAATGAATTATTCTAATTTTAGTCAATATACTCATCTTAATTAATAATAAGAAAAACCAACTTTAGTGAGTTTAGTCACCAATTCATAATTACATCAAGAATTTACTAATATTTTAATCCCAATGTTTTCTAAAATTCAAAAGGTTATAGATAAATGTTTGCTTTGACTATAAGTTATTTTTGTTTGTTTTTTTTAAATAAGTCGTACCAAAATAAATGCGTTTTATCACTTGTAATTTAATAATTATTAAATAAAAAATGCAAAAAAAATCAACAGACTAAAAATTTATCATATAATTAAGAATTCTCAATGTCTTTCTGTCCCTCTTATGATATTTTCTAATCAAAAAACTTATCACAACTTATTTTTAAATTAATGCTGGTATTTAAAAAAAAAATATTTTTTCAACAATTAATTTCAAGTAAGTCAAGATGAATATGCCTCTTTCATGTAAGTTTTTATTCCTATATTAATATAAATCTTCCATTCTCTAATGCTTCTATAAAAAAAAACTTTTTTTTTGCATCATATGCAAATATTGATATCAATTCTTTATAATATAAAAAAAAACTAAATGTTCAAAGTTAGAGAAATTTATAAATTGTTATTAGAATCTTTAAATGAATAATTTCTAATATCAGCAATTATACTTTTCATTCGCTTACTCTATAAATTAATTTTTGAATAAGATTAAATAAAAGATTAAATAATATTATTTTCTTTGAAGCTTTAATTTCTTTCATAAAGAAAATGAATAAATATTTAGATTGTTTTCTTATAAATTTTTAAGACCTAAACCAATAATGCAATAAAACAAATTAAGTTTTGAGAATTGAAGCCAAACAATTCTTTGTAAAGTAATTAGATTATGTAAAGTTGAATAAACTGAATGATAAAAGATATATGTTTTAAATATATGAATTGGTTTTCATAGTCTTTTTAAACTTAGGAATCCTTCCCCTTTTCCTCCATTATAACTAACTTAGAGTCGAGCTCTATTTGGTAGAACAATAAAATCTTAAGCATTTAAACCTATAAGTAATTTCAGAATATGTACCTGTATATTCAGATGTTTTCTTTTTTTAATCTAGGGTGGCAATATTCTCTCCATTTATAAGGACTGAGATATTTTATTTTTCTTTAGAGAAAAATGCATAAGCAATGTGATAGACTCCAGGAGCAACAATTAAAATAGAACTTTTTCCTTTTTCCCAAACAAAATTCTCAGGTAAAGTATTTATAACTTCATATTCCCAAGGAATTAAATGATTTTATGTATCTCCTGATCTCCATTAAAATCGTGCAACAATATTTTCTTAACAAAGTGATTCATAAATTTAGTTTTAACTTTTGAGATAATTAGATAAATCATCTGCTGAAACTTTGGTCTAAAGATCATTGTGTATAGCTTCAAATGCTTAATTAATTTCAGGAATATCTAATTGTAACAACTATAAATAATACTTGCTTTTGTGTCTAAAATAGTAATCATATCTTAGATTCCAGCTTTAAGCATCATATCTTTTTATATTAAGTCTAATGTATATTTAGTTAATTAAATATGTTTTGTTAGATCCTTTTAATATGCTCTTTCATCTTAATCGATACATAATTTTTAGATAATGTTTTTTAATTCTTCGAAATCTTAATACAAGACTCTCTGTTTTAAAGTAATTTCCATTTAATTTAGTTATTATTCAAATTAAGAAACCTTTTTAGATACTATCTAAGAGACTTCTTATTTGATATTTTTAAAGCCATCTTAACCAGAACCAGTTTTTTTGATTTCATTAACTCTTCTCTATAATTACTATTCAATTTATGCTTGTATGTGTTATTCATCTTCATACGATAATTATTTAGCCTTAACTTCACTGATTTCCTTGGTTTATAATATATAAATACTTTGTTCATCTACTGTACTTATCTCTACAATTATTTAAACACTTAATCAGATTTAAATTCATCAAAATATTCCTACATTTAATCTACTTTTTATTATATATCCTTTTTTTATAATCTCATCGTATTAATTACTTTTTTGAGATCATCTAATTCTTCTCTCTTATCCTCATCCATTTATTTAATATTTTCTGATAGATTATATAATTCTTCTGTCAATTTTTCAGATAAATGTGTAGATTTCATAATTGTTGTCTACATCTATTCACTTGTAAATTATTTAGATTCTAAGATTTCATTCCTCAATCTATCAAGGTCTGATACAATTTCTTAAGAAAATTTATTAAATCTTTATGAATATCCATCTAATTCTCCCTAAATAGAATTAAGAGATTGAATATGTTTATCTAATTCTTTATTATCAGCTTTCTTATTTAATTGTTTTGTTACTCCATCAACTTGTTATTTCATCTCTAATAGTAAATTATTATTTTCTTGTAGTTTAGATTCTACAATTGTTTTTAATTCTTATTGTTATTCTTTAATAACTTCGAATTGATGTACTTCAGCCTTATTTTATAATGAATTGATCAAAATTGAGAAATCTTATCTATCAACTTTCACTTCTAAAATAGAAGCTATTTTATCAATTTAATCTAATGAAGCCTTTTAATCCAGATTTTAAATTATTGGTTATAAGTCTTCAAGAGAAGAGTAATTTTATAAAATTTAATCTAATTCTTATTTACTAATTTTTTTATTCACTGCTTATTAAACTTGATGTTTACTTGCCTTAGTCTCAAGTAATTCATTCATTTCTTATAAGTTTGCTTTAAGTTCAACTTATTGAGATAATTATGAAAAATCTTTCATACTTGGAACTTATTGAAATTTCTTTGATATTTATGTTTATAATTCTTCTATTTTGTGTTTGATATTTTGCATTTCTCCTTTGAATTCTCCTGATTATTATTTTTCTAACAATTATTTCATTTCATCAACATCAATTTTACTAATAAAATAATAAGAAAAACAGTATACTTGCTTAACAAATATTACATATCTGCTTTTAATACATAATCTTTTAATAAAACTTAAGAATCTTCATAAGTAATTTTAGTATCAAGATTGGTTGCTATCTCTGCAATAGTTCTTGAAATATCATTAATATTAGCTTTCAGTGCTAATCCTGAATGAAGTTCGTTTTTAGAAGCTCTTGTAGAAAGCTACTTCTCAATTTCTCTTATACTTTCTCCTTATGATTTTACAACATCCGTTAAAGCCTTAAATGTCAATCTGATAATATCATTTATATTTTTCCATTCAGATTAAGACTATTGTTTACTTTGATGGATTCTACCTGCAACAAATCTTCAACAATAGCTGTGCTATATGGATCATTATCTTCTCGATGATGCATCTTTTAATTTTGAATTTCGGTTGATAATTAAATATATTAAAATTTTCATATTACATGTTCTACATATAATCATAAATTAAAAATATACTACTATTATTTGCTAACCTTATTATCCTTAAAATGCAAAAACCTATTTAATAAAAATTAAAATCTTTAATCACTTCTTATATTTATTATATTATTCTAAAAATCACAATAACAATTTAAATAATGTGATTCAAAATATTAATAATAATAGTAATTCATTCTTTGATTTAATCTTCTGCCAACCTTATAGATTGATTTGATTATAACTGTGATCCAATACTCTCATCTTCATAATCATTTTAGAGTTCTAATAACATACAAGATTCTTTTTGTAATAATAAACTTGCTATTAACAAAGGTTTAACCTTTTTTTCTATTCCTGATTATTATATATGTGAAGAAACCTCTTAAATTTTCTTCTATAAAGTATCAATAATCTATCTCCATTAATCTAATCGATCAGCATCAAGAAGAACTATCTAATCAAATCTTTATTCAATTGTACTTCTTATTGTTAACCATGAATCCTATAATTTTTAAAACTATATAAATTTTAAATTATTATTACTTAACTCATTATTTCAGTCTTTTATCCCTTTATTTATAAGAATTAATTTTAAGCTTCCTCAGAGAAAAGTCCAAATTCAACACAAACAACAGCAAACTTTTCAAATGAAAAATTCTACTCTCCTTTAACTAATAAATCAGCATTTGCAAAAAAGATTTCCGAAATCTACTCACTTGTTAAACGATCTGGTTCAATATGACGAAGTAATAAGAACCACTCTTCAAAATTACACATACCATTTCCATCTCAAATTAATACTTATCATATTACCTAAATCACATGCTGCAAATGCATTTATTACATATTCCTTTGCTCTACTAACTAAGATTTTATATTTTGCAAATAACTGTATCATAAATTAATCAAAATCTATTAGATGTTATTTATTCGATTATTTAGGATCGTTTTCTTTAAGTAAGTCTAATTCCTTCTTTAATTCCTCCTTCTCTTCTGATGTCATTCTAGAATCTGCAAAAATACCTATATATTAAACTACCCTTAAATATGGAACCATATACCGAAGTTCTTAATCCTAATCATTATTTAGAATCCCTAACTAAGAAATATTTGTTATATAGTCATAAGCTTCCAAATATCGTTTAAGCTCATCCAAATTAAAGTTAACATAAGTATCAAATAGATTTAAGAATTTTGCAAAATTGTTTATTCTTACTATACTTTTGTAATGTTTTACAGAAACAACTAAAATTAAGAATTTCTATTCTGCTATTTTCTTTATTCCAAATTGAGATAGAAAGTAAGAATAAACAAATGAAGCTAAATCTTATTCTTTAATATTGCTATTTTCTTTTTATTATGCAATTCTATCTGCATAAATAACATTTATTTATTTTATCAACAATTTAAGAGGCATAAAATGTTTTATTTTCGGTAATTGTTTTAATTTAATCTTTTCAATTAACATTGGTCCTGCATTTTATTTCTGAAATTCGTACACAACTGTTACTTTTTAACCTAATTATGGACCTTTGAATATCAGTTTAGCCTAAGTCATCTTTTTAGCGTCTCTTTTTCTTGTGTTTATTTTCTATTCAGATCTTAAATTTTAACTTTCTAAAAATTATTCAATTTATTTTTATTCTTTTTTTATTTATTCCTTACCACATGCTACATTATATAAATCTGCTTCAGTAAATAATGATAATTTTTTTTACATTTCTTCTAATTACTCATTTAATTATCTTACATTATTTTACATTTCAGATAATCTTAAATCCTTTTATTTATTCTACATTTCAGATCCTGATAACAATTCTATAAGAGTTTTAATTTTATCTAAATCTAATTATTATACATTTTGTTATTTTTGTAATTGTATATCAACTTAAGTATGAATAATCCTTTTATTTTCATCAAAAAGTTCAGAATCAAATATAAAATTTTTATCAGTCAAAGATGGCATTTCAACATCTTTTGATGTGTAAAACTTTTTCTCAATTAAAGAATTCAATTATCTACTAGATGTTTGATGTTTAAATTTATCTATAAATATTAGAAATAAGTACCTTCATAAACTTTGACAATTTCTTCTATATTTTATTTAATTTTTTGTTACTCAAAGACTTGATCAAAATTTTCTTATGATACTGTATATAAATTGAAATCTGGTTTTTACATAGATATAATAGTTTAAGAAGCCTTTTCTCTTGAAGCATACTCTAGAAAATCTAAACCTGTAAGTTAAGCAAAACAGGCTACAGTTATTATTTTATCCATATTCATAACCATATTATCCATTTCAATAATATTTTTATCATCCATTAATTCTTCAATGACTTCATCCTATTCATCTTCTGAAGAGGATTCTTATTTTGGTTATTATGATTAAACAGAATTTTAGAGGGAATCTGTAATCTATGGCATAATAGAATTGCGACCTTATTTTAAATAAAATTATGAAGGGGCATTGATACTATTTTATTTACTTAACAAATGTTTATCAGATTAATTAATTATGATTTCATTATGTGGAATAGCGACTTGAGAAAACCTATGTTTTTTTTCGTTTTATAATTTCTTAGTTAAGAGTTCTATTTCACTATTTGCCTATTTTAATTTTTTGGTTAAAAAAGCAACAATCTTTTTTAAGTCATTAGATTATAATCTCATTTTTCCAAATTAATCTTCTAATTCTTTATAATCATCTTTAAGTAATAGATTCTTTTTATTTTCTATTGTTAATTATTCAGTAAGTTTTTTAATTTCTGCTTTTAGATTCTCAATTTCATAACTAAATATTTTAGATGTATTATTATATTCATCAAGAATTTAAATTTTGGCTTTAGAAATGACTATGTCAGTTTAAAATTTCATTTCATTAACAATATTAACAATTTTGTTCCATATTTCTTCAATTAACAATCCTCTTTCTAAGCATTCAAATTTAATTTGTTTAATTAATTCTTTGATGGTAACTGATAATAAATTTAAAGTATCAGACTAATCATCTTATTTTTATTTGTCGAACCATTCTTTTAATTTAATTGTTTATACTCTGCCCATAGGAGCATCAGTTTATACATTTCTAATCTCTGAATTGAGTGAATTTTCAAATTTTAAATATTCATTCATATCTAATAAGGATAGTTAAGGTGAACTCATTTATGATATTTATCTTCTATTTATGAATGGTTTTTTAGTATGTAATCTTTATTTTTCTTCTAATAAATTATCAGACTTCTTTCTTTCTGATTTAATTGGATCATAGTAATGACTTACATCTTCTCTAACTCTAGACATAACTGAGATTTAATCTTTTCTGTCTTTTTCTAACAAAAGATTGGCTTATTTTTTATTTTTAGTGAATTTAACTAATTCTTCAAGATCTATTTAATTCCTTGGTGTACTTTTATTAGTCATGTATGTAGTGCTGGTTTATACAACAGAATTAAATAATAAGCTATTTTATTAGCTTTTGTTTTCTGCCTTAGCTAATTTCAATTGTTCAGCTATATGTATATTATTTTATATGATTGTTGTATTATTACTACGAGTAGAGATTTATTGGCTACTAATTTACTTTAATAAAGAGTTGGTATGAGATAGAGTTTTAAATTTCAAAGCATTTTCTGTAAAGGTAGGTAATTATTATTACTTCATTGAATAAATTATCAGTTGTTTAAAGATAATATATCTTGGGATGAGTGAGATATCGAAAGTTTGAATGATTTAAGGATAAATGAGATGAAACTGTAATATGAGAAAATAAAAAGAAGTTTTGATTTAGTATAATTGTTAGTATAAAATAAAAATGATTAACTTAAGTTAAATACTAGAAGGTGAAAATGGTGAGATGACATTTTGTGAAGATGCTAGTTAAGTTGATTTAGAAGATATTCTATAAGAAGATGATGATATTAGAGAACAATTGAATCATTTGAATAGTGATTCTTAGACTTTGGAATGTAATAATCAGAATAATGAATCATTTATTTGTGATTAAGAAGAATTCATTTCTCCTATTTAAATAATGTCTACAGGACATCATTCAAGAACATTTGGAATTTCAACTAATTATTTAATCAATTATAGGGACAGATAGCTATCATTATTCTCGAATAATAAGAATAATAAGACTATCTAAATTTAAGATGTATCATATATTTCAGTCAAAGGTTAAATAATAGCTGTGGGATTTGAAAATGGTTAAATTTAAATTTATGAAGGAAGTCAATTGAAATTAGTTCATAAAATATAAGAGCATTAAACAACTATTATTGGTTTAAATATAGTAGATGTATAAGCAAATGAAGTTGTGATGGCATCGTCAGATTTAGATGGCAATGTCAAATTAATTAGAGTAGGATAGAATTTATTCAGGAGTAAAGTTGTTACTAATACTATATTGAATAAATTTGAGTATCCTGTCACTTAATTAATCTCTTAATAATTCAAATATTCTGATTCTGATAAAACTAGCTTATTATTGACATTAGCTAATAGCAATATGGTTATAACATTATCCATCAATCCAGAAGTTAAGGTAGTACATGTTTTTGATAAATAAAAATCAAATAATGATTTACATTGGGGAAAATGTCATTATGAAGGTAATTAAATGTAATTGTTATCTATCTAATGGAATTCATTCATTCAATTAATTACTTTCTTAGAGAATTCTCCATGGTATTTTTCATTCTATTCTGCTGATTCATAATTAATTGGAGCTAAATTTATCTCAGAAAATTTAATCATTGCTGCTACTGAAGGATAATTTCTAGTACTCTACATTCCATATTTCTCTAAAGGCAAATATTGTTTTAAATCAGACAGCAAAGCAAAGATTTCTAATACTAATTTTCATTAAAATATTTATTGTCTAAGAGCAATAAGCAATGTAATCTATTTCATATCAGAAAATAAACTATATTCATTACATGCATTAAGTTGGTTATAATATCTTAAATCATTAATTCAAAATGATTCACCGTAATGGTCAATTGCATTAAGATTTCTGGTCTAAGTTTATAGAGGAAAAGTTAAAGGAATGCCAAATTTAGAATTAGAAGAAGATAGAACTGCTATATAAACCTTGGCTCCGACTTTAATTACTAGTATAACTAATTCTAAAATGAACAGAGAATTAATATCAGCTGTCATTTAATTTATCCTTCTTTGCTAAATTCCTTAACACTTGATTATTGTTAAATCCGGATGTGAAAAATAATTCGTCTTAGAAGATTATTACAAAGTTTTAGAACTTCACCTTAAAAAGATAACATAATTACCGAAAGAGATTTTCTTTGATTTAGCAAATAAATTTTCTCCTGAATCTTTTCAATAATTAGTAATAAATTTAGATTTAAATTCAATTGATATTGGATATACTTATGATGTTTGTTTGAATAAAGAGATATATACTCCACTACTTTATATATGTCCAAGAAAAGAGGAAGATTTTTTAACTCCTTTAAACAAAATGTTCGAGAAGCATAAATAAGAACTTTATGAAAAGTGTTTATGGTTTATTGAAATAACTTAGAAATAAATTTTATTTCCAAATGATTAAATACCTTTAGAGATTTGGAAGAAAGCTGTTAGATAATAAATGTTATGGTTGATGGAAGTATTGGATGTTTTTTAGAGTGAAAAGATGTTTCAAATACTTAGTACTTATCTTAAATAACCTTGTATTGGTGCTTTGCATCATGAATCCGTGTATTCATATTTCAATATTACCTAAGAGAATTTATTGGCTACAAAGATATTTGAATAAGTAAGCAGTATTAAATAATCACATTTACTTTAATATTTGATGTTTATCAGTAAGATTATTGATTAGATAAAAGTAAATGATCCAGAGAAATTATTACTATAGATATTTGAAATTAATAAATCTTACATTGATAATTATGTTGCAATGCCAGAAGATTTAGATCAAATCTTATAAATTATTTATTATTTAATGCCTCATACTTAATTAATTGAATAAGCATATGAAAGTAAATGTGTTGATTATATTGCTTATTACTTTTTGTCTCAAAATTAATTAAACTAGGCTATAAATATATTTTTTAATTATGAAGAATTTAAACTTAGAGTTTATAAATGGCTTGAATATTAACCATATGATCCTTTAATGTTAGATCATCTTGATAAACTACTAGAATTAGATCCTGAAAAGTGTGCTAAAGTATTTTAAAGCTGGCCAATTGAGACTCTATAAAAATTAATTATTTATCAACCAAAAAGAGAATTACTTCATGTATTCAAATATTTATCAATTGATCTTTCATAATTTCTTTAATTAAAATTAATTGAATTGATAAGTATTCATGAACCTGAAAATACAATTTCCTGGCTTAAAAATAGATAATATCAATTAGAAGATGTTGAATAAATATTTTAATAAACTAATAATATTGAAGGTTTAGGATATATAATGGAATAGAAAGGACTTTATTAAGAAGCTATTGATAATTATCTCTAGATTTATAAAGAGGAGTCTAGAAATTATATTCTGTCTTTTAGAAATTAAGAAAGAGTAACACAATTATTTTCAAATTTAATGAGAGCTACCAAAATAGCTGTCTAATCAGCTGATTATCATTAGGAATTATATTTATATATAGCACATCAAATATTTAATCCTATGATGCATTAAACTCATTGGTGTAAACTTAAAAGATCATATGTTTTTAATCAATAATTTAGTTAGCTTTTTATGCATTTATTTCGTTACTCTCCTACTGAATTGATTAAAATTATAGAACTAAATCATGAAACATTTAATTAAGTACATTTCAAAAGTAGTTTTATTACTGTTTTTAAAGAATTTGGATATGAAAAATAATTAGTTGAAAAGATATCTTAAATTATCAGAAATGATAATATTAAATTATTAAAATTACTTTATTCATTAATCAATAAGTCAAATCTATATGAAATATCTTGTATTGAATGTTAATAACCATACACTTAAGATTAAGTTATTCTTTTGAAATGTGGTCATACTATTCATCCTTTTTGTTTAGAAAATAAATATTGCCCTATTTGTCAGAATATATCAACTTAATCATGTATTTATTAAAATCTATTTTATTAGTACTTGAAAGCATTGGAGTAGAAGAATTAAAGAAATCTATATTGAAATCTAAAGTGGATAATTAACAATTACAATTATTGAAGAATGTTGATGATATTGATTTGGAAGATAATTTTATTACATCTACAACCTAAGATGATAAAGAAATTACAGAATTAAGGTTATTAAATAAATTGGATATATATGATTAATTAATTGATTCTGCATTACAATAGGTATTATAATATATAATAATTTTAGTACAATTCATTTTTGGATTCATATTTTTGATTGCTGATAGATTCTTTTGTATACTTTATATCATTTTTATATATAAAAAATGCAGTTATTACATTTTATTAATTTAGAATTTAATTTAAAAATACACCCACTTTTATATAATGTTGTGTGAACACAAAAGAGGATAATCGTTGTGTATATGTTGTTAATAAATAATCTGTGAATTATGTATTTGTTGTAGTGATCCAAAAAAAATAAATTTACCAGAAATGAATTTAAATACACTTTGTTCACGATGTGATTAACTATAGGCTGAATTGAAATGTGAATAATGCGGATTTCAATTTTGTTAAGAATGTTTTTAATTAGTTCATAATGTAGGAAAATTTAAAACACATACTAGAATTTCAATGAATAAAGAACTACATTAATAAATAATAAAATAATTATCTATTATTTCTGAATTTGAGTAATATTCTAAAGAATAAACAATATCAGTTTAAAAATATTTTGATTAGATTTAAGAAGTGTTAGATAGAAAGAAAAAGTAGTTATTTGAATTGATATCTAATTATCAGTAATAATAAATGAAGAACCTAAAATAAAGAATAAATGTAATAGAAGCAGCAGTGAAAATAAATTCAGAACAATCTTTTGAAATCCCAGAAAGTCTGAATTATTAAAAAGAGAATTTTAATTTAACCGCCAAAGAATAAATAATAGAGTTAATTTTAAACATTGATGTATAAAAAGATTTAGAATAAAGTGCAGTTAGTCCACGTCGAATTTATACATAATAATCAAGTGTAAGAAGGAGTTCTAGTTGTAAAAAATTAGAATCTTAGGATAAAATAATAGAAGTATGCGAAACTTTTGAGAAGAGAAAATTTATAAAAGAAATTTGTTAATAAAATTCAATTTAGTTATAATGGACTCATTCAAAATAAAAAGTAGAATATAATTTAGAAATGGGGATTGGGATGAAAATAAAAGGAGTTGAATAATTTAAATAGATTTATTAGGGAATAGAATCATAATTTACAATAACTGGGTTATAAACTAAGACAAATTATAAATTTAGAGTTTAAAGTATATTTGATAATAAGAGAAGTGAATTTAGTGAAATATTAAATTTGGCAACTTTATAATAATAATGCATTGAGGATAGTTTAATAATATCTAAGAGAATAATAAATAATGATATATAAGTTTAATTTGAGAAACCTGGATTGATTTTAGGTACAAATCCTTTATATTTTGGAATTTGTTAATGGGAAATAAGATTGATAATAAATGGAATAATTGAAGATTTAACAGCAAGTTTGGTAGTAGGAGTAGCAAGTAAATAAAGAAAGATAATTGGAACAACATTGAATTATGGTTATTAAAGAGAATCTTTAGTTATAAAAGTATAAGTTGATATGGATAATAAATGTATGATAATAACATCTAAGATGCATCCAAATGGAGAGAGATTCTAAAATATAGTAGGACCTGTATTTCCAGCATTTTAGAATAAAAATACACATAAAGGATCAGGATGTAAATTATTGATATAATATTAATAATTATGAATAAAAAAGAATTGAGAAAGATTAATTCTTATGTCGATAAAGAAGTACTTAATTTGACATGTGGTCTTTATCCATTTGCACTTTTTTCATAAACTAAACCACTTAATCATTAAAAATGGACTTAAGAAGAAATTCTATTATCTAATTAGAAAATTTCAAAAGTAAAGGCATGGGTTCCAGAATAAGAAAGAGGTTCATTATATAATGGAGAAAAAGTTAATTTTGATCCTGAATATCTTGAATTTAAAGAAGGAGAAATTAGTATTGATAATGATTGGAGTTTTGAAGAAACTTAATATTTATTCAATGAATTGAGGAATTATAATTATAATTTTATAGTTCTTTAAGATAGATATTCATATCAAAATAAAAATAGAGATATCTATGAATTAAAAGATAGATATTATAGTGTTGTAAATGAAGTTTTAAAAAAGAGAGATGAAAAATCACATTTTCTATATGATTATGTTTATGATGAAGAATATGATAGATTTAGAAATATGGAACTTGAAAAATATTTAAAAAGAACAAAATAGATTTGTGATGAAGAGAAGAAATTATAAGAAGATTTAAGAAAAGTTGATTAATAAATTAAAAAATAAGAAAAGGAACATAAAAGTTTATGTAAATCTATTAATCTATAAGAATATAATGTATTATAATCAATTAATTATTAATTTTAGGATATTGATGATAAATCTATTAATTATCTTATTGATATGGCATAAAAGAATGAAGAAATTAAAAAGAATACTTCTGAGAGAATTGTTTATTTAAGAAATAAATGGATTAATGAAGCTTTACCATTGCCTACATCTATTAAAGATAAATTGGATAGATAACTTAAAGAAGTTCTCTAAAACAATAAATTAGCATTGAATTAAGAAATTGAAGAACTATTCTGCAATCTTAGAAAACTCTAATTAGGAGTATTGAGTTAATAGAGATTATAAAAAAGAAGAGAATAAGATAAAAAATATTGGGAAGATAAAATTAAAAAACTTAGAGCATAACATGATTCTTAATAAGCTAGTGATATGAAAACTAAAAAATGAGATAATTTATATTTTAATAATAATTAATATTGCTTTCATTGTTTTACTACTTCAGAAAATTCATGTTCCTTTGCTATAAAAATTCAAATTAAATTAAACAGTTACCTCTTTTTTCTAATAATGATCTAAAATATTTAGCAGAGAAGTCAACAATGTCTCCTGGCTTATTTCTAATTACTTCCTTTGCATAATGTTTCAATATCACTGGTAATTCAGGTGGTACTACTATTTATTCAGCACAATAAATTCTTTGTTCTCTTACATCTGCCATTTTATTATAAATTAAAATAATTAATTAAAATTTACAATCTCAATATTCTCAATAAATACAAATCATAAGCAGTTCTCATCTGCACATCTAATCAAAGGTTGAATTTATTCGGTTTGCTTTCCTCTTAAACATTCTATAAATTATCTGACATTCAATAATTATAAAGAAATTCTTGAATTTCTCATACAATAGAACAAAACTACTTGACTCTCCCCTTCCTGTAATATTCAAAAATAAATTACGTTTAAAAGTATTTGCTGCATAACATTCGAACAATGTCTATTTGAAATGCAATCATAATCTGTATTAATACAGCAGCTAATCGCCAATAGTATTGATAATAATATATATTTAAATTACATTATATTTAATTATATTATTATAGATTATTTAATTTACACTAATATAACTATTGAAAACTAATTTTATATTATATATTTGATAATTAACTTGTAAGAAATTTCCCTATTTTGATATATAAGAAATTAAATTGCACTAATATTTAACATACTTTTAATAATGTTAAGATTAAATCTTTAAAGAAATATAAATTGTTCATAATTATTCTTTAAAGGAATAATTAAATTATGAAATAATTTTTTAGTTTTAGTGAACATGGTTAGTAATCAGATTTTGAAATAATTTATAAAATATTATATTCATAAAAATAAAATAAGAATAATAATCATAAAATTAATAACATGGGAATAGAATTCTTCAATTATAATATCTTTACTTAAATTAATAACTTATTTTTGACCTTATTAACATTTCATCATTAATGGTTCATAATAGCATTCTTTAGTTCTAGCATTACATTCATCTGAATCAATAATTTTAATGCATTCTTTAACACACATTTCAACAATAGAATTATCTTCTTTTATTTAAGTACTCCAATAACAACGGTTTTAGACTTCTTCACATTATTTTTTAGTAAGAAAGGATGTACATGGGATTGAAATACATTTTCCATTTAAAAAAGTACAAATTTTGAACTGATTTTCACATTAACATTTTTCTGTAATTTATTCACATTATTAACATATTAAAGAAGCAGATAAAACACAAGAATATCCATTAATTTCATTTCCATGACATAAATTTTTAGATGATCCATACAAAAGACAAGGTTAATTAGTACAAACTCTTGTTTCATCTAATAAGGATATTTTCTACCAATTACATCTATAACCTTAAAAAGTTAGTTAATTACAAATATTCATAGCTTCTTCTCCATAATTATTTATTAAAGAACATGAAGTTAATATTTAACAAATATTATTTGGATCTAAATAACAATCTCTTTGTTAATTACAATTGTGTATATTGTAATCAGAACATGTTCTTGATTTACAGATACCAAATTAATAGATGCAATTAGGATTGGAACAATCAGAGTATAAACAATATGTTTATAGATTATTTTATTAAACACATGTATTACCTACCTATATACATTAAATAGAATTAAAAGAAAATTAAGAACATGGTAATTTTGATTCAAAAATATCTTCACATTTAATTGCTGATTGACATTCATTATAAATATTTAAATAACATGTTTAACCATCTAAATATGCTGTACATATATCTGTTGTTAAATGATTACATTATTTTCTGATACAATTATTACCATTGAAATAACAATTTGGATTTGATTTACAATCATTTTTATTTTCTATTTTACATATTTCTTATTAATATTCATTACATTAACAATTTAAAATTTCTTAATTCCATTTACAAAGTGAATTACTTTCACAAAAATTCTTATTTTTACCTGGAATATTACAAATATCAGATGAATAGATTGGTACATCACATTATAATCTAATAGAATCATAAATACAATTTGAATGGATAATAGATGCACAAGCTAAAGCATTAACATTTTTAATCATTATACAATTAGATTCATAATCAATAAAATTTTAGCATTTATTATTTAAAAAGATGCATGGTTCATTTTAAACTAAACTACATCCTTTTAAATTTAAACCAACAGAATTGCATTTAAGTGACCAAATATTAAATTAACTAACACATTAATTTAATTAGTTATTATATAAGCAAGCTATATCTGTAATACTTTAACATGCAATAGAATTAACTTTTAATTAAGAATTACAATTAATAGGTGTAATCAATTCTTCACATTAATTTAATTCATTCCAATAAATAGGTTTATAATCATTTTACAGACATGCTGATTTAGATATACCTATTAATGAATTATTTTTTATTGTTTAAATACAACTGAATGTATTATTATCATAAATACAAGCATAATTTTATAGTATTTAACAAACATAAGGTGATACTAATTAGAAATCTGAACATTAATTTTTTAGATTATCTTAAATAAATTCTAAACATTTATTGAATTATTTGTCCCATTAACATGGTTTATTAGGAATAGATAAACAAGTTTATTTACTTATTCCAAGTGAATTACATTTTATTAAATGAAGATCTTAATTTTAACAAGAATAATTTGAATATATACTATTTACACTATGATTGATACAAACATTAATATTAACATTTGACATAATAGGATTATCAGTAGACCAATTTAAACATTTTTAATTCCAATAACAAAGTTAATTACTATTTGTGATATTTAAACATGCAAAAATATTCAAAGAATCTGAACATTTTAATAAATCAAAATTTGTAGCAGTTTAGCATGAATAAGACCAAAAACATGCTTAATTTTGCATTCTTGATTTAATACAATATTCTTTAGTTTATAAATTGATACAATGATTGTATAACAATGGTTATGGGTAATCTAAATTTGATATTGATAATAATTCTGAGACAGAAACATAATTATTAAAATTAGATGAATATTATTACAATGGTATACAAATTTCCAATTTAAAATTTAAATTACAAGGATCTATAGCATTAATTTAACAAGCATATTAATTAAGTTGTTATGGTAAATTGACACAATAAATCTTTGGTTATATTAATGAAAATGGTTAACATAGATTATTTATCCATTAACAAGATACTTAATTATTATTTAGACAAACAAATTTATTTAAAAAGAGATTACAATTAGATATTGTTTATTAATAACATGAGTTTAAATTCCATACACATCCTTTAATGGATTAGATACAAGCAAATTAATTATATGATTCAGAGCATTCTGTTGGAGTATTCTAAATAATTTCACATTGATTAATTAATTAATTATATTAACAAGATTAATTTAGAACAGCTTTACATGGAATAGCTTAATTTAAATGACTAGCTGATATACAATTAGTAATTTATTAAAATTAACAAATATTTAAGTTATTATTCCATTTACAATATTAATTTATATTTTTTATATTGAGACAAGCTTATTCATTAATAAGATCTTCACATTAAGATTAATATAGATTAGCATCATCACAATAACCTCCATTATTTAATAGTTTCCATATACATGGTTTAGTAGTTAATGTAAGACAAGCATTCTAATTCAATCCATAAAGAGTACATGAATTAATTTTATTAGAAATAATATTACATTAGGTTCCATCTATATGTTTAATACAATTAGAATTAATTTGACTACTACATAAACTAATAGATGTGCTGATAGATTAATTTATGATAGTGCAATCAAAATTAGTAATTGTTATAGTTTCACAAATCGATGTTTCAGAATTCCACACACATTGAACATTAGATAAAACTATTTATTAACAAACTCTTTGATTTAAATCTTAACATGAATTAATCATTTTGTTTTCTTATTTAAGTACTTATTAACAATTTTAATTTATCCATCTACAATGAATTTCTTTAGTAATTTAACTGAGGCAAGCATCTTTTGATAGATTTTGACAAGATTATTAATAATTAATAGTTTATAATAATATGCAATTTCCTTGGCGATATTAATAATAACCTGATTTATTAATACATCCATATTTATTAATTTATTCATCATTTCCAGATGTAGTACATATGTTATTATTATAATAACAAATCTATTTTATCTAATCACATTCTAATTTAGAAGATCCAAAACAAGAAATATCTATGTATTCATTCACTAATTTACATTTCTTATCATTAAAAGAATATTTACAATCAATATTATTGAAATGTATACAAGCAGCATAACTGGATTTATATTACAATAAATCATTACATTTATTTATATTCTCATTCTCAACATTCTTACATATCTAATCCCAATAACATTTTAAATTAATATTTAAATGTGATAAATCTTCTAAACATAAATCATAAGATAATAAATCACAAGTTAATTCAATTATACTTGATCCATTAAAACAGAAACCATAACCACTTTTTGTATATCCATATTAACAATTATCAAAATAATTACATGCATTTCTTGAATAATATCCTTTAAGTGAAGGACATATTAATAATTATGAGTTTAAATCATTACAAGATTATGAATATTAACATTTTAATTAACTGTTTTGAACAGTACAATTTGTAATATTATTAATACTTTAACAATTTTAATATTTCTGATATTCTCTAACTTATTAACATTAAGAATCTTTGTATATACAATTTGTATATTAATAACAAAACAGATAATTAGTTTTTTCAAATGAATCACAATTAAATGATGTATTTGCAATAGAAAAACATTTATTATCTTTAAATACACAATATTAATCATTAGAGTTATTAGCATTACATTCATAGATATAATCTTCACATTAGATTGATTTATAAAATTAGCATTAATTATTCAAATATTAACAATATTAAGTAGGTAAAGAATGACAACCATATTTATTCAAACCTGCAGTATCGCAAGAATATAAATTATAATTAGATTTCTCTATCTAAATACATTAAGTTTATCCGTTTAAAATAAATACATCACTTTGATCTGCAGAACAGAAATAATCACTTGAAATTTATTTAATACTACTCAATTATAATGATTTACAAATCCTAGATTTAATATCCCAAATACATTAAATAAATGCAGATGAATTACAAGCAAATTAATTAAGTAAATTACAGTTTCCCATAAATATTTAATATTCTGGTAGATATTAACAAATTTAATTAATAAATCCGCATCTACGATCTTTTGTTTATCTATTACATACCCTTTGAGATAAACCAACATCCTCACAATTAAATATAGCCTTACTAGAAGGAGTTATACAACCTTATATTGAATCATATATACACTCATTTAATGCTAAAGAACATATATTTGCATTAAATTAATTTATATCACTTACATAATAAATTAATTCATAACAATAAATTTCACTGCGTTCCCATCTCTTACATCCATAATCTAATTACTTATTACTCAAAATTGTAGAAGTATTATAACAATATTATCCTACTGTTTTCACTTTATAACAACTCTTTGAATTTGCCTATTCACAATTTATACTATTTAATATTATTTCTGTATCCATACTATCATCTTCCATCAATTAAATACATTTATAATCTACAAAAGCACACATTTAAACATGTTAACCATCTTAATCAATTCCTGTCATCCAACTACAGTAATGAATATTCATTATTAAATTCTCTCCACAATCAATTTAATATTCTAATCTTGATTCACATTTATTATTCTCATAAACACAAAAATAATCTGTTGTTAATTCATTTTTATTTTTATATATTAAACTTGAACATGTCTTACTATTACTTTCTTTAAAAATATAACAAGCTGGAAAATTATCTACATAATTTTTACACATATTTATAGAATTATTCCAAATACAAATTTATCCTTCTGTTACTATTTTTTGACAAGTCTTTTTATTTATAAAATATTCTTCACATTTTAATTATTTAAAGTAAATACTGTCATTTATATCCAATTTTATACATCTATTTATTTATTCATTAAAATATGTATAGCTATCTGTAACTGCCGAACATGCATATTTATTTAAATTATAATTATATTCTATATTATCATTCCAATTTATAGACATACATGAATGATTCAATTCATTGTATTTACATAATATCTAATTAATTTATTACATTCTACAAACTTATTAATTAATATCTATTAAAAAATCACATTTTAAATTGTTTATCATATTAATAGATAATTCTATACATAATCCATCTGAATAATTGCAAAATTATCCTTCTATATTTTTATTTAAACATAACTCTCTTGATAATCCATGACCTACACATCCATAATTATTTACTTCAACTCTCGTTTTTTCTATACATGAGTATGTAATTTAATCATAAACACAAACAAAATAATCTGATTATGATAGACCAAATTAACAAAATCGTTCATTTATATTTATTAATTCATTACAATTTTTGTTAATAATTTAAGATTATTCTATTTTAAAACAAATTTACTTCTCCTAATTCCATTAATAAAAACCTTTTAAATTTTACAGACAATGATATTTGTTTATTAAATTTAAATTATTTTTAAATTTAGATTAATCGAATAAACATATTCTATTATCTTCATCATATTCTGTAGCTATTAAAGTATTGTATTTACATAAATTCAAATTACATATTAAACTAATTTATTCTTCATCATTTTCATTACTGTTTCTATCTATAAATATTTCATGACCAATTAAAAGTGGTTAATCTAAGATATTAATACATTTCATCAATTCTTAAGACCAATAACACATCTAATCACTTAATGAAATAAAAGTGCAAACATATGCATTTTAAGTATCTTAACATTTCATATATGATATTTATTAATCTTATAATTCAAAACATCTATTATCTTCACTTATCCAATCACATTTAGCTCTTAATAAAAAACAATTTTATTTTGTTAAACTTATTTAATTGCATACATTTTTAGGTGCACAATTTATTTACTTTTGTGAACTCTTAATTCCTAAATAAATACAATTATTTTATAAACATTCCATCCTATCTGATATTGTAGTACATTAATCAACACACATATTTGTACTAAGTTCAATATAATGATTTTCTAATTTTTAACATTGATTTATTGTACAAAATACATTCATACAATTAGTTTCAAATCCTATTGATTCTTCTATGCATGGATATTCATTTTCTTCACTTGTAATTTAACAATTAAATTCCTTAGAATTGAAAAATATACATTAATTCTAATCTAATGAATGACAATTCAAGTTATACTACTTAATTAAATTTTAATTTGTTAATATATTTGTATCTAATATTACACATTTATTATCTAAGAATACATATTTTTCTATTTTTATTGGAATTTAATTTAAATATTTGCAGTAAATATGATTAACGCCTATTATTTCTTTTGAAAAACTTAAAATTGATAAAATATCTTAATCATTTTATATTTCTAATGCTATACAACCTTCTCTTAATCTACTTGATATTTATACTAATATAAATAATCAAAATTTTACAATTTGTTAAATTATATTAATTAGAAACCCCAAATTTATACCAAACAAATTTTCCGTTTTTCTGTAAATAATTATTTACCATTTTTGCAGTATTTGGATCATCATAATTTCTAGTATCAGTAAATTCAATATTGAAATCTCTTTATTATTGTTTATATGCTTCTAATTTTAAATCTGGAATATAAGAAATTAGATTCCATAATAAACTACTATGAATTACTAAATAATGTTCTATCAAAGAACAAGCAGATGCACTATACATTATCTCATCAAAGTTTTCTTAAATTAAACTTTATTATTCTTTCTTCTCTATAAAATAACACGATTAATTTTTCCAAATACAAATTTACTGTGTATTTTTAACAGATAAACAGCCATACTTTGATAAATTATTATAACATTTTTCGGTTAATTCATCAGGGATCTTCTCACAAGATTTTATGAATCGACCTAATTCAATCTTAACTCTTACATTTAGCAATTTATCCTGAAGGCACTCCTAATTATTTTTAACAGGCCATAACATTTAAAAAACCACTACATCCCTATAAATAATCATTTGTATAATGACAATTATTTCTAATTAAATCCCACATACATTAAATCTGCACACTACTTATACATTATTAATAAGAGATAAATTAATTACATAAATCTATACAATTACCTGTTAGGAAGATAACTATAATCAACAATGAGGATTTTAAAAAATCCATAATAAAATAAATATTTAAAAAAAACTTAATCTTTATTAATTTTATTTTATATATTATTATACCTTTTAATTTGATAATCAATTATTAGATATTATTAGTATAATGATAAATCAATTATTTTAGCTTCTGCTTTTTATGATTAATAATTTATTTATTTAAATATTATGAAATTGTGATTTAGATTTTTTGATAGATAATCAAAAATGTATGGAATGAATTATTTAATTTTGAAAATATTCAAAAAAGTAAATATAAGAACCATTTTATANAAATATCTTAATCATTTTATATTTCTAATGCTATACAACCTTCTCTTAATCTACTTGATATTTATACTAATATAAATAATCAAAATTTTACAATTTGTTAAATTATATTAATTAGAAACCCCAAATTTATACCAAACAAATTTTCCGTTTTTCTGTAAATAATTATTTACCATTTTTGCAGTATTTGGATCATCATAATTTCTAGTATCAGTAAATTCAATATTGAAATCTCTTTATTATTGTTTATATGCTTCTAATTTTAAATCTGGAATATAAGAAATTAGATTCCATAATAAACTACTATGAATTACTAAATAATGTTCTATCAAAGAACAAGCAGATGCACTATACATTATCTCATCAAAGTTTTCTTAAATTAAACTTTATTATTCTTTCTTCTCTATAAAATAACACGATTAATTTTTCCAAATACAAATTTACTGTGTATTTTTAACAGATAAACAGCCATACTTTGATAAATTATTATAACATTTTTCGGTTAATTCATCAGGGATCTTCTCACAAGATTTTATGAATCGACCTAATTCAATCTTAACTCTTACATTTAGCAATTTATCCTGAAGGCACTCCTAATTATTTTTAACAGGCCATAACATTTAAAAAACCACTACATCCCTATAAATAATCATTTGTATAATGACAATTATTTCTAATTAAATCCCACATACATTAAATCTGCACACTACTTATACATTATTAATAAGAGATAAATTAATTACATAAATCTATACAATTACCTGTTAGGAAGATAACTATAATCAACAATGAGGATTTTAAAAAATCCATAATAAAATAAATATTTAAAAAAAACTTAATCTTTATTAATTTTATTTTATATATTATTATACCTTTTAATTTGATAATCAATTATTAGATATTATTAGTATAATGATAAATCAATTATTTTAGCTTCTGCTTTTTATGATTAATAATTTATTTATTTAAATATTATGAAATTGTGATTTAGATTTTTTGATAGATAATCAAAAATGTATGGAATGAATTATTTAATTTTGAAAATATTCAAAAAAGTAAATATAAGAACCATTTTATAATATAATTATAAAAATTAATCAAAATATAAAATGAGGCTTTTCTCATGTAATATAATTATTGAATAACCTTTTGAAATGTAAATAAATATAATTTTAATAATGATTATTTATTATATCAATTGTTTAATTTGATAGCTGCTTTCTGGATGAATAATGTTTCCAAATTCTTTTTATCTTATTCTATGGTTGTATTTTTTAGAATGCAATTCTTAGCAGATATTAGATTATATCTTCCAAAGATTTTATAACATGAGACATAGTTTTGTTAATTATTATTTTAATTAGAATTTTAATAATGGATATTTTTTGGAAATTAAAGTTTATAGAGTTTAATAGATCCATCCGACATAGCAATTGCCATATCAATACAATTTGGAGAAATGGCTATTTTTGAAATAGGTTCAATTAAATCGTCTAATTAAGCTATTTATATAAACGATATCAGACTCCAAAATCTAATAGTATTATCTTTTGAACTAGATATAATGATTGAATCATCATGCAATATTTAAATACATTCAATAATATCTTCATGGCCTTCTAACTTTTTAAATTCACTAGCTTATAAAGGATCTACTTATATATTAAATAAAAGAATATCACAATTTACTACAACTGCTAATAGATTATTATTATATCCAAAAACTACTTAATTATAGCTTTGGTTTTCATTATCGTCTAAAATAATTAATTTTTCATTTGTCTTATAATTCCAAAGTTATAAATTTATTCCACTAAATGCAATAACACTAAAATTAGACATAATTGAAAAATTTATATTTTAAGAATAAGGTATATATGTTGCTTTATCTGAACATATTTTTAGATCAATTTCTTCTACAATAAAATTTTATTTTTTAGAACAACCATTATTTTAATTTTAATTATTAAATTTCTGAATTGGAGGTATCAAACTATAACAAAATGTATCATTTGTAAATTTAAATCCATTTATATCTTAATAAAAGGAAAAAACACTTTTTAAATATATTTTCTATAAATTACTGATATTCCAAAGATTGAAAATACCAATATCACAAATAGAAGATAACCATTTTTCATCTTTTGAGATCATCAAATTTATAATTCTCTTGAAATGATTTAAAGTTGTTATTTGTGTAATTAAATCAAGATCTTTAGAATCAAAATCTTAAAAATCCCAAAATATCATTTAATCTACTTCAGTTGAAATAAATGTCTTTTACTTAGGAAAAAACACTACTACATCATTAAATTTGTGATAAATTATACTTTCCTCAAAATATGATTTTGTTGGAGGCTTATTCAACACTCTGTATTTCAAAGTTTTTAAATTCCAAAGAATTATAAAAGATAATTATTCATATTCTTATTTTTTAATCTAATTAGATAATTGATGAATTTTCCATTTAGATACACAACTTCCGCATAATTAAAAATCAGAAGAAAAGCTGCAATTTTAAAATTAAAAATTTTTACCATCATCAAAATAAAAAAAATTTGAATAATCCTAATGAGTTAGACAAGATTTAAGTTTTCCTATTGAATTTGAAAAATTTAAATTATAAATTTTATTATTTCCTAAACAATAAATTTATGATTCTTTTCTTAACATAATTTTTGAAATTTTCAAATTATTGATATCTATTATTTTGAGTTATATTAATTGAATTTAATTGTTAACTATAAAAAATTGGAAACATATAATTTCTTCTTCATTACCTGCATAAAGTACTGAATTCTGTTTATTCATTTCTAAATAATTAAATGGTTTTTCAGATTTTAAATTATTGAAAATTTCTTTACCATCTCTAGAATAACTCTCATAATCTTCCAATTATATTGCAATTAATTTTGCATTCATAGTACCATAAAGTAAATAATGATCATCATCATCATAATAGACAATTGTACAATATTTAATATTCTTTTATTAATATGAATCGAATTACCAAGTAAAAATTCTCAATATACAATCATTTTAATCATTCTAAGTAATCAAACCAAGTTTTTCCCAACTATTTCCCATAAATATTTATAAAATTTCTCCTTTTTCTGTAGTTTATAACTATATTGATTATTTTTAAATAATTTATTCTTCTAAACTATTTATTACAAGAGTATAATTTTTATCAAATGATGCAATACCTACATTTCTTATAAGTTTTTCCTCTTAGTTATTTTATTAATTTTAATTACTGTTTTCAACCATTTCAGTTTTTACTTCGAAAAAGAATTTTATCATGATTATCTAATTTTGATGACATTTTAAAACATTTTTTAATACATATTATTCTGTATCATAAATTATAATTTCATTAAGTTCATTAACTACTCCCAAAAGCAAATCATCATCAGAAAATTATAATTAATTTAATTAGCTATTTTAATCAATGTTTTGTAGTTACTTATCTTATTTGATATCTATCACTCTTAAAGTAAATCTTTTTTAATTATTATTAATTCCAATTATTAATTGCTTAAGATTATTAGAAATAGTGAAACATTAAATATACAAAATTTCTTATTCTAATTTTATTTCAGAAATTTCAAATTTCTAATAATCTTTAATCAAATGATCAATATTCCATAAAAAGATTTTATTTTATGAATGCATGCAATAGTATTTATCATCATTTGTAAAAAATTAGAAAAATAATTCTGGTTCAATATCCATTTATAATTTACATATTAATTAATCATCCTCTAAATTTCTAAAAATAATATAATCTTTATCAAAGGAAGACAATATCTTACAATTATTTGAAAAAGCAAAATTTATAATCTTATTTTCATGATATTATTTTAATTATTCAACTTTTTGATATTTTCCATTATTTTAATCATGACCTAGAGTTAATTCATTTTATTAGTCTAAAGAACAGATATATTTACCATCAACTGATATTTAGTATTGCTATATTTAAATTTAAGCATATTAATAAAATTTTTTTTCTGGTTATTTTTATTTTGTATCCCATATTTCAACGATTGAAAATTATTCTTTTCTTTCATCTTCTTCATAATCATTTATTGATAAAGTTATTAATATATCTTCATTTGATAAAAATTAAATTTATTTGAGTTTTGCTTTTAGAAAAAAATTTTCAGAATAGCATGTATTTGGATATATTTCAAAATTAGACTTATACATAGTTTAAGATTATTAAATTTACCATAGTTAAACAACATAAACTTATGTTATAAAAATTTTTTCTTAATTTTTTTAAGAAATAGAGAAAGATGATGGATTGCGATCAAATTCTTTAGAAGATAGGAACATTTTTTTTTGCATATCCCATGTCTTAAAAGTTTAATCTTAGCTTGCAGAATATAAAATTAAACTATCTGCTGAAAATTATAGATGATTTATTATTTCTTTATGTCCTTCTGAAGTAATCCTATTAAAATCTACTTATAAATTCCATAATCTTATTAATTTATCATTACTACCAGATGCTAATGTTGAATTATCTGAGGATATTTAGGCTACATTAATGTTATCTGAATGCCCTTGAAATTTAGCTATGACTTTTCTTGCTTTAAAATCCCAAATATAAATTATTTTATTACTTCCACATCCTATTAAGAATTTTGTATCTGAAGAAAAAGATAAATTATAAAAAGTAATTTCTTCATCTAATTAGTTAAATGATTATATTAACAATTCTTCACTATTTGAATCTTACTCACAAACATATATTGAATTTTAGTCAGAAAATACACAATATTTTTGATTATTTGAAACTGCAAATATTGTTTCCTCTGATTATAATTGATGAATAAATACATTTTAATTATTAGAAAAAGTTTTCACATCAATAAAAGAATTCGAATTATAAGCTATTTTCTAATTATTAAAAAAGATAATTGCATTTGTAATATTATTGTAACTTATATATTATTATCTGATCAATTTTCTATTAATCATATCTGACAATTTAATTTATTTCTCATTTATTATTGAAGCCAAATATTTAGGTGATGCTTTATGTAAATTATTCCCATATTTGAAAGACTCAAATTCTAATATAAATTAAGCTTTAAATATATCTTCTATATTATAGAGATGAATATTATTTTAACTTGCTAAAATTAAATTCTTATTATTGTTAGAAAATAGTAAGCAAATTGATGGAAACTATTTTTTGTTAAAACGATATTTTTTCTGTAGATTTTTATCATTGATATTTTAAATTATCATTTCATCATTCCTTATTAAAATTAAATTACAATTATCAGGACAAAACTCTATTACATCAATTTAATGAAATTCCTCAATAATAACATTTGATTCAAAATCTAATAATATGCAATTGCTATTGTTCCCATATAAGATATATCTTTAATCATTTGATATTTTTATTCTATCAATATATTCATGTTATTAATTGATGAATTTAAATTTGCTATTTAATTAGATATTGTATATAATCATTGATTTTTTAGAATAGTTATAAGTTGCCATATATTTTCCTATTTATTAAATAACGTAGTTGTTATCAATTTAATAAATATCAATCAAACTTACTTGATCTTCATGAGCCAATTTCCAAACCTTCAATTATTTTTGTTATATTGTATATATGTATTGATCATCAAAAAAAGTTGAAGCAAATTCTAGACTCTCAAAATTTTATCTTATTTCAATCCTACTATCTGATTTTATATCCAATAAATATAATACAGAGGTTAAAGCTATCAAAAGTCTTGATTAATTTTAACAATATTTGACTGATTTAATTTTATCTGAAAATATAAATTTAAATTCAATCTCATAATTAAATTGAATATTCCATATAACAACTTATTAATCTATCCCACCAACAATATGTTTAGAATCATCAGAAAAATCACATTTTGTATTTAATCCTTCTGATTATTCTAAAAGGCCTAAATATTCAAAATCACTAAATTCAAGAATATTCATACAATAATTCCAGGGTTAAATTATAATTCCTTAGGTTTTATGCAAAAAAAAAATATGATGTATATCTAATTATTAAGGATGTGAATGAGCTATTAACTTAATTTAAGGAAAATTAGTTAAATCCCATAATTTAATTTTATTTTCAGCACTAATAAAATAATTTCCATCATGTGAGAAAACTAAAAAAGTTATTTATTTATCTATTGATATTTTATGTAATAATTATCTAGTTTCAAAATCCCAAAATTTAATATACAATTCTTTAAAGTTGGATGATGTAGCAAATAAATTTAATATAGGTGAAGAAGCAATAGCTTATATTGATGAATCATCATCTTTAAACATAAGGACGAGGTTATCAGAGGAGAATGTCCAAATTTTTATTTCATTATTGTTATAAAATACTAATTTTTAATTATCAAAAGAGAAACAGATATCTGAATTAATATCTATAGATTCTTATAATTTATACCATTTTTATTAGCCAAATTCCCATATATATATAAATTTATTTCCTTCTATTACAAAAGCCAAATATTTATCATTAAAAGAAAATGCCAGATTACAAATTTTATCATCTAATTTACTTTCAATTTATTAATTAAAGATTACTCCTGAATAAGCCCATATTCGAATTTTATAATCCTTACTAAAACTTGCAAATAAAGGAGAATATTGTGAAAATTAACCTATAAGAAATTGATTCTCATGGTTTTCAAATTAAATAGGTTCTTCATTTTTAATATTCAGAATAATACTATATGATAGAATAAATTAATCATCAAATGAAACAGATTAACATGTACTATTTTCTAAGCTTATATCTAAATTTTTAGATTTAATTGGATTTAACTTTTTTATTGCTATTTATTCTTTTTCATCATAATAAGGTAAAGTTATCAAATCAGAATTATAGGATACAGAAAATTTATAACTTTCAAAATTACAATCATAAATAATAGTAATTAATTCACATTTCTCTATTGACCAAAGTTTTAAAATACGAGGATAATGTCCACTTAATAATTTTTATCCTTTACAAATAAATATTAAACTTAATATTATTGAATCATTATGTTCTATATAGTTTATTATTATTTATGTCTATAAATCCCATAATAATAATTATTCATTAATTACCGAAGCAACTAAATTATTATCTGGAGAAAAAGCAATACAAGTGCAATTATTTATTTAATAATATTCTTCTTAATTGCAGATATCATTAGTATTTTACATTAATAAATCAAAATGACTACAATATATTATTGCTTTATCATCAGGAGTTAATAATATATTTTAAATATCATATTTAGTGGAATTTAAAATTAATTCAGGTTAATGAATATTTTAAATGTTCCAAATAGCTAAATTTTACTGATCAGAAATACAATAGAGAAATGAAGATGATTTATTTATTGCTAATTAGTTAATCGGAAATAATACATTTATAACAGCTATTTTATTTTATTATTCTACATTCCAAAGTATAATTTGTTAATTTTCAGTACCTGATGCCAACATATTACCATTTGAAAAAAATTCTATAAACTTAATTTTTGTAGAGCATTATAGAATAAACCCATCTTTTTGGTTAGAATACATTTTAATCAAATTAATATCCCAACATTAAAGTATACCATTTGAATCAATAACCATTAATTAATTTTCATTTTAATATATTTGTAATTATATTATACTAATATTTTTATGAATAATATGTTCTGATTTCCTAATATTATTTATATCATTTATTAACCAAGATTCAATTATATTTGTATCCTCAGCTATAAATAACATTGAATCATCAGCTAATAAGGCTATTAATTTAGGTACACCAGAAATATCATTAATTTCTTTTACTTTATCATATGTATTAACATCCCAAAATATAACAATTTTTTCAGAATCTCCAGTTATTATATATTTATTATTATTCAAATATTAAATTATAGTAATGTTACCTTTGTGCCCTTTTAAAGTCGGTTTTTCTGAACATATTACATTCATCCATTTTGCATTTTCCAAATCAGCTTCATCAAATAAACAAGAATCAATAAAAACATCTTTAAGAATTGAATTCTTAAAATTACTTTTATAAAAAGATAATCCTCTAAGAGTTGTTTTTTCTATTTCTATTTCTGAAAAATCTTGCTCTCCTAAATAAATTTATAAATGACTTAATAAACAAAAACTATTTGATGAAGCATTTTTAAATGACTTATTGTTTCCTAATTTAGCCATAGAAATTAATTTATTATTTATATCATTATCAATTTTTAGTTTTTGTTTTAAGATACTTAAAGTTCCAGCATAATTTTCTTAAGAGATATTAAATTAATTCTCATTAAAAATGGATTTCTAAAAATAAATCTTACTTTCATCACTCAAATTATTATTTCTTAATTCAAGTTTTTCAATTAAATTGTTTATGTGTTTAGCTACATAAAATTCTTATAAAGATTTATGATTAAATGAATAGCTATTGCCTTTCAAAGTAATCAATGCAGAACTTCGAACTAATTTTACATAATCATCTTCTAAATTATCAAAATATTACATTTTCCAATTATCTTCATCATTTTTATCAAAATAATGATTTTTTAATTTCAATCTACCTTTTTATTAATAATTAACTTATGTTAATTATTTCATTGTCATTTCCAAAGCTAAAGATTCTGAAAACTAAATAATATCTATTGTAAAACTATCAATATTCTCAACTTTTCCTAATTATCTTAGCTTCTAAATCTATTAATCATGATAAAATTCTATAAAATTCTAATAAAACTCATAAACTGTAAATATCTACATCTATAATGCTGGTATAATAAATTTCAAATCATCATTCTGTTTTAAATTTTTTATTTAGTTTTCAGCTATTTTTATATCTGTAATTGAATAACTCTCAAAAAATCGCTAATCCTCTAATTGTTCAAGAATTAGTTAGAGACTTTTCAAATTTTATTGATTCTCTTCTTCAATTTCTAATTATTCTTTTTAAATTTGTTATTATGTTATTTAAATCTCTTCTTTTATTTTGTTTTTAAAAGAATATTTTTTCAATTGCTTTTTTGAAAGATTATCTTATTTTTTTAATAATAGGAAGTTTTTCTAAAAAATTTCTTTAATATCATTAGAACCTTTATATTTTTTAGAAAGACTTGGAAGTGTCTGTACCACTATCTCTAGCATAAATGGTGTTTGTAAAAAATGTTAAATTTTTAAATTTTAAATAGTTTATTTATATAAATTAACACTCCATAAAGCTTTAAGTTCTTTTTTTAAAATAATTAATTAATCTTCTTATACAAATTGAAATGCTGAACATTTTTTTAATAGCTATAAAATATTTTCTATTTCACTATCATAAAGTAATTAACTACTATCATCATCTACATCTTTGCCTTTATTTAAAATCTAATCGTTTATTTTCTTCCAAATTTCTAGAAATTCTAAAACTTCAAATTACTCTTATTTTATTTATTTAACTAAATCATATAAATATTTAATTCGTCTTTTAATACTCAATTTAACATAGTTGTAAAGATAACTTTCACTTTAATCTTAATTGAAATTCAGAATTTCTACCTCTTTAAAAGAATGTATACTTTCTCCCAAAAACCATGTTTAATATCCTAAACTAGTCAAAATTTCTAATCTTGAAGTTATTACAAATTTAACATATCTTATTTCATTTTTTGAACTTAGAGCAAAATCTTATATAAATCTATTGGTTGATATTAAATTAGATTAAATGCAATCTTATTTCATCTCATCATAGCTATCGAGAATCATTACTATTCTAATTTTTTAATTTTATATAGCTTCTTTAAAATCTTTCAACTAGAATTTATCAAATCCATAATTTTCAGATTCAAGTGCTTAATCTAGTAAATTAAATTTTGGATTTTTTAATTAAGGTAAGGATATATATAATGGAATCCAATCTTTTTCATCCTTATTTTATTCCCATAAATATTATTCAATTTTTCTAGCAGCTCTGCTTTTACCAGATCCTGCTTAACCTTTTATTAACATAACATCTTTATTTCCTTCTTCATAGATAAATTAATTAACTTCTCCTTCTGTTTTTTCCTCATCTTAAATGTTTTATTTTATTCCATCTACAAGTAAATTAGAAAATGAAGAACCTGAATTGGTTTCTTAATTTTATCCTGTAATTGGATTGATTTCTTTTGTTTTCAAAGGAATGTATATTGAATCAAGATCAAAAAGATAAGATTATTTTAGGACTTTTTCTTTTCTAATTTTAAATAATTCTAAATACGTCTTTCCTCTCAGCTTTCTCACATCATTACCAATGCTATTTATTGATTCTTAAAGATCATCTATTTTTTGTTTTATTAAATTAAGATTTTTATACATTTCTTTAAGAAAAATCAAAGTTATATCTAATTACTAAGACATATCTGATATATTATTTAAATACTCATCAAATTCCTCATATTTTATTGTTAATTGTTTCTCTAACATTTCCTTATTAGATTAATTACCCTCAAAACGAATTTATTACTCAATAGCTTTCATATCTTTTAATTTTTAATTCATTTCCTCTTTAATACTTGTAGAAAATGATTTAAGATCATGAGAAAATAATATTTTTTACATTTCCACCATTTCTTTATTTTTAAGTAAAGCTCTTACACTTTAATCTTTTTCTATTATCCATATTTATTTTATTTATTCTTAACAAATTTATTTTAATTCTTTTTCATGAACTTAAGATTAAATTTTGATTAAATTAAATAATAAGCATTCTCTAACAATATAATCCTTACTCAAATCATAAAATTTTCTGTTTACAATTAAATCTTATCCTAAGCTATCTAATATTTCTTAATAATCTTTTTCAGTCTCTAAATTTTAGTCAGGAGATACATAATCGTAACAAAATATAGTAGCAAAATCATTTGGCTAGAATATTTTTTTCAATTTTAATTCAAAAATTTAAGTTTTACTTTTATTTTAAATATCCATTATAAATTCCTCAAAAATTTTATGTAACTCTTATTAAATTATTAGTTCCTGAATTATTTCATTAAAATTATCTAAAATTTTATTAAAAGTTTGTTCTTTTTAATATATTAAACCTAAAAAATTTGAATCAACAAATTGAGATACCACTTCTAATTTTTTTAACAAATTTGATATTTTTTCTATTTATTAATTCCATTCTTTTATTTATTATAACAGCAATTTTTAAAATTCCTTGAGATCTTCATCATAGAAATTTTATTTTTCCTACGAAAGCTCTTTTTGATCAAATTAATTCTATTTTCCTTTTTTAAATTAATTGTAACATTCCACTATCTCTNATATTGAATCAAGATCAAAAAGATAAGATTATTTTAGGACTTTTTCTTTTCTAATTTTAAATAATTCTAAATACGTCTTTCCTCTCAGCTTTCTCACATCATTACCAATGCTATTTATTGATTCTTAAAGATCATCTATTTTTTGTTTTATTAAATTAAGATTTTTATACATTTCTTTAAGAAAAATCAAAGTTATATCTAATTACTAAGACATATCTGATATATTATTTAAATACTCATCAAATTCCTCATATTTTATTGTTAATTGTTTCTCTAACATTTCCTTATTAGATTAATTACCCTCAAAACGAATTTATTACTCAATAGCTTTCATATCTTTTAATTTTTAATTCATTTCCTCTTTAATACTTGTAGAAAATGATTTAAGATCATGAGAAAATAATATTTTTTACATTTCCACCATTTCTTTATTTTTAAGTAAAGCTCTTACACTTTAATCTTTTTCTATTATCCATATTTATTTTATTTATTCTTAACAAATTTATTTTAATTCTTTTTCATGAACTTAAGATTAAATTTTGATTAAATTAAATAATAAGCATTCTCTAACAATATAATCCTTACTCAAATCATAAAATTTTCTGTTTACAATTAAATCTTATCCTAAGCTATCTAATATTTCTTAATAATCTTTTTCAGTCTCTAAATTTTAGTCAGGAGATACATAATCGTAACAAAATATAGTAGCAAAATCATTTGGCTAGAATATTTTTTTCAATTTTAATTCAAAAATTTAAGTTTTACTTTTATTTTAAATATCCATTATAAATTCCTCAAAAATTTTATGTAACTCTTATTAAATTATTAGTTCCTGAATTATTTCATTAAAATTATCTAAAATTTTATTAAAAGTTTGTTCTTTTTAATATATTAAACCTAAAAAATTTGAATCAACAAATTGAGATACCACTTCTAATTTTTTTAACAAATTTGATATTTTTTCTATTTATTAATTCCATTCTTTTATTTATTATAACAGCAATTTTTAAAATTCCTTGAGATCTTCATCATAGAAATTTTATTTTTCCTACGAAAGCTCTTTTTGATCAAATTAATTCTATTTTCCTTTTTTAAATTAATTGTAACATTCCACTATCTCTTGTTTTAATTAATTAATATCATTTTGAGAGGACAATTTAAATTTATAAAGAAAATTATAAAGTTAAATTTAAAAAAGTAATGCTAAATTTACTTATTCATTCTATTTTTGACTAAATCTTTTTATAATTTAATCTCTTGTTGTTATAGCAATATGGAAAAGTTTTTCAATAACTGTTTTATCTTTAGAATAATCTTCTAATAATTTAAGAATTTCAATTTATTATTGTTCAATTAAATTTTTTAAATTTAATGATGAACTATTGGTTTATAAATCAATCTGTGTGCTACTATTTTAAGTTTCATTTATTTTTAATTTCAAATTGAACTCTAATCTAGAAAAAATATAAACTTTATGAATAAGTTAAGCTTTGTATATTCGAATTATTTTGATATTGTTTTAAATCTTCTCATCAAAAATTTATAAATCTTCCAATGTATTCAACTATTTCTTCAAATTTGTTGAAAATATTATTATATCTTCAAGATTTATAAATTATATTGTATCTAAATGAATAAGTTGTAAAATAAAATCAATTATTTTTTGATCAATTTCTATTTCATTTTGTTCCATTACAAATTTACTATTTATTTTCCAAAAGTTTTATAGTTTTAATTGCTAAACATTTAGCTTTTCTATAAACTTTTCTAAAATGATTGAAGCCTTGTGTAAAAATGAAGTTTTTTAATCATCCTGAATTTATATTTTAATTTATTCAAGTTAATTTTTATTAGAAGAGGATGAATTTTAAATTATTCTCTCAAATCTAATCATTTAGCAAAATGTTTCAATAAAATGTGCAGGAATATTTTTTAGGTAGCTAATCCAATCCTATTAAATGCTGTCTATTTCTCTTGCATTTTCTTATATCATATCTTTTTATTTATTTTTATCTTTAATCAATAATTTAAATAAATAATCTTGACAAATATCTATTCTCTTTTTTTCAATTTTGATAATAAAATCTATTTCAAATAGCAAATACGAAAATTTTACTAGAGTTTGATTTAACTCTTATTTTGATTCTTTGAATTTATCAATATTTAATTGATATTCCAAAAAATTTTAATTTTCGTACTCTATCAGTAAAATAAATGAATTTGTAAAACCTAACTATTATTCTTTTATTGCTTCCAAGAAGCCTTTTAAAAGCGGATTTATAAGTTAAAGTTTTTTCATTTATTCATCAACTTCCAATATTTAATTTTGCTAACCTGTATTTTCCTGTGACGAATTTTATTTTCCAAATTTAAAATCATTATAAAATTAAAAAAAATTTTGTTTATTGCAAAATTTTTGACTTAAAAGTACTTATTGTAATAATATTAATTTTGAAAATCCAAAATTATTTAAAATTTATACTGATTCTTAATCAATTTATTAAGATGAAATATTATTATTCACTAATGCAAGTGATTTATCATAGGATAAAACTTAAATAAAATTTTATGTTATCAATTGGTTCCATAATTATTTTTGTTTAATAATATCTATTCCTTTAAAAGATTCAGTTTTTGATATGATTAATCTATGTGAAATCAAATCAGAAAAAGAATTTATCCAACAAAAATGCACAATCCAATTATCTGAGTTTTTTACATACTATTCATACCCAATCTAAAGACTTGCTATTAAATCATTTATAGGCTTTTTGCATTAAATGTTTTTAATTATGCTCCCTTTCAACAGAAAGAAGAAATAATAAATCTGATAAGTTTATATAGGGAACTACAATTCATTGTATTTTTCATTTAAAAAATATTTCGCAAAATCAAACAAGGCATTCGTAAAATCTTCACTAATTGAGAGTGATAATAATGAAGATATACCAGTTGTTGCAATCTTAATTAATTTTTCTTGTTGTTCTTTTGAATCTGTTCTACTATTCATTAAGGCTATTTTTATCATTGTTAGTTAGAAATTTAACCCATTTGTCCAAAAATTTTTATGCACTTCTAGATCTTATTTAATTTAATCCACTATTTCCAACAATTCACTATGTAATCCAACAGATATAAAACGATTATCATTATTTAACAAATAGGTATAAATGATCAATAATAAATCATTACAAACCTCTAAAACAAAATAACAAATGCATCCTGATCCCTTTAAATAAACTTATACGACAGATAGAAGTTATTTAAAACTATTTTGAGCTGAATCAAAAAGTTTCACAATCAAATTGTCATTCTTACAAATTTCACAAATCCAATGACGATTATGTTGAAACCATTATAATGACATCATTATTTCATTTCTTGAAAAATTATCTAAAAGCTACTCACTCTTTTCTAAGAGGACATTACAATTTTATTTCATTTTCTAATAATAGTTTCTAGGAAGTAGTAAAATTGCTTCGCTTATTTGATTTTTTGTTTTTGATACTCCACATCCTCCTCCTCGAAGGTTGGAAGCAATAGTATTTAAGCTCTTTTAACTTTGATTTAAATTTGTTGCCAAGATTTTCTTTCTTCCAAAATATTTTCCTTTTTTTGTTAATGAATTGAAGAATATCATATAATATATGATTTTTAATATTACTTCTAATAAATGATCAATTTTTCGCTGAAGAAAAAGAAAAATATTAATAAATAAGATTTGATTTTCTAAAAATAATAAACTAAATAAATAATTTAAATTATTATAAAAATTGTTAATTATGATAAAATTTTCAAATAGTGTGTCTATCCTTCAACTAATACCATTCTTATAAATGTTAGATAATAAAAATATTGTAAATTTTTGTTTATTTCCAGGTATTAAAATTTTATAACATCAACTTAAAAAAATAAAAAATAGTTTTAAATAGTTTTCATTATTTTAAAGAGCAAGGAAAATTTAAAAAAAGAAATTCAATAATTAAAAAATATCATTAACTTAATTTTTCTTATAAAAAGGCGCCAATATTGATATTTTTTTATTTAACTAATATGTTGATATATGCTTAATTAATGGGGCTGGTAATTTTTGGGGTTGGTTGTCAATGGTTGGTTTCATTCATAAATATGCTTTCCATGATCTAATTAATAAACATCATTAATTAATTACAATGAGCCAAATTTTGTTTAGAGAATTGATTTTTCAATCTCAGGAGTTAATTAAATTATCTCTTTTATTGTTGCTTTATTTCAATTATTAAAATTTTCAATTTAATGATTTTTTATTTGCTTTAAAATTTTTTGAATTGCCTATTGTTTTGCAAATCTTTCCTTATTTATTAAAATAATATCATTCACTCATAATCTTCAAGATATTTATTAATGTTGATAGTATTTTCAAAATTAATTTTTTGAAACCTTTTATAAAAATTTAGCTAATTAAAAACTTTTTTTTATCTTAAAATTATGTAATTGAAAGTAGTATAATCTACAAAATATAATTCTTTTAAAACCTAATAAATATTATAGATTGTTGATTAATTAATAGAATTTTAAAATCATTTTTCATCATTTTCTTTTAATTTTTAAACTTACTCCATTTTATTTTATAAAATCATGATTCAACTAATTTAGAATATTCAACTTTATTTTAATTTAATTTAATTTAATAGATTCTGGCGTATTCTTTTAGAACAAACAGTTTTTGTTCCAAAACAATTAAATGTGATAAAATCCTTACAAGTTTAAGGACCTTCAACTTTTTTAATATATTAATTATTTTTTCCAAATACATTATTTCATAATGAAATCATAGAGAATTTAAACTTTACAATTTTATTTCATAAAAATAATTTCCAATTTCATCGAATAATATTCCTCTAAAAACAGTTTTAGAATCATCATTTCTAATTTGAGTGAAGATTTCTGATTAGTTTTGTTTTAAAATGGCAAAATAATATATTTGGATTTAACATTTCTAAAAACGATAAAAATAGTGTTTTCACATTTGGCCATCAGAAATACAAACATCAACACACATTTAGTAAACTTTAAATAAAAATAGAAAATAAATATTCGTTATTTTTATATTCAAAAAGATTTATTTTAACTCTATGCATAATTTTATTTAAACCCTTATTCTACTTGATTAGATTGATTTTATAATTTCATTATAATATTTAAATCTAATGGAAGTAAAGGGAAATTTCTTTTTTTGGTTTCTTTTTACATTCTCAAAAGAAATTAATATTTTACAAATTCAGCTAAATATACTTAAAGCCTATAGTCTAATAACATTAGAAATATTCTTTCCATTTCATTAATATCTTTGGTTCTTTATTGTGGAAATACTTTTGAAAAATTGTCATTTTCAAATGATTCGTCATACCAAATTTCGGAAGCTTTAATCTATTTGGATATTAATTTTGATTATTTGATTATTAATTTTTTCTTCTTCTGAACAAATATCATAATCTTAATCATTTTATGAATATTCATCATTTTCTTCATTACTATATTAGTTTTGGTGAATTTANTTTATTAATGTTGATAGTATTTTCAAAATTAATTTTTTGAAACCTTTTATAAAAATTTAGCTAATTAAAAACTTTTTTTTATCTTAAAATTATGTAATTGAAAGTAGTATAATCTACAAAATATAATTCTTTTAAAACCTAATAAATATTATAGATTGTTGATTAATTAATAGAATTTTAAAATCATTTTTCATCATTTTCTTTTAATTTTTAAACTTACTCCATTTTATTTTATAAAATCATGATTCAACTAATTTAGAATATTCAACTTTATTTTAATTTAATTTAATTTAATAGATTCTGGCGTATTCTTTTAGAACAAACAGTTTTTGTTCCAAAACAATTAAATGTGATAAAATCCTTACAAGTTTAAGGACCTTCAACTTTTTTAATATATTAATTATTTTTTCCAAATACATTATTTCATAATGAAATCATAGAGAATTTAAACTTTACAATTTTATTTCATAAAAATAATTTCCAATTTCATCGAATAATATTCCTCTAAAAACAGTTTTAGAATCATCATTTCTAATTTGAGTGAAGATTTCTGATTAGTTTTGTTTTAAAATGGCAAAATAATATATTTGGATTTAACATTTCTAAAAACGATAAAAATAGTGTTTTCACATTTGGCCATCAGAAATACAAACATCAACACACATTTAGTAAACTTTAAATAAAAATAGAAAATAAATATTCGTTATTTTTATATTCAAAAAGATTTATTTTAACTCTATGCATAATTTTATTTAAACCCTTATTCTACTTGATTAGATTGATTTTATAATTTCATTATAATATTTAAATCTAATGGAAGTAAAGGGAAATTTCTTTTTTTGGTTTCTTTTTACATTCTCAAAAGAAATTAATATTTTACAAATTCAGCTAAATATACTTAAAGCCTATAGTCTAATAACATTAGAAATATTCTTTCCATTTCATTAATATCTTTGGTTCTTTATTGTGGAAATACTTTTGAAAAATTGTCATTTTCAAATGATTCGTCATACCAAATTTCGGAAGCTTTAATCTATTTGGATATTAATTTTGATTATTTGATTATTAATTTTTTCTTCTTCTGAACAAATATCATAATCTTAATCATTTTATGAATATTCATCATTTTCTTCATTACTATATTAGTTTTGGTGAATTTAGATTTCTTTCAAGATATCTTAGATTTCTTATCTTAAAAGATCAAAATCATTTTCATCTTTGCTCAAGGCTTTTCATTAATTTATGCCCTAATTTAGTAATTTGTTATGATTAGAACAATCCTATATATTATAGTTATTGTTATTCAATATATAGATGTAATTAAGAAGGTTCTTCTATAGAATTTTATGAAGTATTATGATAATTCATACCTATTCCACGAAATTTGAAATTCACAAAGAAAGGTATAGTAGAATTTTTCATTACAGATTAAATTATTCCTTTTGTTAAATTAAATATGTTTTAAGATTGCCCATGCCAAACAATTGCTCATTTCTTCAATATCCAAATTAACAAGTGTTGAGGTCAATTTTTCAATATCATCTGATAAATTCATATGTTTAATTTAAGACATCTACCAATCTGTTAATTTTTCATCTTCTTTTTTAATTTTTTTTCTAAATTTTGAATCAACCTTTATAATAATAGTGTTGTAATACTTATTTTCTTTAATTTCAGTCATAATTTTATCATCATGAAATTTACTAACTAAAATAATATCATCTTTGGCTTTAATTTTTGTATGTGCTCTACTACTGTCAGATAATAATGAAAGTGTTGAAGTTTAAATAAAATTATTAGTTTTTTTAAGATTGATTTACCATATTAATTATGAGTCACCTTTATATTTTTCCATAATTTAATTTAATGTGTAATTAAATTCATCTTCAGAATCACTCTCATCTTAAAAAAAATCAAAACCTATGTTGGTAATTATCATTTGCTTTAATTGATTAACTTTTACTTGTTATTGTTTTTATAACTATTGTAGAGCTATTATTCTTTAATTTTGACTAGTTTTTTGTTTTTACTGAGTTATGAGTTTAGCGTTTTTTTTTGTAGAACTAGTGTTTCGAAATTTAGATTAATTGAGAGGAGTTTGCAAAATAGTTTTAATCATTTTTTTAGTGGATGACATTATCTGAGAGCATCGCAAATTTAATTAAATCATATCCATATCCTCTTATATTAATTATTGGGCATATTACTATAAATTATAAATTTTCAACAATTTGTATAGAGGTATAGATTCTTTATCTTCTTTTTCTTTATTGGTGAATCCTGAAATAGATGAATTCATTAAGTTTATTGATTCATTAATTTTAGTTGATTTCTTCTTATTTGACAAAAGTACTTAAGCTTTAACATGTTGAATTCGTTTTTCTTATAAATTCTAACTTTATTATTTGTTCCACTTGTTCATTTAATAATTTAGATTTTATACATTCAAATTATTTGTGAAATGATATATAGTATGAAATTGAAGAAGTATGTTTAGATAAATAAATTAAGAGGTTGAATACATATTGAGTATAAATTTGATTGAAATTATATAATAATATTATAATAATAAATGGATTAAGAGTATGACCTATAACTACAGGTAACTCGGAGTAAAATAAATCAGAAAAGTTCTATACCCAGATTTGCTTTTTACAATAATCTAAACGATTTTGATGAATCTTTAAAACATTTATCATTACAATAGACTAGAATTACTTAATTGCCAGTTGGAATATAAACTAAGTAAATTGATATCTTTGAATATAAATGACAACTATATAAAATAATTGGATTATAATATATTAGATGGATTGAAGAATTTAGAAATATTATTAATAAGAAATAATCTATTACAGAAATTCTAATTTGGAAGATTTAAGAATGTATAATAATTGGATGTATCTTAAAATCACATTAAAAAGATATCTGGTGAGATTGGAGAATTGCTATAACTTGATTAATTGTTTATTTCACATAATAGTTTTGTAGAAATACCAAAAAGCATAACAAGACTAAAATGTATAAAAAAGTAATAAAAATAGATACTTTGAATGTATTTTAATTGGATTGGTTTAAATATGGAGATCCAGGAGTTTAAGAGTTATTTTAATCATAGGAATTGATTTATTAATTATTTCATACAATTGAATAATGTTGGACAGGAGAAATGATTTCAGCAAAGTAATTGTTAAGTTCAATTGGATTTAAACAATTTGCATTGAAATATTAGGACAAAGACATTTAGATTTAATATAAAATACATTAGACAATATCAAATGAAGATATTGGGATGTTGAGAACATTGTTATCTGAACCTAAGAAATATTAAATTGATGAAATAAATTAAGAAGATTATTCACCATTAGGGTTGTCAATCTGGGAAGAGAAATATTTAGCAGCAAGATATTTATTATATGCAAATGCAGATCCAAATAAAGGAGCGTATGTTTATAATTAATATATAGTTCATGGGCTAAGAGTTGTTTGAATATTGCTGTATCTAAATTATAATATTATTTAGTATTTGATTTAATCAAGCGAAATGTAAGATTGTTTGAATTAGATGTGTATGGTAATAATAGTATTCATTACTTATTTTGTGTATATTAAATTAATGAAATAGAAGCATACAAGATCTTATAGTTATTATTAAAAAATGGAGTTAATGGTAATCATATTAATAATGATGGATACACTCCTATTCATTTAGCAGTATCCAAAGGATATATCTAAGTCATTGAGTATATATTCAAATAAAAAGAATACAAATTCAATTTCAGATAAAAAACACAAAGATAAAAACATAATTGTTTACATCTTACTGTACTCACAAGATAAATTTATATTGTCAAATTCTTTATTTATAAATTCCCAGAATTCATATTCTAAAAAGATTATCATGATTTAATACCTCTTGATTATTTAAAAAATGATTTAACCATTTATAAATATTTAAAAGGATTTCAAAATATGGAAATTAGACACATACTTACTTAAAATGAATTATTCTATCAATCACAAATATCAGAAGAATGTGATGATATTTTATCAATTAAAGTTTAAAGTCTAGCCTAATTAGATTACTTAGGATTAGCAAATAAGATTCAAACAACCAGAATTAATGAAATCACTAGATAAATACCATTATCTCCTAATAATCTAAAAAGATTAGAAGAAAAGAATACATTAATGAATCCTAAAGATTCTTAAAGAATTCAATGTCAGCTCTATAAAGGAATCAAAAAGATTGCCTATGAATTCGATAGATTATAATATAACAATATAGAAAACTTATTGAATTAAGAATAACTCTAAGAATAATTAGATGATCTTATTTAAATTAAGAAACTACTCTATTAATTAAATTGTATTAAGAATATCATTGATTCCAATGAAATCTATAATAAACAGTGGCATTTTTAATTGAAGAGTCTCAAATATTAAATCAATAAACAAGTGTATAGTGAAAGGAATCTTGATAACCTGAAGAAGGCTTCGAATCAACTTCTGCAAATATTCTTAGAAATTATCAAAAAAGTTGAATAATTATTCAACAAAAAAGAAAACATGGACAACCAACTGTAAGATTTTATTACCACTTTCTGTCCATCCATTCAGGTTTCGGATTGGGTAAGTTAGTAGTCTTCTTGGAATAGATTCTCAAGGAATCTAATTCAGATTTGAATTTCCTTGAGCTTCTTTTCATTTAGCATCAACTAAAAAGCCTATCGGTTAAATATAATATTTTTAATCAAAAATAACTTATGAATATATTTACTATTTGAATAATATTTAATTAATTAATGATATCTAAATAATTATATATAAGAATATCTATAAATTATTTAATAATAACATATATATTTAGGAATATTATTATATATATAATTATATCTATATATATAATATTTAATAACATCTGTATAATATATATAATAATAAAGTATACTAAAGATGTTGATATTTGTGATTGTCTCTTTCGTCCAGTGTCTTCAAGAATATGAAATCCTTATAGGATATCCTCAAATAATAGAGTATTATTCAACTCCAGGGATAATAGTCGAATAAAATCTCACATCAACATCAGAAATCGATTTAACTACTTTTCCTTGTTAAGTTATGCCATAGCAACTAATCAATCAAAATATGTTAGATTAATCATTGCCTATCATTCCGTAATATTTGGCAGAATAATTTTCATAATATTTTGATGATGGACATTTTTTAGGATTGATTCCTCATATAATATCATTTGTCAACATTGAAAATGATGTAGCAATTTTAACAAATCAAGCTGAACTTATATACATTCGATTTCTAAATGAAACTTTTATTGTCTCAGACAAAAAGAATCTCAACATAAATTTGACCATACTATAATATCCTATTTTTATGGAAATAATAAAAAATCAGCTCATAATTATAATGTATTCAGACACTGTTGGTATAACTTTAGATGTAAATTCTACAAAAATATTTTCAAAATCTTTTCGAATTTATGAATCATTTAATACTAGTAAAATCTCGAGTGTAGCTGTTGTTAATAATATGTTATTTATTGCTATGGGTGTTGGAGGTTTAAAAATATTCCAATTATCAGGATAAATATTAGGTTCAATTGATTTTGGNGCAAATATTCTTAGAAATTATCAAAAAAGTTGAATAATTATTCAACAAAAAAGAAAACATGGACAACCAACTGTAAGATTTTATTACCACTTTCTGTCCATCCATTCAGGTTTCGGATTGGGTAAGTTAGTAGTCTTCTTGGAATAGATTCTCAAGGAATCTAATTCAGATTTGAATTTCCTTGAGCTTCTTTTCATTTAGCATCAACTAAAAAGCCTATCGGTTAAATATAATATTTTTAATCAAAAATAACTTATGAATATATTTACTATTTGAATAATATTTAATTAATTAATGATATCTAAATAATTATATATAAGAATATCTATAAATTATTTAATAATAACATATATATTTAGGAATATTATTATATATTTATAATAATCATATTTTATAATTATATATCTAAGATATATAGATATAATAAAATCGATATTTTAAATAATAACAATATCATCTATATAGTTATATATAATAATATCAAAATAATTATATCTATATATATAATATTTAATAACATCTGTATAATATATATAATAATAAAGTATACTAAAGATGTTGATATTTGTGATTGTCTCTTTCGTCCAGTGTCTTCAAGAATATGAAATCCTTATAGGATATCCTCAAATAATAGAGTATTATTCAACTCCAGGGATAATAGTCGAATAAAATCTCACATCAACATCAGAAATCGATTTAACTACTTTTCCTTGTTAAGTTATGCCATAGCAACTAATCAATCAAAATATGTTAGATTAATCATTGCCTATCATTCCGTAATATTTGGCAGAATAATTTTCATAATATTTTGATGATGGACATTTTTTAGGATTGATTCCTCATATAATATCATTTGTCAACATTGAAAATGATGTAGCAATTTTAACAAATCAAGCTGAACTTATATACATTCGATTTCTAAATGAAACTTTTATTGTCTCAGACAAAAAGAATCTCAACATAAATTTGACCATACTATAATATCCTATTTTTATGGAAATAATAAAAAATCAGCTCATAATTATAATGTATTCAGACACTGTTGGTATAACTTTAGATGTAAATTCTACAAAAATATTTTCAAAATCTTTTCGAATTTATGAATCATTTAATACTAGTAAAATCTCGAGTGTAGCTGTTGTTAATAATATGTTATTTATTGCTATGGGTGTTGGAGGTTTAAAAATATTCCAATTATCAGGATAAATATTAGGTTCAATTGATTTTGGATATTCAATTAACAATGCTACTGATTTAAAAGTATTTCATTAATTTGATGTTTATTTTATTTATTTACTTGATTATGATCTTGGAGTCAGTTGCTTTATCTATAATCCTAAATCTACACTTATTTATAAGAATGAAAGATTAGATACTATTCCTTATTCTGGAGATATTCTTGATATTTATAATAATATTATGATGATAGCAAGTTTTTAAAATTAAGAAACTATTATAACTGAAATACAATTAAATTATACTGATTTTAGTTGGAAATAAGTGAATAAACATATTATCAATTAAATAATTGTAGATATTGATATCTTAGATCATATTGCTATAATTTTAGGTTAGAATGGAAACACTGTAATATTTCATTCTATTCCATCATAATATTAATTAAAATAGCAACATTTTATTATGCCATCTTTACTTAAATTAAACTTTATCAAGTCTTAAGGATCATTATATCTAATTGGTGTCAGTCTTCATAATTTTTATTATTCAAAATTAGAATTAAAGTAGAGTTACTTATATTGTTATTTTGAATAAGAATATTAAATTATATTTGCTTATTCCCATATTTCATAATGTAAATAAACAGATAATTTATGCAATTATACTAAAGAATATATTGTTAAATCAATAAAACCTATAATTACAACAGAATAAAATTTGTTAATTTATTTAATATTATTCTTTGTTGCATTAGCTTTTATTATAATTATAGTAGTATTAATAAGAGAATTCAATAAATATCATGCTTTCGTTCATAACTTAGATCCAATATGTCCAAAATCAAATGAGGTAACCATGTAAACTTTTGACAGTCCAAATAAAATTATAAAATTTAATTAGACTGGAGCCCATACCTCATAGTTCTCTATAATCAGTAATATGACTAGATTATAGTAAGTTTGATGAGTGTAGTATTTATATTATTATAAATATAAATAATGCTGATTTTTTTATTACTTTAATATGTGCAAAGTTAAGAATATAATGTCTCAGTTGATAATGAAAAAATAGTGGATACATTTAATAATTATGGTGATATTTTTTATTAGGAGATAGAGTATGAAGATAATTCATTCAAACCTTGTCATTTTACTAAACAACAGTTAGTTCAAAGTGCAGGATTAAATGTAGATATTGTTGAATCTTTTAATGAAACATTCTTTCAATAACATTATGAAGAAGGCCATTTAAATGCTTAAATTGATGAAATTATAGCAGCTGTGACGATTCAAAATGGATCTATTCTTTTAACTAAATCAGGTAAATTGTAACATCTACTGATTACTAATACAATTACTTTAGGTAAGTCTATAATGATACATATCAATACTTAAAATAAAGTAATATTGAAATACCTTAGTAAAAATAAAGTATTATTGATAATTGGAGATAAAGAAACTTTAGGTTATTAACTTTCAAATAAAACAGATGTTTTTGAAGATTCATAAAAATTAAAGATATATGATTCATTCAATATAGATTAAATATCAAGTATAACCACAGTTAATGATATGATATTTATTGCAATGGGAAAATAAGGCATTTAAATGTATTAATTTAAAGAGAAAAACTTATAATCAATTTCATGGGTAATTAATGGTTAAACAAACAATCAATTTTAAAATGTTGTAGATCTAAAAGTTTTTTCAAATAGTTAGGATTAAATATATACCATATATATTCTAGATAAACAATTAGGAGTTTAGTAATATGTTTATAATTCTGTAACTACTTTAATTACAATGAATACAAAGTTTGGAACGATTCCTTAGGGTGGCAATATTTTTGATATTAGATCTTCTATTTTAATAATAATAGAAAATCAACATTCATTTTCATTTTTACATGAAATATAATTGGATTTATAAAATAATAGATACAAATTATTAAATATTTATAAAACTGTTATAGATGTGTAAGATGTTGACATTCTTAATCATTATGTAATTATATTAGGATAGAATGGTCATTAAGTATTAAAACATTCATTACCTAAAAGTTATAATAATTAATCTTCGAATTCTATAATCATACCAAATTTACAATAATTAGATTAAATAGATTATAACAATAAAACAATAATTTTTGGATTTACAAAACATAGATTTTTTTCTTCGTCTATAAGTGAAGTATATCTTAATTAAATATTAGACACCAAGTGCTATATTTTGTTTTTCTAATTATACTGAAAGTCATTAGACAAAGTTCATTTACAAATAGAAATCAACTTAATGTCCTATTGAACTGAATGTTACAACAGAAGAATTTTGTTAGATAGAGAAAAGATATACAATAAATTTTATGCCACCTAAGAAGGGTTCAGGATATTTATTAATAATATTAATATATATTGTTGTTTTTATATTAGGTATTGGATTTATGATGTTGAGTTATTTATTATGTAGAGAATTTAGAAAATATGAATATTTTGTGAAATACAATGAAATGGTAGAAAATGATTCATCAGTTGGATAAAGTTTAAATTCTCCTGGTCAAGATGATTAATTTTAGAAGATTGAAAATAAAGTATCTTCAATGACACCAGTAGTTTATGAAGAGAAAGATGATTGATTAATATAATATATTATTATCTATTTGATAGATTATATTATATAATAATGGTTAGAGTTTAATAATTAAAAAATCAATATTTAAATGTAAAAGAAAATAAATTGGAAATTGTTAAGAATAATTTAAGAAATAATATAAAGTTGAGTAGTTTTAGCATGGTAAATTAATTTAATATAAATTTAATAACAATATAGATTAGAAATAGATAAATATATGGGAATATAGAATAATAAGAGATAATAGAACAATAATAAAGAAAGGTATAGAAGTAATGAGTGATTAAATATAATTTCGATGAAATAAATAGTAATGATATATAGAAAGGAAATGAATAAAATGATCAAAAAGAAAGTAAGAGGAAATTGAAGGAAAGATTTAAGATAATACAAGATTTTATTAAAAGATAGTGAATTAACTAGAATAAAGGATAACAATAGTAACATGATGCAAAATAAGATAAATTAATATGAATCAATGTCCAAATTATAGAGCAAGAAGTCATTTAGAAGAGATATTAGATTTAAATCAATCTAAGAGGAGAAGAATTAATGTTAAGAGATCCATTATTCTATAACTACTGCTATTTAATATATATATATATGGAATAGGTAAATTTAAAGATTATTTTGTGTTTATAAACAGATACAGGCATTATAATTTAAAATGAAATTAGATTCAATATTAAATTAAGAAAGATCCTCCTAAAATAGGATCTACAGTTATTATGGATCATAGATGATGATAGAGAGTGATTTATGAAATATATATATATTTAATATTATGTTTGAAAAATTAATTGAGAATCTCCTTTAATCAATTCTAGGAGAATACATTGAAGGTTTTGATTAATAATCAATTAAAGTTGGAATTTTAAATGGGAAAACTAAAATTGAGAATCTTAGATTTAAATCTGATACATTTATCAAATTGCATTTCCCTTTTATTGTTAAATTTAGTAAACTAGGAATACTTAATTTAAATATACCATGGAAAAATCTTGCTAGTTCTCCTATAATAGCTAATCTAGATACATTATATCTCGTTTTAATACCTTAATAAATTAATGAATGGTCATTTCATTAAATTACAGCATTAGATAAATTAATTGAAATTGATAATTTCAAATAAAAACTATTAGATAGAATTTATAATAAAGAATCATAAGATAATATGATACAAAGATTTATTATTAGAATCATAGAAAATCTTTAAATCTCCATTTCAAATATACATATTAGAGTTGAAGATATATAAACTAGCTATGGATTTGTTTTACAAAATTTAACTTTATTTACTATCAATGAATAAGGAATCAAATAATTTATTGATAGAACTTCTAATAAGGATTAATCATTGATCAAAAATCTATAAATTAATAATTTTGGATTTTATTGGCAACACAAAGGAGGAATCTAATATAATGAATCTTAATTTCTAGAAGAATTACCAAAACACGACTACTTATTTAAACTCTCCTTATAAAGTTAGATTGTACAACCACCTAAACAAAATTAAAAAATTGCTAATTTTATTATTAATATAGATTTACAATCTATTGATATTTAATTCTCTAAACCATAAGTCTAATAAATTCTTAATGTTATAGATTATCTTAATTCTTATAATCGTGCTAAAATTTCATACTAAAAATAATAGTAAATAATATAGCCATTAAATGAGTAAGATCAAATAAGAATTAAATAATTGTTATTATTAGTATAATTGCATAAGAAATATTAAGATTGTTTTAATAAAGATCAGAAATAATAACTATTTGCAATTTTAGAAAAAACACAAGTTGATTAAATCAAACCTATTGTTATTACAGTTATTAAAGAATAACAGTAAGAAAAAATGAAGCAGAAAGCATTAAAGAAATAAGGATTCTTATAAAATTGGTTTGGTAAAAACAAATAACAATAATCAAATGAGACTACCTTAGATGAAGAATAAGAAGAAATCTAAAAGTTTTTATAGTTAAATTTCTCTTAAGAAGAATATCAACAAATTATTTCAGGAAAAAATGCATCAATTGTAGTTAATGGTCAAATGAGAGAAGGTACCATAATACTAAGCAATCCTCGCTAATAAAAAGTCGATGAAATCAAGATTCTTTTTTAAGATTTAAAATGTTAGTTAAATTTACATAAAGATGTAAGATTGGATTTTTCTTTAATAGATATGTTAATATTATTTAATGATTAATAATTTTTAACAAATACAAGCAATGATAAATAGAAACCCATATTTTACTTAAATTTCAATGTTATTGAATCAACTACTACCTCAATTTAATTAGAAACTAGATCTTCTAAATTAAGATATCATCCTGATTTAATTACAGTTTTAAATGATTTTAGAAATGTTGAATTAAACTCTAATTAAATTAAAAATATGGCTGAAGATACAATTTAAGAACTTAAATAAAATGCCTAAGCAGCTTTAGCAAATTAAGTGATTATTGAAAAGAATAGATTGGTCAATATAAAAATGGATCAGTTTTATTTTGAATTACCATTAAACAATTCATAAGAATGTTGGCGATTTTCAGGATTTGTTAATATAAACAGTAGTATTGTCAATTCTTAAGAATAATATAAAATCAAATTTTCAAATATTGGATTGTAACATTAATCCCAAAGTTAATATAGTGTAATTGATAATTTTACTATAGATCTTGATATCATATTACCTAATTAAAAAAATAAAAATCTCTATGTGAATGCAAATATTGAAGATATTATTACTAATTTGAATCCATTAATATATTAAAAATTAACAAAGATTGGAAATTGTTTAACTCCCACTATCAGTGCTGAAGAATATAAGAAATAAAATAAATTAGAAGAATTTGAAAAAAATTAATTAATTTAAAATGCTATAAAGATAGCTCCTCTTTATATTAAAGAAGGATAATTAAATTAATGGGTTAAATACACTTGTATGATAAGCGGATCTAATTTGTATTGCTATTCTACTCCTAAATCTAAACAACCTAGTTTCATTAAATATATAAAAAATGCTGATATCATTCAATAAGGTATTGATGAATTTAATATGTATGTTCTCATCATCTAAAATGAAAGTAATTCTTTTGAAATTGGTATTTAAAATCAAAATCAAATATAAGATTGGATTGAGAAAATCTCATCACTTAAAAATCCCGAAGAAGAATTATTGAAATAATTAGAATATATTAAAGAAAAGTAAAAAACTTAAATAATTGAATTTTAGAAAGTAATTAATTTTAAAATTTCTGTTGTTTAAATCAACTTATAGGATTCAAATTCTAAACAATTTCTAGTTTTTAAAACTAATGATTTATCTCTTAAAATGAAAATAAACTCATAAATCTTACATCTTTAACTTACTCTTTCAGGATTATAGTTAAAAGATAATTTAATTTATTATTGCAATGAACAATATTAAAACTTAATTATCTCAGAAAAACAAAATGTAGAACTTATTTAAATAGATTTTCATTTAATTAACAGAAATTCTAAGAATTATTAGAATATTGATAAATAAATAGAATTGAAATTTGGTAAATTACATATTAATTTCAAAAATGAAACTTTAGCTTATATTATATAATTCATTAATAATAATAATAATCATAATCATATAGATAAACCATAAAATAAAATTGAATAAGAATTTTTAGAAGCAGAGAAACAATTTTTATTATTAAAATTGAATGTTCAAATTACTCAAATTAGTTTATGTATTATACATGAAATAACAAAATTACCTTTTGTAGAGATTCAATTTAAAAATTCTACCATAAAATTGTTAAAATATCAAGATGAATTACAAATTTAATTTAATCTAGGTAATCTATAAATAAATGATTTAACAAATCATCCTTACACCTTAACATAAGAAGAAGATTATCATTTAATTAAATCTAACTAAATAGTAGGGATTAAGTAAATTGGAGAATCTTTACTTTTTGTAAATATGATTCTAATTGAACCATTATCTAAGAAAGCAAAACTAAATAGAGATATTATAAATATAGATGCAAAAATAAGTTAAATAGTTGCAGATTATTAATAATAACCTATTTTAAGAATTATTGATTATCTTAATATTTTACAGAATCCCTTTATAAATCCTAATTCATTTAAGGTTTAGGGTTATGTTATTAATAATATTGCGAATGAAATAATTCACAATAATAGAAAATTTGTAGAACCTTCAAAAGATGAACCACTTAAAATAGTATCAGATCCGCCTAGAATGAGATTAAAAGTATAAATTGATAATCCCTAGATTATTATAAAAAACAAATTTTCAAATGAATTCATTATAATCAATTTAGGATAAATAAGTATTGTAAACTAAAAAGAATAAATCAATTCAATTTATAAAGAAATTTATACTATTTAAATTAAATAACTAAACATAATTGGAGAATGTGATAACTAATAAGTTGTTATTGCAAGTGATTTTAATTTACTTTTGACTATTCATCTCCCTGATCTAATTTAATAATCTAAATTATTAAATAATTAAGTTGAAGAAACATTTTATATTAATTGTGAAATGAGCTAATTTATATTAAATATTGATATAAATACTATGAAATTGATCAATAGATTAATAGTCTATAACTTTAATCTTAATGATTCATTTAATTAATATGTATTACTAAATGCTAGTAAGTTAAATTAAATATATTAAAAATAATAAAAAATTATATTAAAGTAAGATGTTTAAAAGTAGATTAAAAGTTAAGATTATTTATTTAAATTTAAATTGAAAATTATTAACATTTCAATATTTCTGTGTTTAGATCGACCTTTAATAAGATTATCAATTGAAGATAGTAACATTGAATATAATTTAAAGAGAGATGATAAAATGGAATTACTTATTTAAATATCATCTTTTAACTCATGTATTTATGAATAAGTTGATAGTTATTTTGTGAGTAAACCTCTAATTGGAATATAAGAAGAGAAGAAATATGATAAATTAAATGATTTATCATAACTAATAAATACTATTTCAAATTCTAATATGGAATCAGGCAAAATTGAAATGTACAGAAATCCAACTTAAAATAAGATTCATAATAAATTGTATTTAACATTTTAATCATTCTTATTTACAATATAAACTAAGGCAATCCTTTAGATTATGACAATATTTGAAAAAGAATAATTAACTCCATTTATTAATGAATAATTAAAAGAATATTAATTAAAATATGATGAATAATTAAAAACTTAATAAAAGGAAAAGGAAGTTTAACCCACTGATTCACAAATATTTATTACTTTAGGTGATGTAATTATTGCAATTCCATCAAATAATGATTCAATTTTAACATTTACTGGTAAATTTAATTTTAATTTAAACACTTATGATACAATGAATTATAATGAATTACTTAACATAATAAAAGAAAAAGGATTGAGTGAATATGATTTAATTGGAATCAATTTCAAAATCAAATCAACCATATCGATTGAATAGGTCTAAACATATTTAGCATAAAAACAATAACTTTATAGTTAATAATTTAATCTATTTGATAATAAGAGATAAATTATTTGGCCATTTACGATGTTATTAAATCAGAATTTATAGTTGGTTTTATCAGAAAACTTAGATTCTATTGTTGAAAAATAGAACATTCATTTGTCATTAAGTTAATTTCAATGTAGAATTGCATTTACTGATATTTTATTTATTCAAAATCAGATCCATTAATAATTGTAGGTAATTAATGAATTAAAAAATAATGATATAAAGAAATAATAGTAAAAAGTAAAAAATGAAAAATAATTAAATAATTTATATAACATTTAATTAGTAATTGATGGTATTGATATAAGTATTTTAAATGACATTGAAAATTATTATTAATATATTTTGAACTTTAAATTGTTTTAAACTGAGTCAAAATTAGAATAAACAAATAGGTATTAAAAATTCTTAGTTAATTTATCAATTCAATTATAATATTTTAATTCTAAAATAGGTTATTGGGAACCAATTATTGAAAAATGCAATATATCAATAGAATATTTAAAAAATTTAATTGGATTTGTTTTGGCTATTGAGAATTAATTAGATTTCCAAATAAAAGAAGGTATAAATATAAATGTATCAACATAAATGATCTAAACAATTTATTCAGCAATCAGCATCTTAATTTAAAAATTATAAGAAAAAAATAAAACTCAAATAAGATGTTAGAATAACTCTTATGCAAAATATGCAATATATAATCAATTAGGATCTGATGTATTATGTGAAACTTAGGATAATATAATTATTATTATTAAACAAAATGAATACAAGGATTTTGATGTTAAGAATTTAAAATCTAATAATTCAATTATATTACAGATTCAAGGTGATAAAAATCCATTTGAAATAAAAAATTGGAATATTGATAAACTACAATAAAAAATCTAAAAAATAGATGGAAATAGTCCAGTATTAATTAAGAATTTCGTAGATGAATTAAAGAATTAAAAAGTAGTATATTTAAGTTCTGAATTTATCTTCTAAAATAATACTGAAATTAATTTAGAATTAGTATTAAAGGATTAAAAGGGAAATGTTATAATTTAGAGATTGGAACAATTCTTTTAGAATAAAAAAGTAAATAAATTAATATGTTAATCTAATTAATATGTGATTCCTTAAGAGTTACTTTAAAGTGATTTTTATATAAGAAAAGTAAATAATAATTACTAGAAATGTTAATCTTATAATGTGTAATATCTATATAAATGTATTGAAAGTAAAGAAGATCTGAAATTATGGTTGAGTGAGAACTTCATAATAACTTTAAATGTATGCAAGGATGCAGAATTTAATGGTAGATATATAATATATATATAACCAAATTTCAGATTGTAAAACCTGATGCCATTTCCTGTGATAATAAATACTTTATATGAAAATAAATAGGGATAAGTAACAATATTACAACCATTGTAATATTTGGATGATCATTAATTAAAAAGAACAAAAGAAAATCATATTATCTAGATTGAGATTGATTCATATAAATCCTCTTAGTGTATTTCACTTTTGAACAGTAGAAATTTCAAGTCTCAACAATATATTATAAACTTAGTTGATGAAAAATGTGATGGAAATAGAGAATATAAGAGTGAAGTGGTACTTGAATATAATTATTCTTTATTTAGTCAAAGTGGATTATGCAGTGCAGTATTATTTGTTTAGGAATATATTAGGAATGAAACACAATATGAGTATGTTGTATATTAAGGCAAAAATGGTTAATATAAATAAATTGGATTATAAACTAAAGGATCAAAATCCAGACCATTGATATTGAATAATACAAATTAACAAAATGAAATAGTATTTTCAGACAAAAATACTCCAGAATTGTTATCTCTATCACCTGCTCTTATAAATTCTATTGGTACTACAATAAGTGATATTATATTTAAAAGAGGGAATAATTTTTATATTGTACCTATAGCTGTTACATCAGAGATCAAATTAATCTAATAAACATGCCAAAAAGTTATTACTATATAGAATAGGATCATTTTAGTTAATAATTCTTAATACTCAATTATGATTAAGCAATTCAGAAATTTTAATATTAAACCAAATCAAAGAATACCTTTTGAAATTTATTTTTCTGATAAGTTGCCTACATCTTCTGAAAATATTTATTAATTTAAATTTACTTTTATAGAAGAATATGATTGGAATTGGAGTAATTATATAGAATGCAATTAAATTGGTGTTTTTTATTTATAATTAAGAAGTCTTAAAATATAAAATGCTAGGAAATATGCTTAAATTGATATTAATGAAAGTAATGGAGTTTTATTCGTTATCATTAGTGAAACTAAACATGATTAAACACCTTATAGAATTACTAATCAAAGTAAAATGGTTCAAATAACTGTGTTAAATTTACCAGTCATTTTAGATTATAAATAAGATTGTTATTTTGCTTGGGATGATCCAACTAAATAAAATAAAGTTCATCTTGTTATTTGTCCTAAAGATAGTTAATATTAAATTGTAGAACATCAATTAGAAATTGATAAAATTTCAGATTCCAAGTTCTTTGTTATTGAATCTCAAATTTAAAATGATTAAAGCAAAATTATAATTAAATTAAAAAATAAGATAAATGGTTATACTAGACATGCTTAATTTAAAGATTCAAATGAAGAAGAATTATAAAGATATAAATAGCATTCTGGGAAATCATTTAAAGAGAATTAATAATTTAAATTTAATATTATGATTAGTCATATAAACTTAAATTTGATTGACAATCATTATTTACAATATCCTTTAGAAATTATTAATATTTCATTTTATCATTATGAATCTATCTTATTAATGAATAAATAAAAGAAAGCAATCTTTTAATTTATATTATAAGGATTTTAAATAGATAATGCTTCTTAATTACATCCTCGATTTCCTGTATTATTAACATTACTACCAAGTAATAAAGTGAAATAATAATTTCCAATTTTAAATGTTTTAGTTCAAATGAATTTATAGGTTAAATAATTACCATAAATTGAGAAATTCTCTTTGGAGATGAATCGATTATCTATAAAAATAAATGATAAAATAATAAAGAAAATAGTGAACATAATCAATAGAATTTCATAAAGGATTGAAAATGAATAATAAAAATAAGAATAGAGATTGGATTGGTAGAAATGCCCTTTACCTTAGAGATTAGTTCCAACATATTTTAGATAGATAACAATATGGCCTATAATAATATAAGTGACGATAGAGTGGGGTAGAAAAGATAAAGAATAAGATATGGATAATCCTTTATTTAAAAGATTATTATCTAATATTGGTTTTTAATTAGTATCAGTAGATGAAGCTGAAATTGTATTGAAAGGTATTTAATTGAATGATGTATTTGACAGTATAAATGGTTTAAGTACAAAATTAACTTAAAGATATCTACAAGATATATACAAATAATTACCTTTAATTTTGGGTAGTTTAGCTGTAATAGGTAATCCAACTAAACTATTGAAAAATATTGTATCTGGGATGTAAGATTTAATAGAAAGACCAATAGAAGGATTTACTAAAGGACCATTAGAAGGTGGTATGGGTGTAATTAACGGAGCTACGTCATTAGTAAGTTAGACTGTTTCTGGAGTATTTAATAGTGTTAAAAATGTAGTAGGTACTATTTCTAGTGGTTTATCTAAAGTTACATTGGATGATACTTATTAATAATAAAGATAAATTTAGAATTAATAATAAGTTAGAGATGTTGCATCTGGTATATAAGAAGGTTCTGTTTCTTTAGTTAAGGGTGTAGCTTATGGTTTGACTGGATTCTTTAGTAAACCTATTTAAGGTGTTTAATAATCAGGTACATCTGGTCTATTTAAAGGATTATGGTAAGGTACATCTGGCTTAATCATTAAACCTGTTACAGGAGTATTAGATGTCATTACTAAAACATCTGAAGGAGTTAAGAATTAATTATCTTATGATCAATAACCTAATAATCACAGAATTAGATATTTAAGACCATTTTATGAAAGTGATGGATATTATAAAGAATATAATTGGATTGATGCTGAATGTTATGAAGTTATTAAAAACATTAACAAAGGAAAATATTAACATCATAGATTACTTAGAGTTGTCTCTATCCAAAGAGATTTAAAAAACTTTGCTCTTATTTTAACTGACACTAGCATAATTCTTTTTGATTTAGATCTACATTTCAAACTTTGGTCCATTTTGTATCAAGATATTTAAAATATTTATTTTAGTGGAAATGTTATATAAATTAAAAATAGAAAATCTAAAAGAGCTTTCTATGTATTTTTATTCTTTTTTATTTTAGGGTAAATCTACTACTTAATTAATGATGTCTTCACAATAATAAAGTTAATTAATTACAGAAGAAATTAAATTTATGAAATAATAATTGTGATCTTTATATATATTTTAATAATCAAATTTAAGAATATAATTATATTATTTTAGTACCTGTCAATGCTAAAGTTATTACTTAAAATAGAGATACCTAAATAATATAAAAATATTACCTTGTATACAATATACAAGATTCCCAAAGGATAAATTTGATGATTATAATCAAAATATTTATCAACTATCCATTATCTAGGTATTTTCTTATCTCCTATATTAAGACTATGTTCATTTATAGAAAGTTCTATCAATGACGAAGAATTCTTGATTGTATCGATCTTAATAATTTAATATTTAAATTTACTTATTCTAAAGTAAAAGTAGATTATTCTTCGATTTGTGTTTTTAAAGTTTTATTTGATTTTATTTACTCTGAAATTATGATATTTTCACTTTCCAAAACCTAAATTAAAATTTATTAAAATTAAATTAGATTTCTCACATTAACATTATCTTAAACATATAATTTAACTTATTCAAATAACTTTTATATCTCAAAATTGCATTCTGACTTTAATTTTAGTAATTCTTTTTTGGATATTGTTTATGCAACTAAATTATCCATTAAAACTTCTATTTAATCAACTTCATAATAAGTTTATGTGCTATTACAAACAAACATATTTTCATATTTACTTTAATCTCTCTTTTATTAAATTTCTAGTTCAATTTATAATTTCTTATAAAGAGCTTCATCAATACCAATTAATGATTTCAATTATTAATTTTTACTATGTGTTAAAGCATATTAAATTTCCAACATATCTTTTTATCCATTTTATTCTTATATTTCTTTTTTGATCTATATAATCATATTTTATTTTTCTCCTTTTTCTAATTCTAAACTTTCTAATTCTTCTTAGATTAATTGCATACTTTCTTATTTAACTTCTTTTTCATATTCTAAGTTTTCCACTAATTCTGTTAATTGTCTTCCTTCTCTACTATAAATAGTCATTCTATTTCTCAATTATAATAGTTTTTCATCCATTTCAGCTAAATTAGTAAACAAAACTTAAACATAATCTTTTTTTTCTATGACTCTATTCCTAGAAATAATTTCTTATTCATTTAATTCCTAATTGTCCAATTCTAATTAATACATCTTTTATTAAATATTAACCTTATCATTCTCTAAATCAGATTATTTTTAAAATAATGTTTCTAATTCTTTTTCTATTTTTTCTACACAATACCTTCTTTAATCTAATTCTATAGCCAATTTATGTTCTTTTTCTGCCCATTCTTATAATTTAACAGCTAATTCATGATGTCTTTCAGCTGTTTTTTTTAATTTGGATTAGAGATCATCTAACATTTCACTTTCTTTAGTGAATTTATCTTATAATTATAATAATACAGGATCATCATCAAAATAAAAACTAGGTTAAATAGTGACTCTTGATTATTACATAGATAATTATTATAATTATTATTCTAATATATCTAATTTTTTATCTTTTTCCTTAATAGTAGATTATAATTCTTCTAATTATGTTTTAGTTCCTTCAATTTATTATACATTTTAAAATATAGGTTAACTTTGAGATGAAACTAATTTTTATAAATCATCTTTTAAATTGAGATTTCTAGAATTTAAAGAACTTATCTATTATGATAATAAATCTTCATAGACTTCAACTTCATTTGAATCAATAATTGTTGATTTTTATTGTTTCTTTTTATTATTATTTAATTGTTTCTTCACTTCTACTACCTATAAATTTGTTAATTCTAAATCCTTTTTCAAAATTTCTTTCTTTTCTTAATATTATTTTAATTCTTTTTCTTTCAATTATATAACAGCTTCTAACATTTTTGTATCATCATCTAATTTTCTAAATTAATCATTTAATTAATCTAAATCTTTTAATTTCTATTTAATTTAATAATTCATTTCCTCTTCTTTGACTTTTGTATGATATATTTCTTCATTAATTTCAGTTAATTAATCTTATTCTTTTTTAATTTCTCCTGATAATCTAGATCTTTATTTTTCAAATTCTTAGATTTACTCTTGTTTTTCTCTAATTTCAGTTTATATTTAAGAATATTATTATTTATATAAAACTAATTCTTCCTTTAATTCATTAAAACTTCTTAATTCATCATTCTTATTTTTAATCATTTCTTCTAAACTATTTAAATTCATTTCTAATTTAGCTAAATCATCTTCTAATTTACTTCTCATTTCTGATTTTATTGAAAATTCACTTTCAAATTTACTTAGTTTATCATCTTCTTCTTATATTCTCTTTTTTATTTCATCTTCTTCTTTTTAATAAAATTTTAATTCATCTTCCAATTAATTAAATTTCAATTTTTATTCTTTAATCTTTTATTCTTTCTAATATAATAATCCCGTATACTATAATACTTATTCTTCTTTTTCAAACATTTCCTTCATTAATCTCTCCATATCCTTATTTATTTTAGCCACTTGATCTATTTAATGTAAATGTTTCATCTATTAATCTGTTAACATATTTAAATTATTCTTTTATTCTTCAATCTCCAATCTAATCTTTTTTATCTATTCTTCTCTCTACTCTTTTTCTTTATTCTGCTTCTCTAAAATATTAATTTATGTTTGAATTGCCTATTTATTACGATCCAACTCTTATTATATACGATCAGCTTTATCCTATATTGCATTCTTCAATGTATTTTCTTATTTTATACTATCCTCTGATTTAGCTCTTAAATTCTACAATTCTATAAGTTACTTTTCTTAATTTTCAGTATATAATTTAAGATAATTAACTTCCTATATAACTTAATTCTTTTAATCTTAAACCTTTTACTACATTTTCTACAATTCTGATAAATCCTCTACATTTTAATCATATTATTATCTAGATAATGTATATAATCTTTAAATCTCTTCTTTCTATGGCAATATCAATAACACCTATTCTTTCTATATTTATAATTCTTCAATTAACTATTCAAATAATTACTTCTCATCTGAAATCTAATGTGTTAAATCTTCAATTTTTCTATTTATATTAGCACTATCTAAATTCATTTCAGTGTAAATCTTAATCTCTTATTCAATTAAAGCATTCTTTTATTTATATTGATTCTATTATTCTATCAATTATTATTCTAATATCTTTGCTTATTCAATGTCATCTTTTAACAACATTATATTTTAATCTAATTATGAACTCTCTATACTTAAAGTTGATACTTATTATTCTTTTGTTTATTTTAATTATTTAGCTTATTCTGCAGCTTAACATAATCTTGTTAACTCAAGCTCTAATCTCCTTTCTTATGCTAACAAATCATTTACTTATTATTCAAGTAATCCTACTTTCTCTCCTAATGGTCTTTATTCTTTTAATAAATAATCTCTTTTTTATTTCTATTTTTTCCACAAAATTGATATTTAATAATTCTCCTATGATAAACGCTATAATTCATCTTATTTCTACTTAACTACTATTTATAAATCTAAAATCAATAACTCTAAATTTTTAATCTATTATTTCACCTTCTTTTATCCTTTTTAAAGTTCATCCAATCTTTTTGATTATTCCATATTCTAATTCAACCAATTTGGTACATTCAATTCAGATTTACTAACATTTTCAATAAAATTCATTTATTAGTTCTGCAATTCTTTAAACAATAATTCAATATCTTTATTTTCTGATTTCATTTTTTCAACTTATTCTTATTTAATCTATTACTCACTTTATAAATCTTATAATACATCTGTAGAAGATTAAATAAACAATTTCAACTATTCAATTTATGATTACTTTTCTTTTTTTTATTTCTATAAAAATTCAAGTTCAATATCATCTTAACTTAATTATCTAACAGATTCTGTTATTTAAGCTATTTGTATTGTCAATTCAGATAGATTTGAATTATGATCCTAATTTATATCTTAATCCTCATGAAAAATTTATAAAGGTTAAGGCATAGATCTTGAATGTTAAGACAATCGTTATTCTAATTCATATTATTATTATTGTTTTTATATCAATCTTGATTCCATTTGTTAAATCTTCTCATCCAATTCTAAATTCTTCTTTACCATCTCATCTGATTTAAGTTATCTTTATTGAATTTCTTCTTATTAAAAATCCTATATCATCTTCTAAACTTCTTCCTACTTACTTTTTTTTTATTACAACTTAAACTCCAATTCATGAATCACATCTTCTAAAGCCAAATTTTATTTGACTAAATTATCAGCTTATTCTTACAATACATTAATTTATCTATTGATTACAGATACATCTTAAATTGCCAATATTTATTAATTAAAATGACTTCTTTTCAGTTCATTTAATTACTATTTCAATTATTCAATAATCTTATCCTTTTCTTATAATTCATATTTCTAACATTCTATTTTACTTTTTAATTGTTCTATATTATTATTGAATCCAACCAAAATCTACTATTATTAAATAAATTAATGATCCTAATCTTAATCATATGAATTAATTCCACTATCTCTTATTATACTTTCTCTCTCCTTATAAAATGAATTATTATTTTAATTAGATTCAATTTCATAATTCTTTGACGTATTCAAATATTCTAATTCTTTCAACTTCGATTCTTTTTCTACTAATCTTAATTCTAATTAATGAATTAATTCATCCATAGCTAAATTCTTTTTTACTAATTCATCTGCCTTTTCACATTAATCTTCATTTGTTTTCATTAATGCTTCATATCTTAATTCAACATCTCTTTACTACAATTCTTATTCCTTTTCATACAATTATTTCTATAGTTTTGATATTTCTTCATATAATTAAACAATATTCATATTCTTTTCATGTAATTATTCTTACATTTCCATTAATTCTGAATTCTAAACAAACGATTTTCTCTTAGGTTTCTAATCTTCACTCACTATTAATTCTAATTAATCTCTCCTTTTTTTCTTATAATTTAATTAATTTTTTAAATCTTATATTCTATTCTCCATATCTTAATTCTATTCATTCAATTCTTATAAATAAGTATGTTAAGACATACACATTATTTCATCTTTCTATTAAATTTCAAACTTCAAAAATTCTATCTATGATTCCTATTATTTTACAACTTCTTTTAATTAATCAATCTAAAATTAATAATCCTAAGGAATTGATTCTTTTTATGGACCAAATATATTAATTGTAGGTACTTCCTCTATATAAGATTTTACTGTTGGTTATATTGTAATTTATTTTAATTATACATTTTACAATTATGATTCAACAGAAACTTTCACTTCTATTTCTTCTTATAATTAATTCTATAAATTATATACTTCCTGTTTCTCTTTTTATAATTTTTACTTCAACTCCTAAACTTCCTTCTATTTTAATTTTAATTACTATTAAATAATATCACATTCATGTTATTCAACATCTAATTAACTTATTAATTCTTTTTTTGGAGACATACCTGATGCTTTAAGTGATGTTGAAGAATTTTATTCATTCCCAAATAAATCCTTTTTACTCATTTCATCTAACATTAAATTGTGTGCTTATTATTTCTCCAATAATTTTATCTGTAATTCATGCAACAAATCATCTACTGCTTAATTCTATTTTACCAAATCATCTATTTCAATTAACTTTTCTGTCTCCCCTTTTATTGGTGTTCCTATACCTAACATAATATTTTAAGATTTTAAATATTCCAATTAATTCTTTGTCTTAATCATTTAATCTTCTAATTCCATTTTTTCTGATAATTTCTTTTCCAAATCTTCATTCAATTTTTATGTTTCTTCTAACAATTTCTTTAATTAATGTCTCACATCAGAATTATATGTTTTTTCTACTATTAATTACTCATTCAACACAGACATTTATTATTTCAATTATTTTAACATTTTTTCATCCTCCTAATAAGAACCAATCATTTATTCTAACTCTTACTTTTATTGTTTTTTGTCATAAAGTTTCTTCTCTAATTCTATCAAAATATCATCAATCTCTTCATGTTACTTTATTATTTCATCTACTTACGATGTATTTGGTTTATATGATCCCCTTTAATTCCCTTAACCCAACTTAAGTTATTATAATTCTTATTCCTTTTCCTACAATTACTATTTTAACTTCTCAAATTCTTATTAAACTTATAATCCAATTGCATTAAGAGAATTAGGAAATGCTAATAATTAATCAATCGCATTATCAAATATTGGTTAACTCAATATATCCTTTTAATTCATTCTATTTTTTAAAATCTTTATCTCATCTGCTTGATCAGTAATTGTTTTCTCCTGCTATTTAATTAGCTAATCAAGATCTACACTTAAACTATCTCTATACCTTATATCTAAATATTCATCACTTTAAGAAATGAAGAGGTTATTTACGACATATTCCAAATTATTATATATATAAATATTAAAATCAATTATAATTCCATATTTTATTTTTATTATTGTCCTTTCTTAATCCTATTCTAATCTAATCTTAAAAAATATCTTTTTTATTCAATCATATTAAAAAAGAAAGAGTATTCAATTTTTATTCATCAGAAATTAGACTTTTTTTAAATTTGATACAACAGTCTATCAAATTTTATTACATGTTACTTCAAATACAAAATGCTCATTTTTATTTGAGTTTATATTGTTAATTTAATGCAATCATTTATCTAATCCAAATATTTATGTTTTAATTTTTAGATTTCTTCATTAAAATTTATGATATGATATTATTCTTGATTTTTTTGTACTATTAGGAATTAATTTATCAACTTATAGCTTAGTGAATCTTAATTAAAACTGTATATTAAGTAAGAACATCAGAAATTTATTTTTGAATGAATTGGACCTTCTATTAAAATATTATTATACTCTTAATCAATTTAAATATAATTTATTAGAAATTTATGAAAGTTGTGAGTAAGTATCAAATTTTGAGATGTTTTAATAATTAAATTTAGTTAATTTAATAATGTATATTTAAAATAAATTATGTCTAGTAATCTTTTTCGAAGTTTTTTATTTGTTATAAGGTGAATATAAAGAAAAATATATAAAAATAACCCTTTATAGAATTTTATTTATATTTTTAAAGAGATGTAATTATTTTTCATATAGTAAATTCTTTTTTTAAGAATTAGTGGAAGAATACGATAATTTTATATATATATAAAAAAGTAATTTTGATTTATTTTTAGTGATAAAGTTTTTTTAATAATCAGGAAAGCAATTTTGATTATTAAAATGTTTTTTTTGTTGGGTTATCAATTAGCAAAATAATTGTTGTTTTGATTTTTAAAATAACTAATATTTCACTTTAAATTACAAAATCAATCACAAATAAGAAAACTAAAAATTTCAATAGGATTCATCAGTTGTTGATTATTCAGATAATTCACAATAAATTGGTGGTTATTTGGCAGGCTTATTTGTATTATCGTCAATTAATCTAACTGATTAATAATGATTAATAATTTTGTTTCCTTAATGGAAAGCAATATGTATTTATTTCCTTATCGGAACTTACTTCTTGTTAAAATAAATATGAAGTTTTTCTTTAAGAGATGACCAACAATTCTTTATTGGAATGTATTTTATGATGTAATAATTATCTACTGTATGAACAACAATGTCTATTTGTAAAGAATTACTTAAGGCTTATAGTTCCAGATGTCCTCCCCATATTCCATCTTAGGACATTCTTTTTGTATATTCATTGAATGAGGAATCTTCTGGAAGGAAATCTGAAAAAAATTTTTGATTTTTCTAGAGAGATTTGATCGCTAGACAACGATACTTATTGTAGTTTTCTTCGTTTCCAGTAAGTTAATCAGCAATAGCTCTAAAAAGACAATTTCCATCTGCATCAACATCTCTTAGAGTCAATCCTAACTGTTATAACCTTCTATTGAATTAATTCAAATATTTTTTCATTTAATTAATTAAAATAAGGCTTAAAATCAGAGTAGAGGACTTAATGAATAAAATTCGATTCAAATTGAATAAATAATAATATGAAATTAATTATTATTACATCATCCAAGCAAAAAATTATTATAGTATTAAATGTCACTTAATTTCTTAACCATTTCTTTTTTCATATGATTGACAAATTCAAAAAATAAATTATTATTTATTTATTCCATCATTGGTTCTCCAATTTTTACATTATTTTTTAGAATATTAATTTTAAATTTATTAGTAAATTTAATTTATTTAAGATCTTTATTATTGAATAATTTTATCGGAGGATCAATTATTTCAACATCAGGCTAGTTAATTTTAGATTATTCTAAACATTAATTTATTTAATTTCGATCTTCTACTTAAATATCTGTCTAAATTGGATTTTATAAATTATCTCCTACTTTCTCAACTTATGCTTATTGTAAAATTGCCTCATTATTATTGATAATATTGCTTTAATTTTAATCCAAATTATTTTCTAACACTAAAGATTAGTTTGGAACTTCTAATTACTTTTCCTATATCTCTTCTAAATTTGAATCAGGAAGTTAATTAATTACTTATTAATACTAGGTATTGAATTGATTTTTTTAAGTGGTGTTTAATTCATCTTGATTTAATGTATTATTTAAATTATTTAAGATTTCTTATACAAATAAAAGATTAACCTAATTGTCTTTATCATTTTAAATAGTAATTTAATTATTATCTATATTATCTACATTAGTTTAGAGGTTGTGTGCATCTATTTAGTGATTATTATTCTGTTTATTAAATTGATCAGGGAGTTAATTATTATTAATATTAGTTTGTAAAGGAGAATCAATTAAATTGGTAATAATATTTTGATTTAATTAAGGTTATTATTGTTAGTCTTGAATTTAGATTTGTTGAATTTAAGACAAATTAGTTTGCCCAATATTTTCAAGGATTTATTATTAAGCAAGTGTGTCATTTTCTTCTGCAAGACCTGCATCTGTGAATTATACATCATCATCACCAATTTCAATTACATCTTAATATATTTGATTGTTCATAGAGATGTAAGTACATTATGATTTTTTATGTTATTTAAATTAAGCCATTGTTCCCTCCCATAGTTAACATCTTAAACATTTAACTTCAATATCATCAACTAAATTGGTAGCTAGTATATCTTTATCAAATTAATAGTTTCGTTCAAGTCTATGTCTACATAATGGACAACTTTTTTTCATCTAAATCCAACGAACTAAACAAGTTCCACAAAAAGTATGCCTACATTGAATGAAGAATGATACCCACATGTAGCTCTAATTGGATGATAAAAAACTTCTCTGCATATGGAACAGAATAAGTGTTAATTTACTTAGAATGTTTTAATTACTTCAAATTATCTTTCTCTAATCATTTAATAAAATATTTTTATAATTATTCTATTATTTAATAAAATATCAATAAACTATTTTTTGTACACTATTTTTAAATATCCCATTTTCAAGAGCATCAACAACAGATGGATGATAGAAATTTCTAAATTCCTAAAACCATTCTCTAGCTAAATCAGGTTTATCTTAAAATAAAGTTTCATACATATTAACTAACCATGATCTTGCTCCATGAGTTCCCATAAAATTTTTAATCACATCAATTTTATCATAAAATTTACCTCTTAAACAACCAATCAACCATCTATAAAGAAGTCTAGAATCTTTTTATTCAGATAATAGATAAGTTTAATCAATCAATTAATATGTTTTATCTGTCATATCATTATACTACTCTATATAATAATATTATTACTTTGGATGCAATTTCATTTAAGAATTATTACTTCTGATAATAAATATAATTATTATATTCTTAAGCTTTATCTGGAACCTATTACCCTTTACTATCTAACCAAGCCTTAGCTAAAGCCATAGCTTAATCATAAGCATCAGTATGAAAATCCAATTATCTTGGAGGTTTCCCTGGCTTATATACCCATTCTTTATATATAGATTTAATTTCAGCAAGTGATTGATGATCTTTACCTAAATTAGTGGAAATCCAAGATAAAAGATATCTATAGAAGATATCTTCATCTATAGATTACCATTTAAATTAAATGATATATTATTATAACATCTTTTGGAAATTTTAATTCCCAATCTATTATTCAATATATACTAATAATTAATATCCTTTATTATATGGAACTTCCTAAAATAGATAACAATAATATAAAATACAGATTAACTATCATCTGGATTTTCTCCTGTAGTATTAGGATGTAATGATGAATAAGAATGTTCCATTCCATATCTCGCCATCTATTAAAACATAGTATCATTAGCTAAAAATGAATACATTTTTGAATAATCAATTCCATTATACTTTTCAAGGATCTTTCTCTCTAAAAATGTACAAAACCCTTCATTTATCCACATATTAGCCCAATCTGAACAAGTAACAGTATTCCCAACCCAAGAATGAGCAATTTCATGAATAGCTGTTCCAACTCCTGACTTATCTCCTACAATAATAGTTGGACTGGCAAAAGTTAATAATGGATGTTCCATTCCTCCAAGTGGAAATGAAGGTGGCAATATTACTATCTTATAATCTCCCCATTCATATGGTCCAATATAATTTGCCAATTCATCCACATAATCTTATAAGAATTCTAATTCTTAAGCAACTCTATCTATGCTTGTAGGTTCAGTTATTACATATGAATGACTTGTTTCTTAATTACCTACTTTTCTTTATTCTAAATTTCCAGCAACAATTGCCAACAGATAACTAGGAATTTTGATATCTAATGATATATGATATTCTGTTAAAGACTCACTATAAGAATTCATTCTTTTAAATGGTTTTCCCTTCAGAAGATTTCCAGTCATGTAAACTTTAATTCTGGGATCTTTCACCAATACCAAAGCACTAAAATACTGTTTAATACTTGGAGTATCCTATAATGGAATCATAGATCTACAATTATTATCCTAACAATATGAATAGAGATATGGCAAGACTATATATATAGAATTCTTTACCTTTAGATTCAGTTTGTTCTTTGCTCATAAAACTTAAGGCTCTAGCTTTGTCTGTTACTCCATATTTGACTCTTAATTTAACTTAATCACCATTATTGTAAGTCTTGGGAAGGTAGATTCTTAATCTATCTCCCTGTTTTAATGATTGCTCCTACATATTTTCAATTTCATGTCTAATTATAGATCCAGTTAGAGGATCATATACAAGTATATTTTCTAATTAATAAATATCAAGATGAATTTCTCTGATGTTGTTTTTGATGACATTGAAATGATACTCAGCTGTACCATTAATTATCTTTTAATTCAAATCTAATAACCATTCAATATGGAGTTTATGAATCTATATCTCATTATAGTTACTAAATGTATTCACATCACGATTCAAAGCCTTAATGACATCAATTATGATGACAAATAATATTATATTAAACATTAAATTAATTATTAAATTCTTTTGTCTAATTAGTTTAAATACCTTCTGAGATGATAAACTAATTCTGTAAATCCATTTATGAATTGTACAAATTTATTTATTAATTATATTATTATAAAGAAAGCAATGCTAAAAAACGATATTATTTTAGAAGCATTTACAATGGTGTTGATCTGTTTTCTAACTTTCATTATTGGATAACTCTTGAACCTTAGGACCAAAACTCCAGCAAGAGAACAATAACATATGAGATGGAAATAAGAGAAAAATCAATTTTCAGTTGTTTTGACTGATTCTGAATTCAATACATTGTTAGATGAAACCAATTATATCGATTGATGCAATTTTATCATAAAACTTGAATTGAAATATTGAATAATGATATACTCATCTAAATGATATGCAATTATCTATTCTAAAGGAAGATATATTTCATATTTATAAGCATTTGATGCAAAATAAATAAATTCATTAATTTGTTGTTTGTTAATTTAACGAATGTCTAAGTGGTTAGATTTAAGCCTAACATGTACGCAATTAAACTTCAATCAAAATGTTGGTAACACATACACCAATCGTAATAATCCATAATATTTATTGAATAGGTAGTCCAATGAATCTCATAGTGGATCTATACAAGAATTCACGTTATGGATAATTGTACTTAGGAAATATCAATGCAGCCAATGATATTAAATATTTACGAGAACATTCTATCAATGCTATTGTAGCTGTAATTGACACAAGTGAAATCAGAGTAGATCCAACTATGACTAGATTAGTATCCTATCTATATTATATTATAGTGGATAATGGCTGAAGATGCAGAGAATTTCGATCTCTATCGTTACTTTGATGAATGTGCAAACTTTATAAGAGATCAAATTAAAAATACTAATGTTTTTGTTCATTGTTATGCTGGTATCTCTAGATCTGCTTCTATTGTTATTGCATACATGATCAAACATCTAGGTTATTCACTTAAAGAAGCACTTAAAAAAGTCAAAGGAGCTAGATCTATTGTTGAACCTAATTCAGGTATTCATCTTAAATATCATAGGTTTCATGAAATAATTATAAGATTATGAATACAAATAAAATCTTAATTCTCATCAAGGAACAAGAAATGGATCATCTTTTCATTCCAATCCTAGAGGATCAGTTACATCTAATACTAAAGGATCTTTACATAGTGCTAAACCATCATTTCTCGATAGAATGTCTTCAGGACAAAAAGATCTTAAAAGAGATATTGAAAGTCCTTCTGTAAGTTAATTTTATGTTAATGGTTCTGCTAAATAGACCAACAATAATAATAATAATAATAATAATAATAATCCTAGAAGTTTTTTTAAATAAGGAAGTGTAGGAAGTCTCTTAAAATAAACCAATAATGATGACTTCTTTAGAAGATATTAAAAACAAAAAAATGTTGAAAATATTTGGAATCAAGGAATGCATGGACATCATAAATCTGCTATTGAAATCAAATCTGATAAAATAGAATAAGTTAAATTGACTCTGTAAACATTTGGAGTCAAAAATGTTTTTAGTGGCTCTAATAGTAATGGATTACATTTTCATCACAAAGGATTATCTTAAGGTTGATTTTACATATGATTAATATTTACTATATAAAATAGTTTAAATATTAAATAACTTATTTGATAGTATTGAATTTGTTTTTTTTTATTAATAAATAGATGTAGTTGTTATTTTAAGGTGAATATGCTTAATTCAACAAAGACTTCTGATGCAACTCTTGTACTATATTGATTTAATAATATTTTTAAAATCATTATTATTATTTATTCAGCTTATGTCGATATATGAAAGAACATGAACATAAAATGATTATTGTATATATAGAAATATGATGAATGTTTAAAATTATGATATAAATAAATAGTCAATTATATTTAGTTAAGGATTGAGTATGTCCAAGACGAGATGCAAATCCTAACTCAGTGAATTTGTCATTAAGAGAATCTAAGTTGCTGAAGATACTTTCGAATTGAATCCATAATTCTTAATATTGATTGATTTGTTCATTTAGTTTTTATTGGAATTAGTCGTAATAGGAAAAGAAAGTTTCAAGAAACTTTTGATTACGAGGAGATTTGAGGAATTTATTAATTTTATTTGCATCTTCTTATAAATCATTTGGAATGTTAGAAGTAGTTTTGATTTATTAAATTACTCCATTGATTTTGTTCCATATTAGAATGGCTTCATCAAGGTCTTTTGATTTATTACAAGCATCCATTTTGATTTTTATTAATCTGATAAGAGGTTTAGGTTTTTTTGGTTGTTTTGATACACATAAGCCCATTAATGATATATATAATTTTAATTAATAAGAAAGAATGATTTAACACAATTAACATTTATATTATGAAGTCTCCTTTATAGAATTCAAATAAATTATACATAGATATGAGTCATATATATATAATATAAAATATATAAATTTAGTAACAAAAATAAAAGCAAGAATGGATAATCGTCGAAAACCACAAAGCTATCATCGTTAGAGAACTGGAATATTAATAAATAATAAACAGCCTATAAGAAAGAAGTCACAGAAAAAAACATACTCAAAAGCAATTCATCCCTTAAATTTACATACAAGAGCAATGTCTTAAAAAAACTTAGATTTTATATCTTCAGAAAGGTAATATCCTGAAATATGTGTAAGTTCAGAGTCTTCAAGAGAGATGATGATTGAAGATAACAAAAGCTGTTGCTGTTTCGATTGCAGTAAACCAAATAAGAAAATGAAAAGTCTTTAAAAGAAATTCGGTTTGTTTCGGANTGATTAATATTTACTATATAAAATAGTTTAAATATTAAATAACTTATTTGATAGTATTGAATTTGTTTTTTTTTATTAATAAATAGATGTAGTTGTTATTTTAAGGTGAATATGCTTAATTCAACAAAGACTTCTGATGCAACTCTTGTACTATATTGATTTAATAATATTTTTAAAATCATTATTATTATTTATTCAGCTTATGTCGATATATGAAAGAACATGAACATAAAATGATTATTGTATATATAGAAATATGATGAATGTTTAAAATTATGATATAAATAAATAGTCAATTATATTTAGTTAAGGATTGAGTATGTCCAAGACGAGATGCAAATCCTAACTCAGTGAATTTGTCATTAAGAGAATCTAAGTTGCTGAAGATACTTTCGAATTGAATCCATAATTCTTAATATTGATTGATTTGTTCATTTAGTTTTTATTGGAATTAGTCGTAATAGGAAAAGAAAGTTTCAAGAAACTTTTGATTACGAGGAGATTTGAGGAATTTATTAATTTTATTTGCATCTTCTTATAAATCATTTGGAATGTTAGAAGTAGTTTTGATTTATTAAATTACTCCATTGATTTTGTTCCATATTAGAATGGCTTCATCAAGGTCTTTTGATTTATTACAAGCATCCATTTTGATTTTTATTAATCTGATAAGAGGTTTAGGTTTTTTTGGTTGTTTTGATACACATAAGCCCATTAATGATATATATAATTTTAATTAATAAGAAAGAATGATTTAACACAATTAACATTTATATTATGAAGTCTCCTTTATAGAATTCAAATAAATTATACATAGATATGAGTCATATATATATAATATAAAATATATAAATTTAGTAACAAAAATAAAAGCAAGAATGGATAATCGTCGAAAACCACAAAGCTATCATCGTTAGAGAACTGGAATATTAATAAATAATAAACAGCCTATAAGAAAGAAGTCACAGAAAAAAACATACTCAAAAGCAATTCATCCCTTAAATTTACATACAAGAGCAATGTCTTAAAAAAACTTAGATTTTATATCTTCAGAAAGGTAATATCCTGAAATATGTGTAAGTTCAGAGTCTTCAAGAGAGATGATGATTGAAGATAACAAAAGCTGTTGCTGTTTCGATTGCAGTAAACCAAATAAGAAAATGAAAAGTCTTTAAAAGAAATTCGGTTTGTTTCGGACATAAATGTCAATAGTTAAATAGTAGAGATTACACATAAGATTTCAGAATGCAGTTTATTGCATTATCTATTTAATTCAAAAGAGAAGAAAACAACGATTGTTAGATAAACAGAAGAAAATGTTTAGATATAAAACCAAAGTATTCATTGATGGCTCACCCCTCTTTCCTCCACAATAATAACATCTAGTTAATTTACATGATGAAAAACATTAAGTGAATTAACATTCGCAATCTATTTAGGCTAAAATTTTTGATTAAAGACATAAATAAAGATAATCAGTAAGAATATATTTGTAATAAAAATTACATGATAAAGGTAATAGTAAGTATTCACCATTTAGATTCGCAAATAACATTACCAAAGATTTCAAAATTCAATTAGACCACTTATACTAATATTCAACCCTTAAGATTCCCAAAAACTGAAGAATAAAAATCACCAAGATATTCTACTTAATTAAAAATATATCATCATACTGAACATAGCCCTTCTGCCATCTAACATTCTCCTTATTTAAATCATCTAACTTCACGTAATCCTACTGAAACTGTCATTTAATCCTCTTTCAGTAAAACCTCTAGACCATTAACTAAGAGTATTTAATCAGAAATACTTACTCAAAAACATTAATTTCATTAAAGAAAGAATACAGCTGCTACATTAAAAGGATTAATTTGAATATAACAAAACATTGTAATTTTTATTTTGTTTAATGATTATTTTTACAATTCACTATTACATAATCATAAACAGAACAATTGTCATTCAATTGAAAAAGTATTAAAGAATAAATTATTCTAATTATTGATCAAAATTAAATGGATTCTTTAACAATTTAACTACTGAATACCAAAAGATTGCGATAATCAATTCTTAATTTGATTACAGATGAATAATAATAATAATAGAATCCAGATTATAATGTGCTAAATAACACATTTAAAAATCATCTATTTTCATAACAATAATTCTAAAGAGATTTATTAATCATGAAGATCATGTCTTAAATTAAACCTCTAATAATATTATGTACATAATCTAGAACTAATATTTTTATTAAAGTTAAGTTAGCTCATTGAATTTATTTATGTTTCTACTTCTATCTATGTTAACAATCATCTAATCCAATATCTCAATCATAAATTATCTATTTTAGCTAAAATAGATTAAAATAATATCTTAACTAAATTATACTTAGAGATTCTTCTACTTAATAATTAATTTTAATCTAAATTATGATTTATTTGAGTAAAAATTTAAATTGCAAATTCTATACTTGATTTGATTAGTAAGATTCTCCTTTTTATAATTAGATTGATCAAGAATAAGACATAGAATTGTTTAAATATCTATGAAGATACATAAATAATAAAAAGAAATTAAATCCTATTAAATATCATCAATTAAGAATAACTTTTTAGTTTCATTCTTCTTTTAAATAATAATTATGGTTTAGTAACTTGTTTTGAAATATTATATATATATAATCAGATTTATAAATAATATATGACTTTTCTGTCATTTAAATGATATAAATATTCTGCTTAATCCATTTACTAATGCAAAAATACTTAATTTAAATTCCATTTTAGACATTCACATCCAAAGTTTTATTCATTTAAAGTCCAAACTAATTTTGAAAATGAATTAAGCTTTCCTTTAAAAACAGCTTTATATTTGTCTATAGCACAAAATTCAAGATATTTTTCCTTCAAAATACCTATCATTATTAAGCTATTCTAAGGTATAATTAAGGAAATAATATCCTTATAAGTAGTTTATTCAAAATATTAAACATTGTAAACTTATATCCATGAATTAAATTATGAAATTGGAATATGTTAATCTAATCCAAAAGAACAACCTGTATCAAATAAAGCTGAAATAATTTTAATTTATTTCTGTGATTTTTGATTTAACTTTTGTAAAATGTTTAGATTTCTTCTCTTTCTTTCAATTATTTCTGTTAAACAATTATTGATATCTGATTAATCTATAGTAAACTCTCCATCAACAACAATAATTTTGTTTGCTATGAATTACATAATATTCATAAAATCTGATTTCATTCCTCCTTATGTTCCATCATCAGTTCTTGTAGTATCGCCATCAATTTGTGAATAATGAGATATGATGCCATATATATCTTTAAAGGGCTTTTAATATTATCCTAAAATTAATAGCTCTCTTTTCAACTATTCTTAAATGGAATTATTAATATTTGAAAGATTAGATTATAATTATTATACTTCTAACATTCCATCAACACTTAAATCTTCAAAGTATTCTGCTTTTGGATTTTAAGTTTAACATAATATTAAGACTTCATCCAATGGAATAAAAGATTCTAATGTGTGACCATTATCACAATGATATTTTAACTAACATCTACAACAAATTGCACCCTTATTATTGCAATTTGGATGTCTACAAACCATATTTAATTGATATCGAGGATGTTTACTGCAATATATTTAAGGAAAATTAACGAATAAATCTGTCATTTTAATATTTTTATTATAAATAAAGTTTTAAGGTGAATTAAGTTTATTAATTATATAAATTATGACAATTCTATTATTATATAGATTTTCAATAAAATTACTAATTTATAAATCAAAATATTCTCTATAATAATCAAGATTTACTCTATGTAATAATTAACGATTATGCTATTTCATTATCACTATCAAAACGAGGACTTACAAATGCAAGTTATTCATATTCCTTTGCTAAAGTTTCATTTTATAATTAAGTTTAGTATATCTAACTTATACGATTGTAAGACTATTATGTTTTTGATTGTTTATAATAATCAATCGCATTAAGGTATTTGCCTTACTATTCATAATGTTAACCCAATTGAAACAAAGCTTGATTTTAACCATTTTCAACAATCTAAGAATAAATGGAGATATCATTTTTGATTTCCTATAATTTTGCTTGACATTTTTAATTATTTAATTTAGAACCTAATTAATAGTAGGCTTATTAAAGTTCAAGATTATTATAGCTACATAAAGCCAAATAATAGTAAGCTTCACTACTTTATTTAGTTACTGCCAAGAGTTATAAATAATCTTTAAATTTTAGTAAATTGTTAGAATGTAAGGCATCCTCATACAAATATTAATAAAGTTCTTCTACACAACCTAAATCTTAATTTAAGGCTCCTTACAATAAAAAAGACAAACCTTATTCTTTTTATTGATCTTATATATAATGTAATCCTAAATAGTAATATGCATGAAAATATCCTTTAGCAATAGCTTCATTTAAGTAATTGATACTTTTTTGACTGTCTGTCTCTATTATACCTAAATCACATATTCCTCTGCTAGTATGTTAACCTTTAGCAACATATTTTAAAGCCGACTATAGATTCTTTGGTAATATCTATTCATTATTTTAATTAACTCCTTAATAATACAAAATAGCTAGATCAAGAGAAGCTTCTATGTGTCCTTAATCAGCTGCTTATTTGATATATTAAATCCCTTTCTAAATTTTTTATTTATTAATCAATTCTATTTTACCATATTAAAATGTAGCCTATAAACTTTAGTAATTTATATTTTATTTATAAATTTATCTAGCCAATTTAATATTCTAAGCAATCAATTTACCTTATTAATATAATTAAGCTAAAGCATTCTTGGCATCAACATTATTAATTTGTATATACATTTGAATTCCTGCTTAAATATCTTAAAGACAATTAATTCCATAAGTTAATTCATGTGCTTATAGTAATTAGTTTTAATCCTTTAAATTAGAAATCTCCTCTTTTAATTAAATAATTTATTTTTTCAACTCTTCAATTTGTAACTGTTATTATGGATTATCTTTATAAATTTCTTTAATAATTTCCTTTTCCTTATAGACGACTTCAAGTTATTTGGTTTATGTTTCAGCCTCTTTAAATAATTTCTAGATTTTTTCTGGCTCTTTTTTAAGATTACGATAACTTAATTTCAATTAATCCAACATAGATTAAACTTAATTGAAATCTATATCAATTAGATTATATTTAGATTCTAATTATTAAGCATGTTCCCAAAAAGGGATATAGGATATTAACGCTTTGTATTTAGTAAGAAACGATTGCTGTTAAGTTTTGTGATTACAGAATGTACTCAACAATAATTATTAACCTGCATATTATAATTCTAAAGCTGAAGAAAATGTCTTCTTGCATTGAATATCAGCATATTTATTGATATGGATATTAAATACACATTATTTTGAGGAGATATCATCCATTATTTTCTATAATCTTTTAAGTTCTCTCTACATTTCAGTCTTTTAAGTTTGATCCAAATATGGCAAAGTTTAGACACCTGTACTTAGTTTCTCAAACAATTTATGTGTAGATGCATCATTTATCTTTTTGTTGAAGTGATGGATATCAGCTTCAACTCTTTTGATTTACAATTCTTTGCATTACTTGATATATTCAATTAAATTCATATTAAATTAATTTAATTATGTAAACATATGCTTATGCATTTATTGTTCCCTCTGCACTTTCCATAGTATATATTATCATGATGATATGTCGTTACTATGATTTAAAATCAGATATTGTGGCTAATAAAATAAGTTTAAATTGTTCCATAAAGTTTAGAATGACTCTCTTGATCTTTGATATAGGTATAAAATATCATATTAATAAGCAGTCTAGGTATTTAAAGTATTTAGTGTGCAATGATCTTTCTCTGTTAAAATTGTGAAGAATATCACAATTATTTTATGATTATTCTACTCATAAACATTGTCACTTTAATCCTCTAAATATATCTTATGGTATCAAAATTATATTACCAATTTAGATCTTTGAATACAAAAAAAGAGTACCTTTATTTTTTGCCCATAAACTTTATTGGATAGCTAATTGGATGGTGCTATTAATGATAGTTGCCTTAATCATTAACTATCAAGCCTACTTACTAGATACGATTCTTATCTTGGTCAGAATACTCCTAATATCAATTATACTCATTTATACTCTTTTTGTTAGAAAATAAGACTTAGTAGAATTTGAAGATCTAGGATTTTTTAATAGTGAATTACCAGATATTGATGTCTCTTCATAAGGGTAGAAACTTAGGATTTCAACCTTAAATAGTACTTATTTTGTCATTCAATGTAGATTTTCAAACTTAGTTTTTTTCTGTGGAATTATAAAAGATGTGGAATATAGTAGATAATGATATCGAAATTAAATTGAATATGTAAATAATAATAAATATTTATATAGTCATTTTATAGATAATGAAAAAAGCATGAAATTGAAGAAAAGACTCACTTAACTCTTTGAAATGCATTAAAAACTAATTATAGAATGTTAAGCATATTTTGACCTTCACAATAATGATTTATTAGAATTAGATTATTTAATTAAGTAAATCTAAGAAAGCAGTCATTTATAATTAATTTAAGCTATTCAAAAATATTTTAATGTAATAATGAGCAAAGTTGATTTGATATCTTCAACTTTTTTAGACTTTATTGAATTACCTCAATAAGAAAGAGAATTATTGGATGAAATCAAACTATAAAATAAACAACTTCATAAATAATCTTTAATTAAAAAATAATAAACTACTCTGTCCTATAAAAAATGGGAATTACAAGAATAATTTATTCCTTATATGAATGTGAAAATAAGAAAACATCAAACTATCAAACAATAACACAGTGATTCTTTCATTTAATATATTATTGTAATCAAAATTAACCAAGATAGAATAATTTCATAAAAGAGATTTAGAGAATTCCATGAATTACATGAATAATTGAAATAACAAGGGATTAAATATTCATCTCTCTTTCCCCAAAAAATAATTGGAAAGTTAACTGAATTAGATGTTGAACAAAGACAGAGAGATTTAGAAATCTATTTGAAAGTATTATTGAATGATAGAACCAATCATAATTCTTTATAATTATTTAAATTTGTGGGTTTGAGTGCAAATTAAGATGTTTTTTTAAAAAAACAATATTAACGTATTCAAAAAGATGTTGAATAAGTTTGTTAGTGCACTGTAAAATTTTTATAATTTGAGGAGGTTTAGGATTAATTTGGTGATAAATATTTTAGATATTAATTTTAATTTTTTAATAATAATATCTATAATTTAAATCACATTATTTCTAAGCGATATTCTTAATTCGATGAATTGCACAATATTTTAAAATAAAGGTATATATTATAATATTTATGTAGATCTCAATATTTTTTACCATTATTACCACAAAAATCTTTATAGTAAAATATTAATCCAAATCAAAGAAGTGCATTACTTCTTTAATATCTTAATGAATTGATTAAGATACCCTAAGTTTGTGAAAATCCTCATTTTAGACAATTTATCGATATTCCATTTTTTTATTTTGAATCTGAAGAGGTAACAATCCCAGAATCCACCACTTAATTCAATTAAATATTAAGACATTTAGATAATGATTCAATAATTTGGAAGATAGATGATATGAAAGTTAGATTATGGGAATGATGATTATTTCTATCTATATAAATTTATTAAATTAGATATGTATTTAAAAATATAAATTGAAATAAAGAGTGAAAATATTAGTCTCACTACTCTAATTTTTTTTATAATGAAAATTAAAATGAAATAGATTGAATATAAAATTATATTTTAATTATATGAATAGATCTCGTAGAAAAGAATTAATATAGTTGGTTAATAAGAAACGGAGTTTTCTTTCCCCATCAATAGGCAAAACAATCACAAATAAACCTTTCCGTAGATAAAGTTGTAGATGTTCTGAATGTGGATTAGTTGGACCCTTTCAAGAAAAATAAAATGCTTAACATCCTCAAACTTATATAAGAGCACATCATTGTAAGAAAAGAAAACGAAGAATGCAGAGGAGAAAAGGTACATACATCACTTCATCGAGTTTAAATGTTGGATAATCAGAAAACAACACAATCATTCTTACGAACTAACCCAAATTAAGAAAGGCTAAAACAATTTCAGTAACGAAAGAATTACAGCAAACTATTAGAAAAGGTAAGAGACTTCTAACCAAAGACGATCAGCAAATTAAATATGAATTTTTCTATAACAATGAACTCAAGTTATCGAAAGGCTTTTTAGAAAATTCATAAAATTCTTAAATCTATGAGACTGCCTTGATATCCTTTGTCAATTTCACTAAATCTCCGAGCTTTATACTCAATAGTTATAAAAATATTATTAATGAATCAAAAGCAAGCTCAGATGATGAACATAATCAAAAAGACTTTAGAGATAAATAATTATAATTGGCATCTCCTAAGGTTAATACAAAAAATAATTCTATGCATAGTCGAAAACTTACTGAGGGAATGATGCATTCAAATGTTAATAAAACTGTATAGTAGTTTGTTCAATCTTGTACAACCATAAGAGTGTTGAATTCTCCAGTAAGAGTTTTGAATTCTCCAGTAAGAGGTTTGAATTCTCCAGTAAGAGTGTTGAATTCTCCAAAACCTTCAAAACAAGTTAAATTGCCATCAATTAATTCTAAACAAGAATAAAACAAATTCTCTGTTTATTTATTAAGTTCTCCTCGAAAAGCAATAATGGAGTTGAAAAACTAAATTTCTTCTTAAAAAAAAATAAAAGTCTTAAGAAAATGATATTTTTTATATATATGATTAAAACTTTCATAAATTCTAAATAATAATTTTATTGCTTTATTAGTATTTAAAGAGTGTTATTTATAATAATTTGAGAAAAGAAACAATAGAAATAAATGATAAAATGTAATATTTTAAATCTTCAATATCAAGTAAGAAGTACAGATTGTCAGAGTGCCTATATTTGCAACCTTACTATATTGTTTGGGCATTTTTCTATATAAATTATTGAAATTTGAAATTTTGGTTAATGTTTTATTTATATATTAAAATTGGAAATCTGTAGTGAAAATAAAAGATACTTTGAGTCAATTATCATAAAATGTAGGTCTTAATAGATATTTCAACAATATTGTAAGTTAAAGTTAATAAATAAATTATTAATACACAGTTTTATATTAAAATATAAAAAAGTAAATAAAAAGTTAATTTAGAGAGTATAATAGAGTATAAAATAACAATAATAATGTTTATGAATAAAATAAATATTTATAATTTTTTAAAAACAGAAAGCTGGTGATCAAAGATCTAATTGGAGATCATTTTAGAAGTTACCAATTTACATGATAGAGGAAGGAGGTTAACCAATATTGATAATTTAGGATTGATCAATACTTTGGATATCTTGATTTCTCCTAATTTCATTTTGATCAGAAACTTTAATAAATGCTTGAGTATCTGGGATAAGGTTGAATCCAAATTCACTATTTCTGACTCCTAAAGTTAATGGGAAATCTCCTAAATCATGATCAAATTGATTAAGATTATCTAAGTTTAGATAAAAGATGAACCTGTTTATGCATAGGAATAAACACTTTTATCATCTTTGTCTCCTCCATTCATAGTATTATTACGTCTTTCTGGAATAAACTTTTAAGGTGGTCTAAATTTTATATGACATGACTTAAGATTAGGTAAAGAACCTTCCATTAATAAATCTTAATCTTTAAAATGATTAAGCATATTATTCCAAAGATTATCCTAAATAGATAGAATATATATACTTTGCATAAAACCCTTGCATTACCAATAATGATTAATCCAAATCTAGCTCTAGTGATAGTGACATTTAATCTTCTGGGATTGGTTAAAAAACCTATTCCTTAAGTATCATTGGAACGAACACATGAAATAATAATAAAATCTTTTTCTCTTCCTTAAAAACCATCGACAGAAGCTACTTCAATATCTCTATATTAATTATAAGGTAATT